GAAAGTAGTGTGTGTGTGGGGGGGGGGGGGAGGGACGTAAGAAATGTCCTTTTGTAGTGGACAACAAAGGGATCGAAAGCCCGCACGCAGACACCCACACCCACACACCCTCGCACGCTGCTGCTTCTTCTTCAACATATACGCTTATTCCACTGCGAAAGCAGCTGCACGGCGAAGCACACGTTTGGCTTCACACGCGGCCGTGCTTGCACCAGCGCGTGGAGGAAGCTGTGGAACAGCTCCACCGCCACGTCCGGGTCAACCTCGAAGGCACCGTCGGCGCTTGCGCCGATGCAGTTCGACGGATCGCGAGCTTCGCTGCTTCCCCGTTCACGGATGCCGACACCTCCTCCGGTGTGCTGCTCCCGAGACCGTCGCAGCGCGGCGCGGCGGCAGCACGACCGGAAGACGTCCATATAGAAGAGGAACACCACACTGGGGCTGCGGGAAACACCCAGCTGGCAGTGCACCAAGCAAGCCGGTCGCAACAGGTCAACAGGACAGGTCTTTTCTACCTCTAGCTCGACAATTGGCGACGTAGAGGACTCGCTCAAGGAAAGCGGTGCGGCGCCACTTTGCAGAGCGCGGTGGACGTACTGTTGAAGACACAGGAGACGCGTGCGCGTGAGGAGCAGCAGCCGCAGCGCGGGTGACGTCGGGTCCAGTGTGGCGGCCACCGAGAGCCGTGACGGAGCTGCAGGCGGCGTCGCCAGCGCAGCGAATGGCGGCGGTGCCGGAGGCTCAGTTGTTGCCCATTCGTGCAGCTGATGCAGTACGGCAGTGAGTGGCTGCATAAGACTCTGCTTTCCCGTTACCTCTTGTAGCAGCGGGGTCGTAAGGTGCCCGACGCGCTCCAATCGTGTCGCCTGGTTGTCTTCGACAGGCAGGGCAACACCGTAGATGGGCACCGGTATGACGTACTCCGTCCCACGTTGAAGCACTTCATGAGGACGAGACCGACTCCCGACTTCGCACTCTTCTTTTGCTTTCTCACTTCGTGTGAAAGCGTCCAGTTCGCGCAGCAGCTTTGCGCAGGTGTGGGCAACGCTGCGTAGGCTGCGCACCTCGTGACGGCGCACACGTGCCCGAAACACCTCCAGTGCGGCGGGAAGACACGCGGCGGTGCTGTCGAACGCAGACGAGGCCGATTCCTTTGCACCATCGTGATCAGCGTCCGCTTGACGCGCCAGCGAGGGGCCCTCGTGCCAGTACTGCGACAGCGAACGCACAACACCGGTTGAGAATACCGCCACGGGATAGGAGCGCAGCACAACGTGGCAGCGAAAGCCTCCGTTTTCACTCGACGTGGACGGAGAACCCGACAGACGACCATCTGGAGATAAAAGGTGGTTCGCATCCTCTGCAGAGTGCTTCCCTTGTGCGGGATTGCCATTCTTCTCGTCGACACAGCTTGCCGCGTACGTGACATCTGCCGTCCCTTCCTCCGCCGCGTCGGCCTCCGCAGAGCACCACGGCAACAGCAAGATGGCAGCAGCACCTATCTCACTCGCATCAGAGGAGACAGCCGGCGATAACGCCGCGGACTCTGTCGAGGAGCTAATCGCATTACTCACCGGCACCGCATGCGCTACCGAGTCGGCATCGCGCTCATCACTGGAGGTAGAGGGAGACACGATGCGCTCCATCGCTACAGAGCTCAGTAATGACAATACGAGTCGCACAAAGACAACGCCGGCGTGGGCGTGAGAGCCGACGGCGCTCGTTGTGCTGCGCATTAGAAGCGCACGTCGACGTGCGAGGGCGGTGACGCGCGGCAGACTGGAGAGCAGCACGTGACCGCCTACTCGCGTGCTTTCAGCCGAGGGGCACAAATCGACGTCACGACCACTCTCATGTTGGTGAGAAAGGCTGCCGGTGCTGCTGCTTGTGTTGTTGCCGGCGGCTACGGGGGAAGTTGTGAGGAGGGGTATGGAGATCGCTCGAATGAACGCTGCCACCGCCGGCGTGGTGTCGTCTGCTGCGTCGACACGAAACATTGCTGTCACGAATTACGATGAAGAAGGCCGCATGAGAAACACGGCTCGCAAAAGTGGAGGGGGGGGGGGGGAACAGACACGAAAAGGAAGATACGTCAAACGAACAACGGACCGAGGTATTATCTTCGACAGGACGACTTCACATCGGCAACGGACCGAGAGGGAGAGAGCGTAAGACGCGCTCGTTTAAGCCGCGACAGAGACGCCAGCCGAGTTCATATTTATTGAGAACAACTTTCTGCTTCGCCTCCACAACAACAGAGACCGGATATCCACCCCTTGTATTGTTTTGGAACATATTCCCACAGCACAGATGCTGTAGTTGTACGCCTCCAAGGAAAACACGGAGAATAGAGATGAGGCCAGGCCCTTTTGCGCTTCGAGGCAGCGCCACACAAACACACACCGAAATAAAGCCGGCACGTTCATTATCTTTTTCTTTCTGTTTGCTCTCTTGTGATTTGGGATGTGCTGACGAGGGTGAACATTACAGAAGATTACAGTATAAAACAACAAACGAAGAAGAACAGGTACATGCAGAAGACCACCACCACGTCACAGAACAGCATCAGCAACAGATAGCCAAAGCATGCGTAGACTACCACGATTATAATACACACGCGTATAAAGAAAGAAAGAAGAAAAAAACATATTGTTGTCGGAAGGGTGAATGGGGCGAGCGGGCGGGGACGTGCAGACAACACAACGCACTCGACACATAATTTAAAGGTACAACAACCGATTCGCCACATTAGATCAAAGAAGCGCACGTCTGCACCTTGGCGTGCAGCAGCGGCAGTGCTCACACGCACGCAGGGAGAGAGCAGGAGGAAGAGAGCAGGAGGGAGAGAGAGAGAGGGAGAGAGAGAGAGGAGGGGGAGCAGAAACAACGCACGTCGCCTCCAGATCGGTCCGGGGTTTTCTCTATCGTCTCTCCCTCCCTTGCCTTACGTACTCGCCGCTGCCGCTGCCTTCACCTCCTTTTCATGCTTGGCCACGAGCGAATTCCACAGCTCCCCTACCTCCGGGTGGCGCTCCAGAAAAAGGTTCCACAGAAAAGCGCGCCCGCTGACGGGCTCTGAGATGTCCTCCGGCCGCACCGACGGCACGCGCTTCGCCGTGTCATCGGGGTCAATCGTGGGGTCGTACTTGTCCTTCGTGAAGTACGGGTTCCGCAGGGCTGCCTGGATCGTAACCCGGTCCCGCGGGTCCCAGCGGAGGCAGTCGATGATGAGCTGGATCTCATCCTCGTCCTCGTCGCCAAAGGGGCTACGCAGCAGCTCCTCCAGCCCAAAGTCGAGCGCCGTCGTCGGCGGCGCCGTCTTCACCAGCTTGTGAACTGAGCTGATGAACAGCTCCTTCGTGTCCTTGTCGCGGTAATCCGCGATGGAGTTGATCGCCGCTGCCGAGGGCTCGCCCAGCACCCGGTAAATGCTCAGCAATTGCGCCTTTCCACTCATCGCGGTCGTGTAGAAGAGCGGCCGGCCGATCAGCATCTCCGCCGCCAGGCAGCCGATGGACCACACATCCACGCCGTGGAAGCTCTCGTGGTCGATGAAGCCCACCGGGCTGTTGATCGCGACGGTCAGCGTCTCCGGCGCGGCGTACCACTGCGTGCAGTTGTCCAGCATTGTCTGCTCGTAGTCGGCCGCCGTGTTAAGACCGACGTCGCGGCCCTGGCCGAAGTCGGTGATGCGGGTGCCGTAGCTGCGATCGAGCATGATGTTTTCCGGCTTTAGATCCCGGTGGATCACCGGACACAGGTGCAGGTAGCCGACACCGCGAAAGATCTGATAGAGAATAAATTTGCGGTAGTCCTTGCTGAGTGGGTGAAGGCGCAGCCCGGTGAGCGGGCAGCAGACGCTCCCACCGAGGGGGACGCCGTCAGGGGGAGGGGCGGGTTCTACGTGCAACTCGTCCTCCCCCGCCGTCCTCGCCAGCGGAGACATGTCCTCCGTTGCCGTCGGCGTCTTGATGCTCTCCGTCGCTCCGTCGGGGCTCGTGCTGGTCATGTTACTCCTCTTCCGCTCACCTCTTTTCTCTACCACATTATTAGTATCATCATTATTCTCTGCCGTGCTGCTCTCCTCTACCGACTTCACCAGTGCCGTCAGCCTTCGCCACATGGCGGCGTACTGCGGGTCCAGCTCCGCCGCCGTCACCTCCATCGAGTCGAGCACCTCGCGCAGGGTGTAATCCATCTTCTTCATCACCACATACACGCTATCAAAGGTGCACTGCAGGTTCAAAATGGACTCGTATGTCATCATCTCTACTCCTCCCAGCGGAATAAAGAAGTCCGTGGCGGAGATGACGTTGTCGTGCTGGAAGGCCATCATCAGCTGGATCTCCCGCGTAGCGCAGAGCCACATGCGCGGTTGGTTGTGCTCGAACAGCTGCCGGAGTTTTTTTACTGCGACGAGGGTGGCGCTATCGTACATCTCCTCCCGATCCTCCAGGGACAGAGAAGGGTCCTCGTACTCCACCGGCGGGTCTATCTGGAAGCTCTCCACTAAATCGTTGTCGCGCGCCGAGCAGACGAAGCCGTAGGTGCCCTGCCCGATCGGGCCCACCGCCTCGTAGCGCGAGAGCAGCTCAAAAATCTCCGTCGTCTCCTCGCCGTTCGCATTAAAGATCATCATACACCGCTTGGAGGCGAGGGGGTGCCGCAGGATGGTGGACAGGGGAACCTGCGACATGTTCGATGTCTCGTAAAACAAACAGACAAGAAAACGAGTAACAGTAATAATAATAAAAAACGCTGTAGCCGAGTTGTAAGATTATAGAGGAGAACAGCTACGGAAAAAACCAAACCACACACACACAGACACACAGACTGAAAAAAACAAAAAGCCAGTTCAATGAACACGCAACAACGAAGTTGCCAGAGCGGTGGCGCCAACGGAGAGCGCTCCACCAACCGGGAGAGAAGAGAACGAGAAATGTAAGGGCAAAGGCAACGTAGCTCGGCGGTTTCGAATTGTGTGAGAGAGAGAGAAGCACAGCAGACGGGAGAAAACAACAGTAACAAACTAAAATAATAAAAGAAAACGGAGCGAAACAAAAGAGAGAGGGAGCGAGAGATATCAAAGAAAAGGAAGGAAAAACGGGTCAAGACAACCAGGCGGTGTTCCGCTCTTCTTCTTTTCGTATGTAGCGCTGGAGGTGGTGGTGGCGACGGTGGAGGAGGTGCACGCGGCGTCGAAGCACTCAACGGCGGAGAGAAGAGCAGAGGGGAAGTAATTAAAGAGTACGAAGAGCCACAGCAGAAACAAACACCCCCCCCCCCACACACACAGAGAGAAAGATAAGAGAGGTACGGGTAACACCAACGGAGCGAACGCGGTGGGGATGCGTCCGCCACGGCTTTGCTTCCTTCTTCCGTTCTTCCGTTTCTTTTCTTCACCCTCTGTTCCTCCTTGCGTTTCAGGTAGTATTGGTTATATATGTTCAGGGGGTGACGGTTGTGTATCCGTGTGCGATGGGCTGCAGGCTCGTGGACTTGTCTCTATAATCTGGAAGATTAGCGCTACCAAACAACAACAGCAATAACCCACTCAAAGAAAGAAAAAAAGGAGGGTAAATTACAAACCCGAGCGAAGTATGAATATTCAAAAAGAAAAAACAAACAAAAAAGATTGGAAGAGGACGGAGCGAGGAAACGAAAGATGTAAATTATTTTGGGGTGAAGCAGAACGGCGGTATTTTGTAAACTTCCTTTCCTTTAGCGAAGAAGTTTTATAGAGGAAGAGATGGAGAAGAGATATGGGGGGAGGCGAGATGGAGAGCGATGCAGCAGATTTGCAACGCAGCAGGTAGCGACGACGTGTACGCATGTGGGCTTAAGAAAAACCAAGAAGGCGTCTTACAGACCGTCGTTCTCACATGTTCGGCTTTCTATTATATATATATTCGCTTTGAGGAAAGAGAAGCGCCGATCGCTCAGAAGAAAGCCGTAAAACCTTTCTTTTCCCTCAATGCTCACGTGCCCATCTTGAGGCAGCGTTGTATGGGAGCGCGCCATCGCTTTGCTTTCCCTGAGAAGGGGGGTCAACGGTGGCGGCGGCGGCCCAGCGTTGCGGTTTGTTTGTGTTATTCTTTTTTTCACTTTCCGTATTCATTGCCTCTGCGGCAGAAACTAAAGCGCCGTTATTACCTTCCTTCCTTTTTTTGGGAGGATTTACACGATCTTTCTTGTCACTTGTGAAGAAAAGGTAAGAAGGACTTCTTTGCGGGGTTCACGTACGCATACATATAAAAGGAAACGGGCATCAGCCGCCGCCGCAGCAAAACGGGAGCTGGACGGCGCTCTACACGCGCAGATAGCGTTAGAGGCCTTCGTTGCTACATCTCAAGTCGTCGACGCTAACGAGTCGAAACTGCGTTGAGGAAAACAACGGAGCCATCTTTTTGTTTGTTTTCTACATGGCGATGAAAGACATCCATTGCTTCTTGACTTCCCTAAAGCCATCGCCCCCTTTCATCATTTTTCACAGTTTTCTAACCGGGCTCCCACCGGCACTGCTCTTCCTCCGTTTTGGGGTTTTGCTTTCCAGAGGGAGCGAACGCCGTGCCTCGTAAAACAAGATGTCTGCGACTTCTGTACTCTGAGGTGAGTGACACCACAAAGAAGTTCGTGTACGGAACATCGATAGTGATGCGTCCGTGATATTGCTGATGGAGGCCGCGACGGAGGACAAGGCGATAACAACGGACGCCACCGCCTCCCTGGCTGAGCAAGCGTAAAAGATCGAGTCGAACAGAAACGTGGCCGCCATGAGAGCCGTCATGGACTCCCCACGGCGGGTCACCTCATCGTTGCTCTGCATGTAGCGGAAGATCACCCCGCCGCCCAACCACAAAACAGTCGCAAGGACAAGAGTGCAACACGCAGCAACAAGTGCCGTGGCGTACGAGTAGCGTCGCGCTAGCAGACCTTTGCCCTGACCCAGCGAGTTGCCAATACGAATTGCACCCGCCGCCGCAAGACCAACGTAGCCGCCAAAAAGCATGCTGTATAGCATCATCACAACGCTCCACACGGCTGCGCTGGTCGGGCCGAGGTTCGCCGCAGCCACGCCGAGCACCTCGAAGGACCACGAGTCCGCGCAGTTCGCCGCAAGGACGGGAATACCAACCTTCGTGAACTCCCACAGAGCCGCGCCGTTCGCAAGAACGGCCTTGATGTGCTCCGGCAGTGAGCGACCCGTCCAGCACTGGCGCAGACCGGCGTTGCGCAGCACACCCACTACCACCACGGCCAGCGTGAAGAACCGATTGATGCTGAGCGCGGCGATGATGCCCGGCAGCCCATTGTTGCGGAAGAGGAACAGCAGCGGCGGCAGCGTCAGCGCACCAGCGGCGGAGCACACCACGCCGAGCTGCGTGACGCGCTGCGACTGCGCGAACTTCAGGAAGCTGTTGACGAGCATCATGGGGGCGGCGATGAAGACGGACATGCGCAGGAAGTACGCCGTGTCCGCCACGAGGTCGGCATGGATGAGCAGCGCCAGGACGGGGTCGCAGAAGAAGTAGAAGACGGCGATGGGGAGGTACGCCGCGAAGGTGCACACGACGCTGCGGAGGAAGATGGCCGCGATCTCGGGGCTGTGCTTGCGCCGGCCGTGCTCCTGCGTCGCAAGGGTGTCGAGTGTGTAGGCGAAGCCAGCGCCAATACTCATAGCGGTTAACGTTGTGAAGGTCAGCCCCGTAGCCGCTGCGGCGAACTTCTCCGTGGAAAGATAGTGTCCCATGAACACCGTTGTGATGAAGGACATGCTCAGGCGCAACACGTGCGTGACGGTCACGGGCAGCGCAAGCCGCACGAGCAGCGTCACGAGCATGAGGAGCGGCGTGTGCTCGTCAGCGTCGTCGGAGGCGATGCCGCCGGACTGCGTGCGCATCTGGTCGGCGGTGGAGAGGAAGGGCAGCTCCATGTAGCGCCACGGGGCGGGTGCGATGGGGAGGGGACTGCCGCACTCCTCGATGAGCTCCTCCGCGGCGGCGGCCGTGTCGGCGCTGCTGCTGCTGCTGCTGCAATCCGCAGTGACGCACGCCGGCGCAAAGGCGGACGCGGCGCGCGGCGATGCGGGGTAGAAGTGCGAGAGGACCTCCGTGGTGGTTCTCAGCAGCTCGTCGTGGGAGGCGGGCAGCGCCACGGCCGGCACCGCCTCCCCCGCCACGGCGACGGCGCTCGGCGCGTCCTGCACCGGTGTGGTGGTGGCCGGGACGGGCTGCCGGGGGGAGGCGGTGGTGGCGGCATCGGTGGTGGCCGGGCTGCTGTGCTGCGCGGCGTTGTTGCCGCTGCGACTGGTCATGTGGATGGTGCACGCGTGCTGCTGACTGTTGGACGTGTGGGGTGGTCGAGTGGCCGGAGAGGCGTGAGCTGAGAGTGACGGTGTAGCACCACAAATATCCCCAGCAGCAGCGTCTGCACGGTGACAGGTATTTGATGATTCACGGCTGAATTGAATGCGGAGGAGGGGGGAGGGGGTAAGCCAAAGGAAGGGTGCGATAAAGACAACGAAGAGGTGGGCGAGGGAAAGAGACGGGAGATGAATGAAGGACCCCTGCACGGAATAAAAGAAAGCTAAAAGCGGGCGGAGGGCAAAAGCCCAAAGGAAACGCGCGCCGTGCGTCGATGGGTGAGGCATGGAGTGCAGTCGCAGTGTCTGACGACGGCGGTGCTCCGTGTGCAGCGCGGCGGCTTCACATCCCCCCCCCCCCCGACTGCCGTAACCACAGAGCTGATAAAACAAAAGAAAAGCTGCCGGTGATGCTCCCTCGATCCCCTGACACCGAGCCTCACAGCTCTGCAAAACAACAACTATCGGGGTAAAACGCGCTACTGATTTATTTAGTGTTGGGACACCACGAGAAGTACTTCACTAACAAGAGGGAAAAGCCGGTGTGTGGATACAGACGAAGCTGCAGAGGCATCAACAGTTGTTTTATATTGAAAGAGCCTCGCCTCCCCCTCCTCGTCTCAAAAACACTAGCAGATTCCATTATTCAAGGGACAGTCTCCGTAGTCGTTCTACACCCCACGCTCCAATTTGCAGGGGTCCGTGGTGCAGACAACTGGCGTGTGCGCCGAGACATGAAGGTAGATGGGAGGGGGAGAGAGGGCGACAACAGTAAGACACCAACGAAACCTCCCCAAGTATCACTCTGCTCTTTCCCCTTCTATGGGCTGCGTGACGGCACTGCATGTACACAGAGGAGCCAATTTCGCAGCGGTCCAATACAGCAAGCGAGAGCACCATCGCCACCGCAAAACAACAACAACAGCAACAATACGCAATGAAATGCACCTGTGGGGGCACAGGGGTGGGGAGCGGAAATGGAGATAGAGAGAGGGAGGGACAGAGAGCCCAACGCACCGCAAACGAGCAATGCAGGAGAGGCGAGAACAGCAGCGGCAACGAGGAGAGAAGAGAGGAATCGAAGAAGCCGAAGGATCAGCTAATCGAAGAACCGTTACGTGATGGTGCCGGTGCGATCTGCACGACGAAACACCGGCAAGCCCGGGATTAAAAATAAAAAGAAAACAACAAACTCATTTTAGAAACGCTTTTGAGGTCAAACGGTGAAGTGAATTGTAAAGGAAAACAAACAAACATAACAAACAGTAACAGTAATAGTCGAGTTTTCATACCGTCAACCACCACAACACGGACACACACACACACATACGTAAGCCACCAAGCGGAGGTGAATAGTCGATAACATTGCCGTTGCCACCCTCCCCGCAAAAAACAACACCACAAAGTCAAACGTTTCTCCTGTCATGGTAATGAAGGGAGTGAACAAATATGTTCTGCTTTACAGGCCGCAACGCACACACACACACACATACACACGTGGGCAGCAGCAGCAGCAAAACGTGTACTGAACGGCGCTCTACACGTGCAGATAACGTTATGGCCTTCGTTGCTACATCTCAAGTCGTCGACGCTAACGAGTCGAAACTGCGTTGAGGAAAACAACGGAGCCATCTTTTTGTTTGTTTTCTACATGGCGATGAAAGACATCCATTGCTTCTTGACTTCCCTAAAGCCATCGCCCCCTTTCATCATTTTTCACAGTTTTCTAACCGGGCTCCCACCGGCACTGCTCTTCCTCCGTTTTGGGGTTTTGCTTTCCAGAGGGAGCGAACGCCGTGCCTCGTAAAACAAGATGTCTGCGACTTCTGTACTCTGAGGTGAGTGACACCACAAAGAAGTTCGTGTACGGAACATCGATAGTGATGCGTCCGTGATATTGCTGATGGAGGCCGCGACGGAGGACAAGGCGATAACAACGGACGCCACCGCCTCCCTGGCTGAGCAAGCGTAAAAGATCGAGTCGAACAGAAACGTGGCCGCCATGAGAGCCGTCATGGACTCCCCACGGCGGGTCACCTCATCGTTGCTCTGCATGTAGCGGAAGATCACCCCGCCGCCCAACCACAAAACAGTCGCAAGGACAAGAGTGCAACACGCAGCAACAAGTGCCGTGGCGTACGAGTAGCGTCGCGCTAGCAGACCTTTGCCCTGACCCAGCGAGTTGCCAATACGAATTGCACCCGCCGCCGCAAGACCAACGTAGCCGCCAAAAAGCATGCTGTATAGCATCATCACAACGCTCCACACGGCTGCGCTGGTCGGGCCGAGGTTCGCCGCAGCCACGCCGAGCACCTCGAAGGACCACGAGTCCGCGCAGTTCGCCGCAAGGACGGGAATACCAACCTTCGTGAACTCCCACAGAGCCGCGCCGTTCGCAAGAACGGCCTTGATGTGCTCCGGCAGTGAGCGACCCGTCCAGCACTGGCGCAGACCGGCGTTGCGCAGCACACCCACTACCACCACGGCCAGCGTGAAGAACCGATTGATGCTGAGCGCGGCGATGATGCCCGGCAGCCCATTGTTGCGGAAGAGGAACAGCAGCGGCGGCAGCGTCAGCGCACCAGCGGCGGAGCACACCACGCCGAGCTGCGTGACGCGCTGCGACTGCGCGAACTTCAGGAAGCTGTTGACGAGCATCATGGGGGCGGCGATGAAGACGGACATGCGCAGGAAGTACGCCGTGTCCGCCACGAGGTCGGCATGGATGAGCAGCGCCAGGACGGGGTCGCAGAAGAAGTAGAAGACGGCGATGGGGAGGTACGCCGCGAAGGTGCACACGACGCTGCGGAGGAAGATGGCCGCGATCTCGGGGCTGTGCTTGCGCCGGCCGTGCTCCTGCGTCGCAAGGGTGTCGAGTGTGTAGGCGAAGCCAGCGCCAATACTCATAGCGGTTAACGTTGTGAAGGTCAGCCCCGTAGCCGCTGCGGCGAACTTCTCCGTGGAAAGATAGTGTCCCATGAACACCGTTGTGATGAAGGACATGCTCAGGCGCAACACGTGCGTGACGGTCACGGGCAGCGCAAGCCGCACGAGCAGCGTCACGAGCATGAGGAGCGGCGTGTGCTCGTCAGCGTCGTCGGAGGCGATGCCGCCGGACTGCGTGCGCATCTGGTCGGCGGTGGAGAGGAAGGGCAGCTCCATGTAGCGCCACGGGGCGGGTGCGATGGGGAGGGGACTGCCGCACTCCTCGATGAGCTCCTCCGCGGCGGCGGCCGTGTCGGCGCTGCTGCTGCTGCTGCTGCAATCCGCAGTGACGCACGCCGGCGCAAAGGCGGACGCGGCGCGCGGCGATGCGGGGTAGAAGTGCGAGAGGACCTCCGTGGTGGTTCTCAGCAGCTCGTCGTGGGAGGCGGGCAGCGCCACGGCCGGCACCGCCTCCCCCGCCACGGCGACGGCGCTCGGCGCGTCCTGCACCGGTGTGGTGGTGGCCGGGACGGGCTGCCGGGGGGAGGCGGTGGTGGCGGCATCGGTGGTGGCCGGGCTGCTGTGCTGCGCGGCGTTGTTGCCGCTGCGACTGGTCATGTGGATGGTGCACGCGTGCTGCTGACTGTTGGACGTGTGGGGTGGTCGAGTGGCCGGAGAGGCGTGAGCTGAGAGTGACGGTGTAGCACCACAAATATCCCCAGCAGCAGCGTCTGCACGGTGACAGGTATTTGATGATTCACGGCTGAATTGAATGCGGAGGAGGGGGGAGGGGGTAAGCCAAAGGAAGGGTGCGATAAAGACAACGAAGAGGTGGGCGAGGGAAAGAGACGGGAGATGAATGAAGGACCCCTGCACGGAATAAAAGAAAGCTAAAAGCGGGCGGAGGGCAAAAGCCCAAAGGAAACGCGCGCCGTGCGTCGATGGGTGAGGCATGGAGTGCAGTCGCAGTGTCTGACGACGGCGGTGCTCCGTGTGCAGCGCGGCGGCTTCACATCCCCCCCCCCCCCGACTGCCGTAACCACAGAGCTGATAAAACAAAAGAAAAGCTGCCGGTGATGCTCCCTCGATCCCCTGACACCGAGCCTCACAGCTCTGCAAAACAACAACTATCGGGGTAAAACGCGCTACTGATTTATTTAGTGTTGGGACACCACGAGAAGTACTTCACTAACAAGAGGGAAAAGCCGGTGTGTGGATACAGACGAAGCTGCAGAGGCATCAACAGTTGTTTTATATTGAAAGAGCCTCGCCTCCCCCTCCTCGTCTCAAAAACACTAGCAGATTCCATTATTCAAGGGACAGTCTCCGTAGTCGTTCTACACCCCACGCTCCAATTTGCAGGGGTCCGTGGTGCAGACAACTGGCGTGTGCGCCGAGACATGAAGGTAGATGGGAGGGGGAGAGAGGGCGACAACAGTAAGACACCAACGAAACCTCCCCAAGTATCACTCTGCTCTTTCCCCTTCTATGGGCTGCGTGACGGCACTGCATGTACACAGAGGAGCCAATTTCGCAGCGGTCCAATACAGCAAGCGAGAGCACCATCGCCACCGCAAAACAACAACAACAGCAACAATACGCAATGAAATGCACCTGTGGGGGCACAGGGGTGGGGAGCGGAAATGGAGATAGAGAGAGGGAGGGACAGAGAGCCCAACGCACCGCAAACGAGCAATGCAGGAGAGGCGAGAACAGCAGCGGCAACGAGGAGAGAAGAGAGGAATCGAAGAAGCCGAAGGATCAGCTAATCGAAGAACCGTTACGTGATGGTGCCGGTGCGATCTGCACGACGAAACACCGGCAAGCCCGGGATTAAAAATAAAAAGAAAACAACAAACTCATTTTAGAAACGCTTTTGAGGTCAAACGGTGAAGTGAATTGTAAAGGAAAACAAACAAACATAACAAACAGTAACAGTAATAGTCGAGTTTTCATACCGTCAACCACCACAACACGGACACACACACACACATACGTAAGCCACCAAGCGGAGGTGAATAGTCGATAACATTGCCGTTGCCACCCTCCCCGCAAAAAACAACACCACAAAGTCAAACGTTTCTCCTGTCATGGTAATGAAGGGAGTGAACAAATATGTTCTGCTTTACAGGCCGCAACGCACACACACACACACATACACACGTGGGCAGCAGCAGCAGCAAAACGTGTACTGAACGGCGCTCTACACGTGCAGATAACGTTATGGCCTTCGTTGCTACATCTCAAGTCGTCGACGCTAACGAGTCGAAACTGCGTTGAGGAAAACAACGGAGCCATCTTTTTGTTTGTTTTCTACATGGCGATGAAAGACATCCATTGCTTCTTGACTTCCCTAAAGCCATCGCCCCCTTTCATCATTTTTCACAGTTTTCTAACCGGGCTCCCACCGGCACTGCTCTTCCTCCGTTTTGGGGTTTTGCTTTCCAGAGGGAGCGAACGCCGTGCCTCGTAAAACAAGATGTCTGCGACTTCTGTACTCTGAGGTGAGTGACACCACAAAGAAGTTCGTGTACGGAACATCGATAGTGATGCGTCCGTGATATTGCTGATGGAGGCCGCGACGGAGGACAAGGCGATAACAACGGACGCCACCGCCTCCCTGGCTGAGCAAGCGTAAAAGATCGAGTCGAACAGAAACGTGGCCGCCATGAGAGCCGTCATGGACTCCCCACGGCGGGTCACCTCATCGTTGCTCTGCATGTAGCGGAAGATCACCCCGCCGCCCAACCACAAAACAGTCGCAAGGACAAGAGTGCAACACGCAGCAACAAGTGCCGTGGCGTACGAGTAGCGTCGCGCTAGCAGACCTTTGCCCTGACCCAGCGAGTTGCCAATACGAATTGCACCCGCCGCCGCAAGACCAACGTAGCCGCCAAAAAGCATGCTGTATAGCATCATCACAACGCTCCACACGGCTGCGCTGGTCGGGCCGAGGTTCGCCGCAGCCACGCCGAGCACCTCGAAGGACCACGAGTCCGCGCAGTTCGCCGCAAGGACGGGAATACCAACCTTCGTGAACTCCCACAGAGCCGCGCCGTTCGCAAGAACGGCCTTGATGTGCTCCGGCAGTGAGCGACCCGTCCAGCACTGGCGCAGACCGGCGTTGCGCAGCACACCCACTACCACCACGGCCAGCGTGAAGAACCGATTGATGCTGAGCGCGGCGATGATGCCCGGCAGCCCATTGTTGCGGAAGAGGAACAGCAGCGGCGGCAGCGTCAGCGCACCAGCGGCGGAGCACACCACGCCGAGCTGCGTGACGCGCTGCGACTGCGCGAACTTCAGGAAGCTGTTGACGAGCATCATGGGGGCGGCGATGAAGACGGACATGCGCAGGAAGTACGCCGTGTCCGCCACGAGGTCGGCATGGATGAGCAGCGCCAGGACGGGGTCGCAGAAGAAGTAGAAGACGGCGATGGGGAGGTACGCCGCGAAGGTGCACACGACGCTGCGGAGGAAGATGGCCGCGATCTCGGGGCTGTGCTTGCGCCGGCCGTGCTCCTGCGTCGCAAGGGTGTCGAGTGTGTAGGCGAAGCCAGCGCCAATACTCATAGCGGTTAACGTTGTGAAGGTCAGCCCCGTAGCCGCTGCGGCGAACTTCTCCGTGGAAAGATAGTGTCCCATGAACACCGTTGTGATGAAGGACATGCTCAGGCGCAACACGTGCGTGACGGTCACGGGCAGCGCAAGCCGCACGAGCAGCGTCACGAGCATGAGGAGCGGCGTGTGCTCGTCAGCGTCGTCGGAGGCGATGCCGCCGGACTGCGTGCGCATCTGGTCGGCGGTGGAGAGGAAGGGCAGCTCCATGTAGCGCCACGGGGCGGGTGCGATGGGGAGGGGACTGCCGCACTCCTCGATGAGCTCCTCCGCGGCGGCGGCCGTGTCGGCGCTGCTGCTGCTGCTGCTGCAATCCGCAGTGACGCACGCCGGCGCAAAGGCGGACGCGGCGCGCGGCGATGCGGGGTAGAAGTGCGAGAGGACCTCCGTGGTGGTTCTCAGCAGCTCGTCGTGGGAGGCGGGCAGCGCCACGGCCGGCACCGCCTCCCCCGCCACGGCGACGGCGCTCGGCGCGTCCTGCACCGGTGTGGTGGTGGCCGGGACGGGCTGCCGGGGGGAGGCGGTGGTGGCGGCATCGGTGGTGGCCGGGCTGCTGTGCTGCGCGGCGTTGTTGCCGCTGCGACTGGTCATGTGGAAGGTAAGGAAAAAAGAGTTGTGCTGATGAGACTCAGAGCTGCGCTTGCGGAGCGGACATGAATGGTACGACAGCGGTACCGGTGGGGCCCGACAGAAGAACAAGAACGGCTCCTGAGAGGCACAGTGGAAAGAAACAACACCAGGCCGAATAAGTGGGGCGGACGTGAGGAGTACGGAGCAAACAAATGTTGTCTGCACGCTTGTGTCAAAGACGATAATAGTCCTAAAGGGAAGGAGAGTAAAAAAAGGATATTGAAGCCGCTTAGCGTAGCCTCGTTGCTTACGTTGTGCAGCGGTGACAGTGAGTAACACGCGACGACAACAAAGACCGGCAATTGATGTGCTCGTTGCGGTTATGGAGGAGGCGATAGGGAGAGATGAGAAGTGGCCTTCCAGAGAAGTGTGAAGCGTAGGAGGAAGCGAGTCGAGGCCCGTTTGGTAGAGGTACGTGCATCGATGGACGAGAATTAAACCAAAGGAGAAACCGCAAGTGCAGCTCTCCGGTAGCGGCGTCCAGCAACAAGTGTGAAGAAAGCCGAAGCGTCCGTGCTGCGGCGGTGCTGTAAAACGGCAACTGGAAAAAAAAAACTTATAGAGTGTTTCATCACTTTCATTTTTAGCTTGTCATGGCGAGTGACCGCTGATCTCGTCGTTTATATGTTTTCCCTTGCGTGTGTATGTTCGCACCTGAAAGCGAAGCAGTCGGCACCACCCGACGGCTCGCTGGCATCATCAGGCACCAGCAGTAAGCAGAGGAAAAACAAAAAGACAATAAAGCCTAATGGTGTAAGAAGAACAAGAAGATGAAAGGAAAACCTCGAAAATGGCTTCTCAGCTATTCATCGCATCAGCAGGGCAGGCACACCTCCCCCTCCCTTCCCCTCCTCGCTTTCAAGTGCCGATGAAGGGCGAGTGTGGCTGCGGAGAGGGGGATTCAGCGGCGCTTGAATGAGACAGAAGACCGCACACTGCCCGGAGTGGGTCCGTGGGAGCAGGTGAGCGCAGTGCAGACGGCGGCAACGCCTCCAGCAGGCTGCGACAGGCATAACAAACAAAACAGTCCAAGCCGGTAGACGAGGGCGTGTGCTCAGCTTTGTCTTTTGTCGTGCTGCCGGGTTGTGGCTCTACGAGGGGGAACATCTCCACCGCGAAGGAAAGGCATTCAGCTGCACTTTTGCGGTGCGGTGGCGGCGGCGGCGCGGAGGCAGGGCATCCGCACACGCAACACTGAACAGCAACTCCTGCCGCTGCGCCGCCCTCGTTGGAGTTGTCTCCGGTGGTGGCAGAGGCGCTGGCGGCAGTTGCCAGCTGTGAAGGCCGGTGAGCGACATCGGGTGGCCGAAACGCGCGCAAATCTTGTTGGTTCTGCTGTGCTGTGCGTCCTGGCAGCGCTTTCCTGCCGTTGCCTTCCTCGCGGTCCTGCACCTGACCAGCAAACTGCACGAGCTGTTGAATGGACTGCGGGTGCACCTGCAGCTTTTGCGCGGTGTTGAGCACGTTGAAGATCATGGTGCGATAGGACACAATCATGATGCCCACGAACTGCTCCAGCACCTGGTGCATCGACCGCAACGACGTCCCGGTGCGTAGGGCGGGGGTGTAGGTGCCGGTGATGCCGTGCAGCCGGGCGCACAACACCGTCTCCTTGGGCAACAGCGACCGCATCGGCCGGAGACACACAACGTCATGCAGCAGCCCGCGAAAGGCAGAGGCGTGAACAACGCCGTCGCCGCCCGCACCCGTCACAACCGCCGCCAGCGCCGCGACAGCACAACGGGCGGCGTTGTCGCCCAAGACGAGGTGGTACCATTCACGAGGGGAAGGCGTCGCGAAACGCGTGCGGTGCGCAGCTCCCTCTTCATCCTCGTTGTCTGCTCCCTTGCTGTTGATCCCGTTGCCGTTAGCTGCGCGTGGCCTCTCGCGGTACTCATCGCTCACGCGTTGCGCCGCGCGACAGAGCACCTGCTGTTTTACGCGGTCGTAGAGAGCTTCTCGATCGGTGAGAGAGAGTCTGCCGTCGTGCAGTGCGTGGCGCACCTCGGCCATGTACACGGGGGGAAGGAAGTCACTGTACTGGAAAATACGCACTTCGGACTTTTCATAAAGGAACGGCGATGGCTGCGTTGCACAGACGGCATCCTCTTCCCTTGTCCCTCCCGTGCTCACCGTCGTGGCGTCAGCCGCCGGGCTCTCGGATGCTGTTTCCGCGCTCCCCGCCGTCATCGTGTTCTTCTTCCTCTGCTGCTGCCTTTTCTTTTTCTTTCCATCGAGGATTTCGTCGTGGTAGACCCACCGGGGTGGCTGCTGCTGCACCAGCTTCCGCAGGAGATCAAATTGCAGCTGCATCGACGCACGCACCTGCTCCACCGCAGCGCGACGGACGCTGGAGGTAGCAGGAAACTGCGTTGCCTCTGCGGATGCGGCGGTGGTAACGGGTGGGGTAGGCAGGGGAGGTGGGATGACTAGCTGTGCCTCACACAAGTGGAAGGGCAGTAGGTCAAAGGCGGCCCCTGCCGACACAGTCGAGGAAGACAACAACGCAGGAGCCCCGGCCTTGTTGTCGCGATCGTGAAGGTGCGGAGGCTGCTGCCGATGGTACTGGCTTTGCATTTTGCGTCGCAGCTGCCCTAACTCACGCAGCAGCAGCAGCGAGTTTGGACCGCCTGACACGGCGACGGCTAGCGGCGTGTGGCTCGCTAAGCAGCATTGCTGAAGTGCGTTCTCACGCACGGCGCCGGTGCAGTAGTGAAGGAAGCAGTCGGTGCAGTAGAGCGTTTTGGGACCGTCGCGGCTGACGACGGTGCCGATGCCTTGCTTACACTTGAAGCACTGACTCATGCGAACTTACTAATTATTGTGTATATATACACAAACAGAGAATATGCCTGATGTGCGGTCATGTGAGGAGACGCCGTCGCTTCAGTCTTTTTAACGCTCGCGCACGTTAAATTATTAGTCCGTGATGACGCAGCGCCACTGAAGGAGAAGGGTCCCTCCAAGGAAAAATTAAAAACCCGGCACTACAAGGAGCCTACAACAACAACAACTAAGAATAGTTCGGAGCTTTACGTTGCTCCGCTTCTTTCTATTTTCAAAACAGACGCGAGCACCGCTCGCAACAACAAGGGACGATATATGTATATTTTTTAATCCCCAGGCGAGAAGAAGGTGACGGCAAGAGAAAGGTGGCGCGAGGCGTTATCATCGTTATTGAGCAACGCAGCGTTGAAGCGCAACACACCCGTTTCAGGTGTTGGGCACGTTGGAGAAGACAGAACTCACACACACACACACACGCTCTCCCTCTCTCTCTCTCTCTCTATATATACAAAACATCTGTCATTCGTTTCCGTTTTGATAAGGTGTGCGAATACGCTTCCACGGGGTGGGAGGAATACAAGTACACGCATGCACCACCATGCGGCGCAGCATCGCAGAGCTGTTGCTCTCCTCGCTCTCCTCGTTCCCTTTTTCCTTTGATTTGTCGCCAGTTCGTCGCGATGATGCCTCTCCCATCCAAGCGACGCGTGGCACAACAGCACCATCGCAAAAAGGGATTGTATTCAGCACTATTCGAAATACACAGCTAAAACCGATTAACACGTCACAGTCAGCATCAAGAAACAAAAAAATATTCAGCGGGACGGAGTGGGAGAGGGAGAGTGCGGCATACCCACTGAAGACAAAGAAAGATAAACACACCAATGTAAATGGACAGCAACAACGGCGGAAGAAAACATCAGCCGCCTCGACGACGCACGTAATAAGGTGCATATGTTTTCTTTCCTTTTTCTGGTCCTGCAATCATTATCACCGTCATCGTGGCGACAGGACTCTCCCCACATTTGCTCTGTCTCCAACCACTGCACTGGTGTGAGTATATAACGGAGAAGAAGAAGAAATACACAAATCGTCATGCGGCACCCCCAAAACCGTTCTCTTTCATCTCATCAGCGAGTTTGATCTTTCATATGTATAGGTATATATAAAACGTGCTTTCGGTGCCTTTGCGTCGCCTTCGCCGCGCTTCCTCGTCCTTCTCCTCTTTCATTCACCGCTTTATACGTAGTGGATGACATCCACCGATCTCTTGCTGCGCTTCTGCCTCTTGGACTTTTTCTTCCTACTCGTACTGGTGCTATCAAGACGGTCGTTGCGGGCCGCGTCGCCGTCTCCGTCCGTCGTGACGGCGGCGACGTCCTGTGGGGCGGACGCGGTGCGCACCTCTGCCGCTGGCGGGGCAGGCGCGTCGCCGGCTGGGGAAATGTGAAGGCCGGCCGCAGGTGGCGGCGGTAGCGATGGGGCGCCCTTCGCCTCCCCCGGGGAGAAAGCCAACGGATTGCTTTGCTTCTTCCACGACGTGCTGTGAGGCACAGATGACGCCACCGCTGAGGCAAGCGATGCAGGCAGCAACGACGCTACGGCGTCCGCTCGGCCAGAGTATGCGCCAGCGGCAGCAGTCGGAGTGTCCGGCGCTGCCTTCTCCTGCCGTCGCCGCTGCCGTGCCTGCCGAGCCCGCTGACGACGCAGCGCCGAGGCGGGCTCCTCGAGATCACACAGGACGTCGCCCGCCCCCTGCTCCCGCGCACGCTCGCTCAGCTCGGCCGGCGTCAGCGCGGCGAGGTGCGAAAAAACCGTATCGAGGAACTTCCACTGGGAGTGGTGCACGCAGTGCGTTACCTCCCACGGCCGCGCCGTCCATGGCAGGTAGACGCCGACGGACTTTTCGGTGTCGGCGGCCGGCTGGGGCGTGGCGGTGGTCGGACGGGCTTCGGCGCGCAGGGCAGTGCCGCCGCCCGTCGTGAAGATCATCAGCCGCGGCGCAACACGACGGAGCATGCTCTCTTGAAGGTTTACAGAGTAATGATACTCAAAAAAAAATGAGAAGAATAAGAAGAAAAGAAAACACAGTGCCAATCAGCACAACAGCGCTGGAGTATATCAAAGAAGGGGTCGCAGATGGGTGTATTCGTTTGAAAAAACAACAACGTCAACAAATAAGCGATGAGCGCGATAAAGCTGCGTTACGGGAACAACAACAACAAAGAAGACTTCGCATGCAGCGACGGCGAGAGAAGGAGGGAAACGACAGAGAACAGCGACGACAGTGGTTTTACAAAACCGATCGTACGCGTCCTTTTCTTCTTACTTCGGGTTTTTATTCTGCTCTAGGAGGCTACGGAAGGGAGGCGGGTTGGTTGGTTGGTTGCGGCGGCGGCGGACCGTGGAGGCGAAAGAACCGCACAACGCTTGGCCGCTGTCTCAAGCAGATAACCTTCAACGGTGGCAGCTGAATTCGGGGGGGGGGGGTACCGTGATGGCAGATAAAGCGTAGAGATAGAAAAGCCCGAGATGCGGTGAAGCACACACACACACTAATACAAAGACAAACAAAAGGAAACCGAAGAAGGAGGAAAAAAAAGGTGTCTAGAGTGAAGAGAGAATTACAAAAAAGAGAAAGAAAAAAAAACAGAAACAGCGAGAGAGAAGAGAAATCTAAAAAAGAACGCTGGGAAGGGGGGGGGGGGCGGGGGGCGGAAGAGAATCACAGGAGGCGAGAGCGCCGTTGAAACGGACCTGTGTACGCGCAACAAGATGTGCTGGGAGGGAGGAGGGGGGAGGGGGACTGTAGAATGCTTGTCGGCAGATCACACCACGCACAGAGAAAAAACAAACAAAAACAAGAGAGAAATACTTACCGGAAGCACCTCGCTGTTTTGATGATGAGTTTGCAGCGTGAATTGTCGGTGATGCGCACGTTCCACCGCAGCAACAAACGAATGAAAGACGGCCAAGAAGGGGTGGGATTCAGAAGGGTGGAAATCGGAGAGAGAGAGAGAGACGGACTGTGCGAGTCAAGCTGGCCTCCGTAGCGTGCTGCGAACGTCGCAACGAACGAGGGCGGGAGTGTGTGTGTGTGTGTGTGTGTGTGCAGGGGACGATGGAGCCCAGCAGCCGTTAGAAACAAGGAAGCGCACGTCTCTTGTGCGTGTCGGTCGCGAAAGGGTCGAGACAGCATGACAGCCTGACCCCGGATGGAGGGCGATGTGCCACCATTTCGACATCAACAGCGTTCCACCCCGCCTATTCAAAACCAGCCGTTCGTTCTTGACAGCATGAAACGTACGGGGAGTGCTTCGCCCTTCTTGGCTAGCATTTTACGTTCATATGTATTCCCCGCAGAGACCACGGAAGAGGAAAAAGACAGAAAACAGAATCGATAACACACACGCACACTTACGAAGTAGCTTTCACCGCTTTGCCATTCTCAAGAAATCGCGCAGACACCATCGCCTCTCGAAGGGAGAAGAACAAACAAAAAAACAATAAAAAGAAAAAAAAGCAGCAGAGAATGCAGCGATGGACACGGCGCATCTGAGCGCTCTCCCTCCCTCCTTCATCTTACGGCCAATTTCAAAATAAAGAAGAAAGAGACGATTAAGGTGAGCCAGCAAGCAAGGATCAAACACGCATTCTCACAAGAAGTACCATCAACAGCAATACGATGCGCTGTGCTACAGCTCTTGTGGTCGCCTCGCAAGCGAACACACAAGGGGGGTCAACGCATCCTTAATATGTAAAACCCGAGAACAAAAATCGCATGAGCAGCACACGCGAAGAGGAATAAATCAGCAACGTACAGACACACCTCCTCAAAACAAACAAACAAACAAACAAACATAAGAAGGGAAGGAAGAGTAGAGCGAAAAAAATACACGGTTGAAAAGCACCGGAAAAGCGACGGACAAACACCGCAGTGAAGCAAAGCAGAACAGCAAAGGAGACCTCAGTACGCACAGCAAACCCACACAGGCGTCAAGAACACGCGTTGGATACCAAAACAAACGAATCGCCAGAGCAGAAGCATTAGCCACGGAAGTGTGCCACAACCCTCCAACACGCACACACACACACTCATGGAAACACAAAGATGAGGTAGAGTAACAGCAGCAAGAGGGAAAAAGAACGCATGCGGCAAAAGTATCTATAAATATAAATATAAATATAAATATAAATATATATATATGGTAGGGGTGTAGAGGAAATGAAGGAGAATAGAGTATATTATTTGCAAGGTTAAAATAAGAGAATATGTGTTCGACCTGCTTTCCCTGCTGTGGCCGCGCCAACATCAACAACAGCAACAACAACACATCAAACATCGAAAGAACGTGCTTCTCTCGCGACAGCGGGGTGCCGTGGGGGCGAGCATCAAACAACGCCCAATAACAGCAAAAAAGAGAAAAGCCGCGACGTCGTCTCCGTGCCTTACCCCCCCCCCCCCACCCACCACCATCTCTCTCTCTCTCTGTCTCCTCTGTGTCGCTTTACGAAGTTGTCGAATCCAGGTCTTCGCAGCTGCCCAACGACAGCTTCAACCCGTAGAGCTCAAACGCCAACATCTCACTCAGCTTCACCAGAAAGTGATCCGGGTAGGCGATATCCAGTGCATCGTGCACGTCCGCCGCCGCCGTCAACGCCGCGGGCAGGTCGGTGGCGTTCAGCGAGAGGTCGTTGGCGCACCCCGCGACGCTATCCACGATGCGGCGCACGGACTTGCTGACCTCCTCTGCAAACTCGCGCACAAACTGCGCATCTGCGGCGGACGAGCGCAGCAGTCGATGCGGCACGTGTGCAAGCTGGATATCCGACTCACGGGGAGGAAGCGTATGCTTCGGCGACGACGGTGCGGGGGCCGACGTGGACCTGTTGTTGGCGGCGGCGGTGCCGACACTATTATTGCTGCTGCTGCCGCGGCGGCGTGGTCCTTCCCGCATGGCAGCTGGGGTGTTGAAAGCGGAGCTGAGCGCGGTGGTGGTCGGCGTAGCCCGCAGCGGCGTCACCGGACCGGCGCCGCTGTGCGCCATGAACCGTCGCATCGGGGTCGTGATGAAGGCCGCCTCCTCCGACGCGTATCGATCGTCGTTGGCGAGGCTTTTAATCTTGTCGTTGTCCGGAAGCGTAGTGCCCGAAGGTGGGCGAAGGGACAGGGCGGGGGCTTGGATGACCGCGATCTTGTCACGCAGCGGCACCCCGCCCCACGCACACGCCGCCCGCTCCTCCTCGTCCAGCATGCCGTAGCTGAGGTGATAAAGCTGCCGCAGCTGCTCATAGCGGTTCAAGGCGGCGCGCTGGAGACCCGACAGGCCGTTGCCGCCTTTGCCGTAGTCTGTCGCCCGTGGGGTGGCGAGCGAGGTGGGGGCGGCGGACGTCACAGTGATCGCCCGGCCGAGGGGAGGGCCGGCGTCTGCGTCGTTCTCGTCCTCATCCGCGTCCTCGTCGCTGCCCACGTCGTCGGCGCCGGCGTAAAGCGGCGAGGAGGCGGGCGTGATGGCGTGCAGGTAGTCCTCGCCGGCCTTCACCAAGATGTGCGGCACGTACTTCTGCAGCCGCCGCGTTAACGGGGCGTCCTTGCTCATGTGGAACACTTCCTTCAGCACGAAGTAAATCCCGGCGCCTACGAGAAAGTCAGGAATCTCGCTCAGCTTGTTGATGTTCGGGAAGCACTGGAACAGGAAATCCTTCACGAAATCGTAGTTGCACCGGCATTCCTTCTCCTGCGCCGGGTCGTCGTCGGGGTAGTGGGGCACGTAGATCTGACCGACAAAAGACAAGTCCTTCGTCGCCTCCCGCATCCACTCCCGCTCGCTGCGCACGCCGTAGCAGTCGAGGATGATGTCGTTCCGGTCCGCCACCCGCTCCAGTCGGACCTGCCGCTCCTCCCGCGTGGGCAGCTCCCGCTGCTTCGCGTCGTCAAACGGGGTGTGGCTGAAGATGAGCTGCCAGGCATAGATGGCCGCGGCGCAGAAGACGCGCGAGTTGAGGTGGTAGGCCATGCCCCACTGCTCAAAGGGTCGAAGGAAGGACTTCGAAACCGGCTTGCGGTGGTGCAGCTCATCTGGGTCCACCACGCTGTCGTACCGCATCGTGGCAGGGATGAACAGCGTCGTCGCGCTCGTTTGCTGCCGACTGCCGCCGCGGTAAGAGGTGACGAGGGCGTTGACGGTGACGTCCAGCGGTGTGACGCCGACACCGGCGACGCTGACGGAGGGGCCGTCCATCGCCGCGGAAACGGTGCGGGGCGGGATGCGGGCGGCGTACTCCCCGCACGGGTACTCGCGGAGGTCGCGGAGGCGCACAAAGCAGACGCCCTTCATGCGCCACAGTCTCTCGTGCGGCGCCGTGCTGGCACCGTTGCTGCGGCTCGCGTAGGTGCTCGAGGCACCAGCTCCAAGACGTGCCTCTGCCGCGGGCGGGGCCTCGCTCTGCTGCCGCTCCGCCTCGTCGACTACCTCGTTCGACTTGGCGCGAGTTGTGTTGTCCAAGTACGCCATCGGCGGGTGGGTTGGGTAGTGCAAGGCCACCGTGCATGTGGCGTGCAGCAGCGACGGCGGGGCGTGCAGCAGGCGGTGGATCGCGGCTACGGTGAAGCTGCTGTCCGACTCGTACGTGCCCATCGCGAAGGTCGAGATGCCGCTGGCGACGAGCGGCAGCGGCGGGATCGGACCGACACCACCACTATCCTTGCCATCTTTACTCGTAAGGGACGAGCCTGAAGTGGCGGGTGTTGCGACCGCGGCGGACGCCCCACCAGCGGCCAGCGCCCTTCGTTGCTCCTTCGAACGCAGGAACTTCTCACGACTCGTCGCGGCCACGGTGGGGCTTAATGTGGCCAGGAAAGGAGAGACCACCGACTCGATCGGCTTTTGTTTATTGCTACTACTGCTCCTGCGCGTCTCGACGACGTCCGCCGCGTCACGCGCGCGACGACGCAACCTCAACCGGCAGACACACCGAAGAAGGAAGTGACGCACACGCCCCTCCATTACTTTACGGTGCTGCCGCTCGTTGGCGACGGCGTGGGCGGCACGCACCTGTGCCACGCTTCGCCGCCGCTCTCGCACGAGCACCCACCAATCCACTATGTGCTGCGCTGCCTTTTCCTCCTCTACCGTGGTCACGCGCAGCGGGGTCGCTGCAGAGTGGTCGAGAGTCTCCGCGGACGTCAGCGCGGATGCCGAGGCGAGAACTTCATCCTGCGCCATCGTCACGGACAGGGTGTGCGGTGCGATGGTCGCACTCGACTGCTGACTCGCCGACTCCGTGGGCAGGTCGCTCTGCGTCGGCAGCGCGGTCGTCTCCTCCAAGTCAAGCCGGCGGGGCACACACGGCCCGCTGGACAGGATAGACATGTTCTCCGCGATGCGTGCGCAGGTGGCGCTGAGGCCGGTGTTTCCGTCACCCTCGTCCTCCGCGTCCCCACCGCCGACCGCCGCCGACTGCTGGCCGAAGACGGCGGTGCCGGAGGGGCTGATGGTGCCTTCTAGTTGTTGATTCGGGCTGTGTGTGATCGACTCGAACGGGATCTTTCCCTTTCCCCCGCACACGAGCATTTCGGCATCCGGGTCTTCCTCGCCTGGTCTCGCCGCACCGTCCGTGCTCGCTACTTCTGGCACCTCCACCACCACGCCCTGCGCAGGCGTCGCCGCCGCAGTCGATGCCTTGGCGGTGGGCGGCGTGGAGTAGCTCGTCGCCCCCTCCGACTTCAGGGTGTGGTCGGTGGACGCGTCACTATTATCTGCTGTTGCTGTCATGGCTCCTGCTACCCGCACACGCGGCGAGGTGGAGAGGGTGTCAATCGGTGAAGCCGAGCACGGCCGCAGTGAGAACTGCTGCGCCGCGTCACCTTCTACTGCGCATTCCCTCTCCTCCTTCTCCTTCTCCTTCTCCTTCTCCTCTCCATCCGCCGCGACATCGGGGGTGCTCGGTCGGGTCGCCCCGGACGCTTTGCGCGACGACACAAAGCGGTGCTCGAGCGCGTTCCACATCTTCCACGCCGTGGCCAGCTGCCGCTGCCGCTCGACCTGCGCCGCCGTCGTCGTCTGCGTGTGGCGATGACCGTGTGCGCTGAGGCGCGTGTGCGCCACGGAGGCCGTCGAGGTGGAGGAGAGACCGCCGGTGCTGCCGCTGAGTGTGCTGTTCAAGACCACGGTGCCTGACTTCTTGCGTGGCTTCTTGCCCGAGGAGGACGCACCGGAGGCGTTGCTGCCGCGACCACCTTGCGGCGTCAACCACGGCGCGACAAGGGCGGTGCGGGGGGTGTCGGAGGAAGATGCCGCACCGCCGCCACCTGCCACCGTCGCAGCAGATGCTGTGGTTGTGGTAGCGGTGCCGACCCGTGTAGAGGCCCCGGACGACTTGGAACGTTGCCCTGCACCGCCGCCGCGATTGCTGACACCCGCGCTCTTCGCCCGCTTCGATGTCTTCCCCCCTGCACTCTTCTCCGCCGTGGTCGCGCTCAGCAGCGACGATGACGAGGACGCTGCGGCGGTGTTGGAGGCGATGCTAGCGGCGGAGGCCGCGGCGAGGTCGGTCACGGTGTACTGCAGCGAGTTCTGCCGGCCGCTAGCGACGTCGCCGTCGACACTCCGCCGCGGCGTAAGACCGGTGGCCGCCGCTGTCGTCGGCTGGATGCAGTGGAGGACAAAAGTCTCCGCAGCGCTGTTGCCCGACACGCCGGTCGTGGTGTTGTTCTCGGTGCTGCTCGAGCTGATCGAGCGGCGCTGCGGTTCGGTGTTATCGTTCTCGCTCGGCGCCGCATCTTCGGTGGACAGCTGCACGGTGAAGAGTGGCGCGAAGGCGCCCAGACTGGCGCGGTGCCGCGGCGTGCTCTCGGCAGAGGAGCGCCCGGTGACGCTGCCGGCTGTGGTGGTGGTGGTGTCACCACTGATGCTGCCACCGCCGCCTCCTAACCCTCCAGAAGATTTGGCGCTCTTTGCCTTCTTCGTGGCCGTCTTAGCGGACTTCGTCGTGGTAGTGGCAGCTGGTTTGGTTCCCTTGCGGACGCTGCTGGTGTCACCCTGCGAAGGCCTCTTCGGTGTGTGCGTCTCCGCCGCTGCTTCGTCGTCCGTGTGCGCACCGTTGATGTTGGTGTCGCTGCTGGCGAGCGTTGCGGCGAGGTTCTGCAGATACTTGTTGGGCACGAAAAACGGGTTGTCGAGCATGTCGGCGTGCTCCAGCTGCACCAGCGACCCGGCGGGGGTCTCCTCTGCTGCGGACACGGCGTTCTTCATCGGCTTCGCCGCCGCTGCAGCAGTGCGTGCACTCCCCACAACCACGGCAGGCGTGCCGAGCGCCGCACGCACCGTCTCACACACCCCACGGAGCTGCACCGCAATCGACCTCTCCTGCGCCTCCACGAAGTCCACAAAACGAATGGGCGGAGGACACAACGTCGTCATCGTCGCGGAGGCGCCGCCGCCTGTGCCGCCCTCCAGCGCGCTCGTCGATGGAGTTCTGTTGTGCGCGGTGCCGCTCAGCGGCGACTGAGCCGCGTCTTCTCGTTTGCTCGCGGGGCCATTGACAGTGGGAAACGGTGCGCCCGGCACGGCTTCATTGATGGAGGATGGCGAAGGTGTGGGGATGAGCTGCGCCAGCGTTTGCGATCGGTCAGCCGGCGATGGAACGTTGTTATTATTATTGTTGTTGCCGCAGGTGTTTGCCCCGGACACCGTGCTTTGTTGCGATATCATGGCGGCGCCCAGCGGAACAAGCGCCGCGTGCATCGGCGGGAGGGGCCCGGCGAACTTGCTGAAGCTCTGGCTTTTACTGCTGGTCAGCTCATCTTCGTTGGCCGGGGAGGGCCGATTCGTGGCGGGCCGGTGCGCCAACCGCGTACCGTCGGCCAAAACGCTCAAGAGAGCTACAACGGCTCCCTGCACGTTCTGCAGCCCATCCGTCAGCGAGGCGGCCTTGGTCGTGGCGGAGCGACGACTCACGATGGCGGTAGCGGCGGCAGCAGACGCGGTGTTGGGCAGAGGTGAGGGGACGCTTTTGCGAGACGCGCTCAGTTTGCGGGGTGTCGTGCCGAGGCTGGAGGGCACCGGGCTCGATGCGGCTGGCACACCCTTTCCGCTGCCGACGGGACCACGGTGGCTGTGGGAGACACTCGTGTGGTTGGTGCTGGTGAGGTGAGCAGGGTTCACGGGCAGCGGTGCAGACGACTTGTACGGTGCTTCTCCTGCGGTGTTGCTATCGTTGTGGCTGGATGCACTCGGCACCATGACGGACGCCGCGATGTTTAGAAACGCCTGTAGCACCTCATCGAGGGTCTGCTGCTGCTGCTGAAGGTGCTTCATGCTGTCGACGTAGGGGTACAGGTGCTCCGCGCAGTAGCGCGAGATCCGCTGCGCGTACACGTCCGCCATGGTCTCGCGCGGGGTCGGAGGCACCGACGTCGGCGTCGCTGCAGTGGCTTTGCTCCGCCCGCTCGTGGTGCCCCGCGTACGTGGGGTGTGCCCCGCCCCGGTGCCGTGCGCCTGGCTGATGCTGCTGCCGAGAATGCTGGCTCGATTCACCGTCGTGATGCGACCGACACTGCCACTGCGCTTCGCCGGCGCATTCGTCGTGGTGGTGGTGGTGGAGGGGACCGTGCCACCACCCGGGGACTTCGCGCGAGACGCGACCGGCGTACGTGCGCGTGGCGTAGCGGCGGTGGTGCTGCTGCCCCGCTGACGAGCGCCGCCGCCAGCGCCGCGTGGCGTCGACGTGGATTGTTTGGCTGCTGCTGCCGCTGTGGTGCTGACGGGTACGTTGCTCGACATCCGCGTTACGTCCAGTTCCTTCACGTCCGCTGCACCCGTGGCCGCCTCACCGGAGAACGTGCCTGCTGCGATGAAGTTCTTCGAGTTGTGCCTCTGCGGACGTTGCCCGCTTTCGTTCTCCGTCGACTGCAGTCCGCTGATCCATTCCTCATTCGGGAGTTCGCCGACGGCGCTACAGAGTTGGATGTAGCGCTCCGCCAGCTTCGAGTAATCCTGCCGCAGCGGAGTGCTTACCTCCACCCCACGCAGAGAGGGGATGCTCGTACGTGGAGTGGGGGTGAGAGCCGCAGCGTCGCCGACGAGGCGCCCAGATGGCGGCTTCGCCGCGCTGCCACCCGCCGCCACGCCGCGGTTGTTGGTGCCCGTAGTGGGCGTCGCCGCGTCCTTATCGTTCGTGAAGAGGCACCGCGTCTCGAGGCTGCCGCTCACTGGCGAGGACGCGCCTGGGGAGTTTGGAATGGACAGGATGGGGCGCTGCTGGGAGGCCGAAGGAATCACGGCTGACGGCACCAGCTTCACCACGCCGCAGTGCTCGCTCGCACTTTGCCCACTCGAGCTCATCTGCGTCCGTGCCAGCTCCAGATGCAGCGGCGACGACGGCGAGACCGTCGGGGCGGGCGTGAGGCAGAGGGCCGGGGACCCGGGCGTCGTCGCGCTGTTGTTCGTCGCTCGCATCACCGCCGCTCCTTTGCGCGCGCGCGGTGGTCGGGAGGGGGCCGGCGAGGGATCGGCGCGGCGACGGTGCGGAACAGCCGCCGCGGTGCGAGTGCCGCCGGGCAGGAGAACGTCGCCGCGGGCGTGTCCAGCGCCGCGTCCACCACCACCACCGACGCCGACGCCTTGCCCGCCCATCGCCACGTAAGACCCGCGTGGGCGGGGTATTGAGGTCGGGGTGGGCGCACCGCGACCTGCTGTTCCACCCCCACCTCCTCCAGCGGCGGCTCCTGCAGTGTCGAGAGCGTTCGCAGCCGGCGAGCCGTAGTACACCGTGCTGGACAGAAGATTCACGTTGTCGGTGCTGTCGAGCAGGTCGAGGGCGAGGGCAGGGCTCGCGGTGTCGCCGGTGCGACGGTTCGCGACGGAGCGCGGGCGGCGGCCAATGTGTGTGCCGGAGGGCAGCCGGTTCCGCGCACGGGTCCGCGTCGCGGGCAGCGGACCGACGTCTCGTGGGAAGAAGGCGGGGGACGACTGCGAGTCGATGCTCACGGTGCCCTTGTGATCCCCTTCTCCTGCCGCTGCCGCCGCTGCTGCTGCTGCTGTGAATGCGCTGGGTGCGCTAGGGATGCGTGGCGTGGTGCCTGCTGCGCCGTCCAACCGATGTGGGGAGCCGACGGAGGCCGTCCACGCGTGACCGCCGAGGCGGTCGTCGCGTCGCTCTCCGGCCGCGGTGGTGTTGCCGTAGGGGGAGTCGAAAGAGGTACTGTTGTCCAGGCTCGTCGTGGCCTGGTGAGGCGCGGTGCGCGCGGCCCCGATGTGCGTCGTCGGGGCGGAGGGCAGCTTCAGCGAGAAAAAAAAGGGCTGCGCGGCTCCGGCGGCTCTGGCACCCGCAGCGAGCGCGGCCGTGGTGGGGGACTTGGATAGATCGATGCCGTGCGCGTTGCCAACGCGCCGAGCCTCGTGCGCCGTCCCTTCCCCCCCTCCTCCGCCGCTCGTTGGGGAGCCTTTGCTGGCTTCTGATTGGGCAGGTGCGAGGGGGACACCCGCATCCCTGCTGAGAGAGTGAGGGGCAGACACCACGACCGCCTCGTCGTCGTCGCCCGTGTCGTAGCGGTGCCGCACGCCTCCGTTCGAGCGGCGCAGGGCGGCGGTGGCGGCAGCCGAGCTTGCCATGTTCTCGTCGAAGACGGGAGAGGAGTGCGATGGCTGCGGTCCGTCCGTGCAGGACCGGGGCGAGGTGGCTTCTACGGTGGAGCCCGCCGTCTCATCCTCCGGATGAACACTATGGCTGTTATTGCTGCTGCCGTTGTTGGCTGTGTTGCCGGCGCCGGAGCGTTCGAGCTTCAGTTCCTCGAAGCTGCGCGGTGCCGGATGCACGGTCACGCTATTACGCTTCATTTGCGTGGCGAAAAAAATACAATATAATCGCAGCACTGACGCTGATTGAAATTCTCAGAAACAAAGAATCTCGAAGAGTAGTGTGCGCACACACATACAAGCGTTGACGGGGCACGCTTCTTCCTCTCTCCAAAAAAGAAAAGGACGAGGAAAGCCAGTCAAGCAAAGAAGTAATAATACTAATATATATATATATATAAAGAGATGAGGAAAACTGTGATAGCAGAGATCTCCGTGAAGTAATATCAGCAATGGGAATAACAACACCTTTAGAAGAAAAACGCGAAGATGGAACGCGGAAGACGACGAAGTAAAGTACGAGGTGTATCAACAGATTAAGGCGATAAGAGCACAACGAGCAGAGCAGACAAATCGGGGGGGGGGGGGGGAAGGGAAACAAACAAACAGAAAAAAGACAAGCGTCACCACACACACAGACACATACACACTAACACAGACAGACGCACATACAGCCAGATGGGCACCGCACCACAGGCTTTCTTCAAACTGCTGTCTCCCCTCTTCCGCAAGTTTACCGTTCTAAAAGGCTTGGGAGAGTTTGACTACAATAAGGGTACTATCTGAAAAAAAAGGGAAGAAAGAGAATAGTAAAAAAAAAAAATCAACCGGCCCCCAAAATAGTAGCTAAAGGAACGACAGCAGCTGTCGCAGCTGGACAAGACAGAAACAGAAGATGATAGTAGTGATGCCAACCAAACAAAAAATCAACAGCAGTACCGTTGCCTGTGTTTTCTTCTACAGCATGTGCGACGAAGCGCCTGAATAGCAACACCGTGATGGAGAAGAACGGTACGAAGGCGTTGTGAGCGGGGCGAAGGCGGAGGAGATTCAACCCGAATAAACCAGCTAGGCTAAAAAGAACAGCGCGCCGCGCACCAAGAAAGAACCCAAACTCGTCCGAAGCGTGAAGAAAGGTAAAGTAAGAAGAAGAAGAGAAAGATCGCGAGAAGGCGCAGATACGATGAATCACGGCGATGAATAAAAGAAAGGAAAATCACACACACACAACAATGCCTTCAATTCCTCACAAAAAAAGGGAGTAATCGATGCGTTTGGGGTGGCACAACAACGATGATGAACCGCGCCTTCTCCTTTCGCCGTTTTCTGCTTTTCTTTTTTAAAGCCTGCTGCAGCTGTGGAAAGGGCAGATGTTGCTGTGCAGCTGCGGACGACAGAAACACCAGCACGAACAACAATGCCGGTCTTCAAGAGGTAAAAATGTAATATTCTAAGTTGTACTCTACGCTGTGGTTGTCCGCGTTCTTCCCTGTCGTCAGTTTGGGAGAAGGGGCGGGCGGGGGAGGGTGGAAAGCAACGATCCCCTTAAAAGAAGAGAAAAAACAACAACAACAAGAAGAGAATAGATGATGCTGAAGCAAGAAGGAGTGCAAACGCACCGACGCGAGGGTGTTCTGACGAAGCGCAGCGAGAAGCGTCGCCGGTGCCTGTGAAAGAGACCAATAAACCAACAAAAAACGACACCGAACACAGGCGTCGCGGTTGTTGCTTCTGCTGCTGCTTCGAAGAGGAAGAAAGGTGAGGGGAAAACAAACAAACAAACACGTTTGCTCCTATAAACCGAAGGTACAGGCTCTCTGTGTCCCACCGTCGGCTCTGCGTTGACGATCAACAAATGACAAACAGGGAGAGAGAGAGAGAGGCGAAAGAAGGAGGGAGGAGTTAAGGTTCAAGAAACAAGAGAGACTGAGCGGTACAAAGCACAGCGCACATCAGCAGCACCTGCACAGCTTTCGCCAGCGGCACATTAGCACGTCTGTCGAGCCAGTGTATGAACTGCACGTTGGCAGCTTTTTTTTTCCGGCCTCGCAGCGTTGATGCTAGCGTGCTCGGCAAGGCAGAAGCCCAGCACCTGCGCGACTTCTAACATTACGTTACTATTTGAAATACAACCTTGTAAACAACGAGCAATGACATGTATGATTCGACGCGTGCATCAACGCTGGAGAACAGACCTGGAGAGAGAGAAAAAAAAAGAAAAGAAGATCGAATCATAGGTGAAAGGCAACGCAACGGACAAACGAAAACATCCGTATACGCAGATTCCCCTCCTCCCCAACAAGATAGGATGCGACGGATACTTCCACCTAAAAAAAAAAGAAGGGAAGAAAACTTGCACGTTACGAGAACGGTAAACAGCGCTCTCCGTGTCTCCCTCTTTCTCCCCCCGTCTGTTTCGCTGTATGCGTCGAGTCTACGGCACGTAATGTGGTGCCTTCGACACGCGCAGGTCCACAAACGCGCCCCGCAGCGCGTTCAACTTCTCCTTCTGCTCATCCGACAACAGTCGCTTCTCCTTCTCCGTCATCTCGCGACTCGTCACACCGGAGGCGAGTTGCAGCACGTAGTCGTACCAGGACGAGTAGAAGATAGCCGCGGAGACCGCATCGGCATCCATGTGGCGCTGGAACTCTCCTTGCACAAAGCGATTGCCAAACTCCTGCTGCTCAGGGGTGAGCAGGTAACGGAGGAGGTAGTCGTCCGCCGTCTTCGCCGCCACATTCACATCGTGTTCTTTCACATCCGCCGCCACGGCTGAACCGTCTTGCGTTTTCTGAACACCGGTGACGGCCATCACCGCAGCCTCTGGGCCCTCACCGCGGGCCGTGTGCAGCGACACCGCCACTGTTTTATTATGCAGCCGCAAGATCGCACGGTACAGCCGGATAAAGGCGAGTCGCCACTCGGCCGACATATAGGCCCAGTCCCGCAGCTGCGACGGGTGCGGCAGGCCGGCGAGGGAGAGGCGCAGGGACAGGTTCGTTTGGAGGGTGACGTTGTGCATGACAGAGGTGTGGAGACCCGTCGGAGTCGACGCAGTCCGTGCCGCTGCTGTGGCTGTTGCCGATGAGTCTCCCGTCTGACGGCGGTGATCGGCAGCGGCCTTCTCACGCAACACTCGCGTCTTGGCGGTGGCGCTGAAGGGGCCGTACCCCATCGGCCGCGCCACGGCGTCCACAACCATTTCACTGCGTCTGCTACCGCCGTTGATGTTGTCGTCATTATTGGAGGAGGCGTGGCGATGTGTGGCAAAGAGGCAGGTGCTGGCTGCGACGATGGATCGCGTCGGAAGGTGGGAGAGGGCAGAGGTGAGCCGATGCTCTACCGGCCCCTGTACAGCGCGTGTGAGGTACCTCATGGTTGCATGCCTTCGTTTTCCGTAGTGATATCCTTTCCCCCCACGACAGCGGCAAGAAGCAGCACAAAGATAAACTACGGACACAGAGCAAGCGTGAAAGCGAGGAAGAAGAGAACGAAAAGAAAAGTCGAAGCGAGATCGCATTGCACGCGGAAGGTCACGAGACTCTTCGGCGGGTCTTGGTGCTGAACTCACGGCTGATGCCCACCGCCGGCACTACACACACACACAACGCATCCATACAGATTACATTGATTCACACATACACACACGCACACATGCTGCGGAGAAACAAGTAAAAGAAGGAAACAAGACGATTACGATGCAGCGGAGGAAATCCCCCCAAAACATCAACATCACGCAAAACGATCATTGTACATATATATATATATATATAACACAGAACAATCCACAGACAAGGTAGCGAGACATGGCGATCCTTATCTCATAATATACATGGACAAATAAAAGAAAGCAGTTTCCACCCCTTCCGTCGCGGGCGAGGGGAGAAGGAGCGAAGAAGCAGCACGCACACGCACACGCACACGCACAGGCGCCTCAGAGACTGGACGAGTTGGGGCTTCCGCTGCTGTCTGCCGAGAGGCGCTGAAAAAATGAAGCAAAGCGCGACGACCTCGGATTTGCCTTGCCCACCGCCCCGCCTTCCAAGCTGTTCACAGCGCCACTGCTGTTCAGCAGCGTCAGTTGATTCCGCTGCGTCTGCGGCATCGGGTAGCCTTCCATGATGTCGATCTCCTTTTCACGCCAGAGCCGATAAACCTCCTTCGCATTCTCGGCGCGCTCGCGCTGAATCTTCACGCGCGCCTGCAACAGGTCACCGCGCTGCTGCGCCAGCACATCGATGCGCCGTGCCACCGGCAACATCGCGACACGCGGGTCGATGCCCGCCTCGGCGAGCGCCGCGATGGAGCGCTCCACGAGCACGTGCTGCAGGTACGCGTTCCACAGAATGCGCGACTGCAGCCGCACCAACTTCTTGCGCAGCTGCCCCTCCACGTCGTGGCAGCGGCGTGCAGCGAAGACAGCGTCGGTGTAGCTTGTCGGGTTCAGCGCCAAGGCCGCGCACAGGTACTCCAGCGGCTTGCCGGTCGCCGGACGGGCACTCTCTGGCAGCACCGCGTGCTTCATCACGTACAGGTGGATTGCCTCGTACAGCTTGCCGAACTCCGTCAGCGAGTCACGCAGCCGCAACACCTCTGCCGTGCCAAAGCGGAGCTGCACAATGTGGCCGAGGGGGTCGCAGGTGTTGCGCACCTTCAACGGCCACGGGTGGTAGCCGCACTCGTACTCGCGGGTGAGCATCGGTAAGAAGAGGGAGCTGGCAGACTCAATCAGTTCCTTCATCGCGTTCAGCGTCGACGTCAGCGTGACGTTGTCGCTCATCGTGCTGTCGACAAGCGCGGCGCGGTGGATCAGACCTTGCCCGGTGCTGTGCAGAATGGCCTTGAAGAAGTGCAGTTGCTCCGCCACGTGCATGCGAACAAGGTTCAGCTCCGCGCGGATTTCCCCCACACTCGCCTGCAGCGTTTCGCGTACGCTCGACATGTCCGTCAGCGCACGCAGCCGCGCCACCTCCGCCTGCTGCTCGCCCACCACGAAGTTGTGCTCTGCAGTCTGGTGCAGCAGCGTCTGCTTCAGCGCCTGCTGCCGCCCCTCGAAGTCAGCGCGGAGCTCGTCCAGCTGCTGCTTCGCGTTCTTGCGGAAGCCGCTGTGCAAGACCTCCGCATCACCGAGTCCACTCTGCAGCTGCTCCACCGTATGGGACGGCAGCACCGCTTCCTCCTCCACGGCGAGTAGGGCGAGGTCCAACAGGCTGTGCACCGCGTCCAACTCGGTGTGGAATCCGTCACTGCGCGAGCTGGTGAAGGTGGTAGTGTGGCCTGGGGAGTTGCGGTGACCACCTCCACCGCCAAGGCTGTTGCTCGTGTTGTTATTACTCCCACCACCACCACCACCACCTCCATTCCCTCCATTGCGGGATTGTTGAGAGGATCGATGCATACTCCGCCCAGCACCACCACCGCCTGTGCCAGCCGCGACACTGAGGCTGCCGGCGTACATGCTCCCCAGACTTCCGCTGCCACTCCGGCAGTCAACACGCGGCTTCTGCTGCATCACCGCTGAGGCGGCCATCGGGGTCGACGTCGACAACGCAGCGGCGTTGGACTGCTTCTGCTGACGTGCGTGGCCGTGGTGCATGCTCCCGCCCAGCCCACTCGCAGCAAAGGAAGTGTCCTTGTGCAAACCGGTGGCGCCCATCCCGGCAGCGCGCTGTGCATGCGTGCCTTTCCCCGTGGCCGGCGACGTCGAGGCCGATACGGCGGTGGCGTGGTGCAGCTGCGTACGAAGCATGTTACACTCCCGCAACAGTGTCTCGCGCAGGTACTGCACTATGCGCTTCTTCTGGTCCGTGTACTGCTCTTCCTCGCACAGCTGATCGGCCAGGGCGCTGCGGTGCTGCTGGGCGTCGGCGAGTTGGGTCTGCAGCTCCTCGATGCGCTGCTGCAGGGCGGCGTAGGCGGACTGCGGAACCGTCGTGACTCCGTTTTCTTCCGTGATGGTGCCGACGCTGACGAGCTGCGTGACGCGGTGGGCCGCAGCGGCGTCGGAGGCCAACCCCCTACGCCCTCGGTTGCTGTTGCTGCCGCTGGACTGATCTTCGTCCCCACAGCCGCCCCCCATCATTTGCTCCGCCATAGTGCTGGCCACCATCTCGCTGACCTCACCAAACGACTGCGCCGCGGCGTTGGAGGTGGACATGTGATCGCGCAGGATGGGATGGCCGAGGGAGCGCTGCGACGGCAGCTGCGGAGTTCCCCCCGCCGCGGCGTTGTGTTGGCGCGCCACGGAGGCGGCGAGGCGGGTAGACTTGCCGTAGCTGGCAGGCAGCGGCACCTCCGGCAGCTGCGTTTGCGCCGACAGGTTGTTGCTGGTATTGGTGTTGTTCGTGTTGTGGACGACGGTGTTATTGGTGATGGTAACAGGCAGCGCGTTGATGTTAGGTAGACGGGTGGCGCCGCAGGTGATGGAGGCCAGCGCACCGACCCCACCACCATTACCATTACCAGTACCATTGCCACTACGACCCGAATCCGCATTTCCGCCGCCGCCGTCACCGCTGCCCACAAGCTCCGCGTGAATGGCACCGGTGTCCGCCTCCTCCACGTACTCCCCGCGTGGCAGTAACACCGGCCGCCGGCGCAGTTGCTGGTAGACCCCGGACACCGCCTGCTGCACCGCGACAGAGTTTCTGCACCCGCCGTGACCGGACGCACTGGAGTAGGCAGCGTACTGCGTGTAAAGCGGAATCTCCTTCAACAAGCGATCCAGCAGCGCACGGGACTCAAAGGAGAAGATAATGCAATCACGCAACGACCCGTTCTCGGCGAGCGTCATCTTCTTTTGGAGGGTGTCCAGGACGTGTTGCACGACGAGCCGCAGCGGACGCGGGCAGGGTTGTTCCGCCATCTCACGCTCCACATCCGCGTCACTTCTGACGCCAGTGCGGTCGTCAAACGAGCTCGTCGGGGCACCAGCGGCGGGGAGAGGCTGCTGCTTGAACTGCAGGAGTTGCGACGTGCCGCCTGCCAGACTGCGGATCACGTCCTTGGGTTGGCTAGGTAAGGGCTCCCCTGCGCCTGCAGCGTCACCTACTCTGTTGCCGCTGCCACCGGATGGTGGAGGGCGAGACGCAGGCAGGGAGGGCCGCGGCGAGGTGAAGCGGCGTGCCTCGTCGAAGGCGTCCCCCTCGTTGTCGGGCTGCGAGGAGAAGGCCTGCAACGGGGCCCGGAATGACATCGGCTCCGCCGTGTGTGCGCCAACGCGCGGTCGGTCTCGCTCACCACCGTCGTTGAACACCTTTTCCATCGCCGCGGCTCGTTCTTCGTCCTCGCACTGCAGGTCGAGGTTTACACCGTACTGCTCCGCGAGCGAGGCGCGCGAAAACTCCGCGTAGTTCATCTCCCGCTGCAGTCGCCGCATGATGCGACTGTAGACGTCCTGCAGGTTTGGGTGCACCGCGGCGCCGTGGGCGGTGGTCGGCTCGTTGCCGTGGCCCAAGCCGGCTCGTGCATCCCTCCCGCCGCCTTCCCTGTAGGCATGCGCTGCGGCTCCGCGACCACTACCACCTAACGCACCTCTGCCGGCGTTCACGAACGATTCCGCGTAGCCGGCACCGCCGGTAGAGTCGGCGTTGCCCGTGGTGCCCTCGTTGGGGCGCATGAACAGGTGGCTGTGGTTGTTGCGTCGCCGCACCGGCAGCGTGACAGTGGCGTGCGGGGTGTTCATGTTGTTGACGTACACCCGTGGGGAGGCGTCGTAGTCCGCGTCGTTCTCTACGAACGCGTGTGACATGATGGGGAGACTATTAAAAGAAAGAGAGATAAAAAAGGAGGAAAAAGGCACTATTGAAACAAAGAAAGAGGCGGCGCGCCTCTGGTACGCTTTTGAGGCGGGGGCGGGGTGACTTTGCTGTGATTCAAGCTGCTACCGCGCCGAAGGAGGCAGGCTTCCTTCAAGGAGGGAAGGGGGAGAGAACAACAAACAAACAAACGAGGTATCCGCACGCGGCTCGCAAGCGGTCCTGCTGAAGTCGCGAGAAGGGAGAGAGAAAGACAGCGGTGGGGAATGAAAGGCGAACGAAAACAGCAGGAAGTGGTCACAGGAAGGTACGGAACGGCGAGTCTTCTGCGGGGTGGGAGAGGGGAGGTGGGCCCTGCACGTCGGCGCACACATCGCATTCACAAGTCGTCGTGGAGTCGACAACATGTGAGACCCAATTGAAAAGAAATGGTGCAATTGTCTCGGAGCGTTGTTGGCGGACTAGCTCTAGAAGAGGAGAGAGAACATCACACACACACACACAAGCTTGCGTCGGTTTTGTATCCGAAGTCCACGTGATGGAGGTGAACGTATATATATGAATGCAAAAGACGAGATACACACCAGGGAGAGTGACTGGTGCACATGATGGCTTATTCCGTTGAATTCGAAAAGCATCAGCCACACACACCAATAAGCAGCTGTCGTCGCCGACGTTGCCGTTGTGCACGTGCGTACGTGCGATCGGCAGAAAAGTACGAAGAGCCTACCAAACAGTTTCGCAGTCCTCTTGGCGTGCTACGATGACGGCGACCGTGGAGGAGGCGAAGGCGAAGGCACGTCGCCATTATCGGCGACACCGGATGGTGTCGTGGGGTGGTCCTGCTCAAGCTCCGGTGCTGCTTTTGGAGAGAGGTCAGCAGATCCATTGGCGGCAATTCTCGCCGCTCTGTTCGCGGGTAAGGTGACCTCGTGCAAATCGGTTTCCGCTGACGGCACGCATTCTGGCAGTCCACTGTAAAAGGAGGAGACGGAGCTGTAGTGAGAGACTTCGTCCTCCAACAATGGGGACGCGGCTTCTGGCGCCGGGGCAGGCGCGCTCTGGACTGTGTAGCGAACAGTGGTGTTGCTGCTGTTCGTTGTGTCAGATGAGCTTCCCCGAGTCACGCTACGAGGAGGCTCATCTCCACTGCCTGCCACCTGCGGTTTCGCCACAACAGATACAGGATTTGGTTTCCCATTCGATGGGTCATCCCCCGCTCGACCGTTCTGCTTTCTGCTTTCGGCGATCATCGCATCTCCTGACATCCCCGCACTCCTGCGCCGCGTTGCTCTTGCCAGCACCGCGCCATCGTGGTCGTTAATGGTGACTTCCAGCTCACTCGGGCGCGTCTTCGACGGTGCGGAGAGATGCGCACGGAGCAGCGGTACCGCGACAACTTCGACGACCCCACGAGGTGGTTCAGACACCGCCGTCGCCGTTGGGGGCGGAGGAGAAAGCAGAGGAGGGCGGCGCAGCTTCGGCGATGGCGTCCGCGGCTCCGCAGCAGATGCCTCCTGCAACGGGCTTGCAGGAAAGAGCTCGAGCGCTACCGTCGCGCCGCGGTCAGCGGAATCTACGTCATCTTCCATCGCAGCAGGGGTAGCTGGCACAGAGCCCTCGGCAGATCGGCGTTTGCCGCGCCGCAGCGACACCGGAGACACACTCGACCGGAGCCCTGCACCTTGTTGAACATACTTCTGCAGACGCGTCGAGGCGGGCTCGTGCGCTGTCCCCCCAGCGTCTTCGCCGTTCCATTCCTGAGCTTCAGTAGGGGGTGGAAGGCTAATATCCCAGTCCTTCGTACGCTGCTGTTGGTGCGGTTGTCTTGCCGAACGAGCTGCCGGCTCATTCGAGGGCGAGATGAGTATTTTGGCCGAGACGGGTCGCGGTTCAGTAAGCGGTCGTGTGTAGGCGCTCGGCGGTGGCGGGAGTGATCGAGACGCGTGTCGGATGGGTGAAGCAGCCGCCTCGTAAGCCGGTGCGTAGACCTTTAAAAACGATTGTGGCGGTGGCGGTGGTATTGATGGCGATGCGGATGCTGATGACGCGCGTTGACCTGCAAGACGGCGGAAGGCGGAGGCGACACCCTCGACCGCCGCCGGAGCTGGTAAGTGTGTGGGGGAGACAAAGCGAGAGGCCGGTTTCACGGACAGCGACGACGCGGACGCCGCGGCGGATGCGGAGCGCGATTGCGGGTTGGCGCCGAGTACGTTTCTGCTGCTGCTGTGGATCGCTGCTGTTCTTACGGGGCTCGATGAGGGTGTGAAGGGCGACGAGGAGAGAGGAGAGACAGAGACGGACGACAGGGGAAGGCCCGCCGCCTCCCCGTTGGATGTGTCTCCAGTGGATTTGCTGCGTAGCCCTCGTCGCCGCGTCGGCAGCTCCTCTTCCTTCGCAGCCTTCTGCACCGTACGTGCGGCGTCCCCATCACCGCTGTTCTCCCTGAGACGCCACAGCCGGTGGAAGTGTGCCTGCAGCATGGACTTCAAACTTCTCTCGTGGTGTAGGGCGATGCGAAGACGGGCTTCTGTCTCCGCGTGCACGACGACAGAGAGGTGTGCTTGGTGTAGGAGACGGTCTGCCGGACGGCGAATGCTCCGCCGCTCATCTTTCCTGTTTGGCGTGCCTCCAATTTTTTCAGCAGCTTTTTCATCTGCCAGCACGGCGCGTGTGCTTGCAGCGCCACTGAACCTGTCGAGCTGCCGGTGTGCGTGCAAAGGAGAGGTGACGGGATGCCGCCGTTGTCGTTCATCAGCATCCCCACAAGCACCGTTTTTCGTGTGGCTACGTTCTGCGACGCCGCTCATCAGCGACACACCGACATCCCGCTCGGTGATGGGCGTTACACCCCGCAGGGAAGGCGTAGCGGCACTTTTGCTAGGCGATGCGGCGCGACGATGGTGGCGATGCCGTGATGGGCGTGTGCTCGAGCCATCGCCGTGACCATTGGTGTTGATCGCTGTGCCTTCGCCATCACCGTCGCTGATACGCTGGTAGATCCACGTGCGCTGCGCTACCGGAAGGGCAGGGTACACTATCGTCGTTGCCGTTGCCTGGCGTGCACGCTCTCGGAGCTCCACCGCACTCTGACTACGCTGATGCGTCGGCTTCGCTACTTCATCTTGCGCATCGATTCGCTTGTGCCAGTGTGGGGACAGCGGCGATGGCGAAGACCCTCGTTGACGAGCTGAATCGGCGCGTGGTTTTGATTGCGTGCGTGCGAGCCGCCTTCCCAAACTTATGTCGCGCTGATGCCGACGACTGTGTCGGCGAGGTGGCGTACGCGTTCTATGAATGCCGGCGACACACGGCGAAGCCGATGGCGCAGTGCCCAGCAGAGGGGACAGCGCGTGTTGCCCCTCGAATTTCTGCGCATTGGACGCTGAGTGGCTGCGGAAGGCGACCGCGGAGGCGGGGAGGACTTGCTGCACCTGGCGCATCCCCATCACCATCTTTGCGGCGCTGCGCGCCATCCCGTGCAGCACGGCCGTGCGTAGACGAGCCTCGTCGTCGGGGTCACACCACGAAGCAGCGTCTTCTTCCTCCTCTTCATCGTACCTCGCACGACGTGACCGACTCCTTCGTGTAGATCGACGTCGTGAATGCGGTGCATTGGATGAGGCGTAGAGCACCCCGTCGTAGCGACCGTCGTGCCACACATCGTCGCCGTCATCATTATCATCGCCGTTGTCAACGCTGTTGCCGCCGACAACGTACGGCACCCACTGCGCGGATGGGGCGAGCGAAGTCCAATTCGCTGCCGTGGTCCTCTCTGCTCTCTTGGCAAGTTCGTCACTTTCGTGTTCCTCTGCTTTCTTAAAGCGCTCCAGCTGCTGCCCCGCGATCGGCGCACAAAGACCTTCATTGCGATTTTCACGGTTGTAGGGATGGGCGTCGGCGTGCACACCTGCGCGACGGCGATGCAAGCTCGCCTGTCTGCTCTGCTGTTGCGGACGCTTGTCCCGCTCCCGCCGAGCAGCGTGGGCCTGCACATCAAAGTGCAGTCCTTCTTGCAGATACGTTTGGGTGGCATTCATGGCCGTGTCGGCGGGCGATGGCGACATGGACGAAAACACGGCGGAGGAGGAAGGGGAAGGGAGGGGTTGCGGTAGCGGCGCCACCGTCCCCTCTGCGGTCAGCGGCACACCCGAGCTGTTGAGCTGCTCCACGACCTGCCGCCATTGCAAAGTGACGCCGGCTAACAGGCGCGACAGGAAACGTGTTGTTTCGTACTGCTGCTGCAACGCGACGGCGGTGGTAGCGGTGGTGCGGGGCGTGCGTTGCGCACCACTGCGCGCACGTCGTGTGCGCGGTGGGGTTGACGGCGGTGGTGGCTGCCGCCACGGCGGAACAGCGCCGCTGCTTGCGAGGGAGGCCGCCGTGCTGCCGCCGCGTGGTGCGTACGGGTGGGGCGAGATGGTCGGCTCGAGCTGGTGATGCAGGGATGGCGGGAGGGAGCGGCTTCGCGGTGGGGTGCGGCGGTAATTATAAGATGAATCCATTAGGCCCTGTATGAGTGTTAGAATATTATTATTATTATTATTATTATTATTATTATTTGATAGTTGCACCGCGGCGAGTGAAACGACGAAATCAGAATGAGAAGAAGAGGAGAGACACACGAGAGTGTTGATGGGCGCCGGCTCTTCCTCTATTGTTCTACGTTTCTTCTGCGTTGGTTCCTGTGAGGCGGAAGACCGACCTTCAAGACTGCGGTCAGCGCACACGTAGTTTCGCGAACGTCAGCGTAAACAACCAAAACGTGCTGGGAAGATGCGGTGATCGCGGAAGCGTTAAACACGACACTCTGATACATAGTGATATACACTTTTTTTTGTCCTTACCATGAGGAGTCGAAGCTACAGGGGAGGCGTTGAGACTTGTGGAAGTCTACCCATCCGTCTCTCTCTGGAGAGAGTGAGACGCATCCGCCCCTCCCCTCTCGCTCTCTCATCTCCATTTCTTTTTCTTTGGTTATGCAGTCGATTCTTTCTTTTCGCATTTTTGACGGTTTCCCAAGCGCGTACGTGCGACAATCGAGTGGAGCAACACACACACACACACACATGACTACCTCTCTCCTCTCCTCCCGCAAAGAGAACGGTAACGCGCTAGGGGAAAACAAGAAAATTAACAACACAACAAAGAAGAGAAAAGTGGGAAAAAAAATACACGAAAAGAAGGACGGTACAAACCGCGTAGATACATCGAAACAACCGGCACACGCCTGCGACGCGGCCATCTCTCTCTCTCTCTTCCTCTCTTCCTCTGCTTAGGTAATAAACAAAGCTTTAAGAATACATTGATGTGACATACTAATAGAAAACAAAAACAAGACTGCAGAGGATTGGGAGGAACAGGCACGAACAACAATGACCACACCACACACACACACACACACAACGAGCGTCGTGTGTGCACTCCACATACATGCGCTTCGCAACAGCGAAGAGGGCAACAGGTAGAAAGAAAACCCCAAACAAACGATGGCCGGCAAACAGTACACCAACTCCCGCCTGCTGAACGTGTGCGATAACGTACATCTGCAAAAAGAAAAAAAAATCCACGAAGCGAGGTGCGACACAACAACGACAGACGAGGGAGAACGACGATCAACGTGCATGCACAACTCCGCCGTGGAAAGGGTCACTGAGAACAACAACAACAACGACAACAAAACGCCAGAGATTACAGAGGGAAACAAGGTAAACGGAGAGTTAAAATCACATGGAAGTGCCCGCACGTGCGCCAAGGTAAAAAAAAAACAATGTATATGAAAAGAGGAAGGACACATCAGCAGAAAAGACGCGGCGCGGCAACCCGAGCGAAGAGCCTTAAATATATGAATGTACTTTTTAAAACACCTTGCGATACATCGCCGCCTACTTTGCATAGTTTAAGCGAGAGATGGCCGGTAGCGACGACGGTGGTGCGGCTGCTTCGCCCTTTGCAGACTTTCCGCCCCGCTCCTGCGTGGAAGCAGAGCACGTCGCATCCGTTGTTGTTGCAGCTTTAGCGGCGGCGGCTTCCATCGTGGGAGATGCACCGCTCGTGCTCCGCGTTGCCGTCGCCGCTGCGATCGCGGGAACCGGCCGAAGATGGCCCATGACGTCGACAAGCCCGTTCGCCGGCTGCGAGAGCGAGGCGGTGCCCTGCTGTTGTAGCTGCCCAGCTGAAGCCGTCCGCGCGTAGAGCTGCTGATGCTTCTTGTCCGGCAACGACCCGTCGGCGTTGTGGGGCGCGGCGGTCAGCGCCGTCTGCAACGACGCCGGCACCTCGTCCCACCCCAACTTGCCGTTGTCCACGTCTTGCTTAATGTTGTGCACCAGCGGATGCGGTGCGCCGCCGCCGCCGTTGTACAGATAATTCTGCTGCTGATCGACGAGGATTTCCTCAATCGTGCGCGGTCGCGGGCCCTGGGTGCTGTGCAGCCGCGTCAAATCAATCGCCTTTGCGGTGCGCAGTGAGCTGGAGCCGTACTGAACGTCAGCCCGCTGTCGACGATGCTGCTGCTGCTGCTGCTGCAGCTTTGCACTGTCTGCCTGCGATATCGTCATCGTTGTGGCGGTGGTGCCGCTTATGTTCAGTCGCTTTCCTGAGCTACTTCGTGCGGAGTTCGAGTAGTTCTGCCGCTGGGACGCTGTCAGCGGAAAGGCGCAGCCGCGTGTCTCTTCGAAGGTGCGCGGGGGGAGCGCATGTGGGTTGCGGCGAAACCCACCGCTGCTGCCTTTCTCCAGCAGCCGCTGCTGCTGCTGCTGTGTTCCAGATGCGGAGGAGGAGGACGTTGTTAGCAGCGGCGCAAAGCGCGTGCCATCGCCGAAGTTGTACATGTGATTGTACTGCAGCATCGTGGTGTCCGGGCTGGGGTCGTGTGGGACGTAGAAGCCCTTGCTCTTGTGGTTGTAGTACACATGGTCCATCTCCGGCTGAGCGGGTTTGCCTTTGCGGGGATCGCGCCGACGCTGCACGCGCACCTCGTCGAGACCGGCAAAGGTCGCAGCGTCGAGCATCTCCAGCTCGCGCTTTAGCGTCCCACTGCCGGCGGTGCTGTTCCACGTCGCACTCGTCTGTGCGCCGGCGGGCACCGACGAGGAGTAGGAGGAGGAGTGGTACGTATTTCTTTGGGACCCGCCGTATCGAGTCTGCCGCTGCTGCTGCTGCTGCACCGCACCATCCGCGTCCTCTTCCCCTTTTACCCCGTTGAGGGGCCGAACCGTGTTGCGCGGCACAGTGCCCAGGGTCGGCTGCTCGCCGTAGAACGTTTCGTTCAACACGTCAGATGGCATGTGATCGGTGGAGAGCAGGTAGCGAGAGTAGGAGCCGACCTCCATGCGATTCGTGTGGCTGTTGTCTCCGCCACGCCGGAAGACGCCGAGGACGGTGTTGGGCGTCAGCGCGGCTGCGGCTGCGGCAATGCGCACCGTTTCCGCGTGTATGTACGCGCCTGTCGCGTCTGTGTAGGTCGCCTGTGGAGGAGAAGCCGCATTCGTCGCCGCAGAGGAGACCGCCAGGTCAACACGCGGGGGTGAGGCCGACAGCGCGGACCGCGGCGAAGCGTGTGAATGGGCTGACTTGGCCGAGGAAGCCGTGGCGGGAGTGAAAAGAACCTTTTTGCCGCTGTCCGCCGCAGAAGTAACCGCCGCAACGGCGGGATTCTCGGCCGACGGCGTAGGTGTCTCCGTCGCGGCTGCGGCGGGGGTGTCTGCTGCGTCGTGCGGGGGGCTGCCGGGAACGGGCAAAGTGTCCGTCTCTTGTTTGGCAGCGCTCTCCACTTCTGGTGTTGCAGCCACCACCACTGCTTCTGTTTCTGCTCCTGGTTCTGCTATTGGTGCCTCTGGTTCCGCTGGTGCCTCCGGTTCCGCTGGTGCCTCTGGTGCCTCTGGTTCCGCTGGTGCCTCTGGTGCCTCTGGTTCCGCTGGTGCCTCCGGTTCCGCTGGTGCCTCTGGCTCCGCTGGTGCCTCTGGCTCCGCTGGTGCCTCTGGCTCCGCTGGTGCCTCTGGTTCCGCTGGTGCCTCTGGTGCCTCCGGTTCCGCTGGTGCCTCTGGCTCCGCTGGTGCCTCTGGCTCCGCTGGTGCCTCTGGCTCCGCTGGTGCTTCTGGCTCTGCAGGTGTTTCTTCTCCTGTCACTTGCTCAGGCGCAGGGGGAGGCGCTATCGAAGTTTCCAACAGCGGCTCCTCGGCCTGGTCCTTCGGGACATCCACCGCAGCCGCCGTCTCGTCCGCAGAGCTCATTCTGCAACTTGTATTTCCTCTTTGCTGTTGTTGTTCTTGTGGTGGCGGTGGAAGCGGAAATCCACACGATGCGCGTGTATGCGTTGCGTCCTTTAGGAAAATCTTACGTGATGATAAGAGTGAACGATGGAAGACGATTTTTGGCGTTGCAGGCAGAGCTTGAAGACAGAGGAGAGCAGAACATGAAAGGAGTAGTACTCGTACTCGTGGTGGGAGCCGGGGGCTGGCGCTCCATAATGTGTGGGCCTAATCCCTCCGTCCCCGAATGGCAGGGCTAACATGGCATCCGCCAGCGCCCTCGTTGAGCACGTTTTTACTCGTCTTACCCAGCTGTCCTCTCTCTCTCTCTCTCGCCCTTTCTTTCTTCTGCCCTGCCGTATGCAAGCCAGAAAGAGAGAAAGAAAAGGCGAACGTGAGAAGCGTTCCGACGAGCGACGTTGACAGCAAAGAGACGCACAGTTGCGTGGCGGCTACGTGCCTCTCCGCACCACACGTTTCATTGTACCGGTAGCTTGACAAACTCTTCCTGTTCCAACAATAGAAGGAGAAAAAAAAAGAAAGAAATAAACTGTGCCTGGAGAGAAATCACCATCACCTACATAGTTGCGGAGAAACACGGTAAAAAAATAACAAGAGAAGGTATCGTACATGCTCAATACTACATGGATCTAGAAAATCGAGGTCCGACTTCACGCGCCGCTTGAAGGCCTTTACCCGTTACCAGTTGGGCAGCTCACGCACCGACTGCACGTCCGCCGCACGAGTTGCCTTGGCAGAGAGCGTCTCCTTTTGCAGGTGCATCGTACTGCGCATGTGCTGATCGCGATGATACTCGGCGACGGCCTCGGCCTCCGCTACCGTGCTGCGCGGCGGCGGCACGCCTGGGCCGACGGAGGGCAGCAAGGTAAGGCCGTAGTACGCTTTGTTCCTCACGCCGTCCTCCACCACCACCGCCGCCGCCGCCGTCCGTGCGTCCTTCTTCGCCGGTGTTGCTGGCGCGCCATCCGCCGTAGCCGCGGCAGCGACGGCGACGGTGCTACTGGACGGGGAGGGAGCGCTGCCCTCCGAAGGTCGGACGACACTCGTCGACTCCTTCGGCTTCCGCTGTTGTTGTTCATACATCATACCGAGCTCAGCTAGCGTGTGGTCCGGTGCCCCGCACACGTGTGCCCTGCAGCCGCGGTCACGCTGTCGCTCCCCGTCTTGCTCCCGCTGCTTCTGCGCCGCCTCCGCATCTGGGTGGATGAAGCAGTCCGTGTTGTTGTATATCCCGCGCCCACGGCGGTGCGGCACGAGCCGACGCTCATCCTCCTGCAAGGGCCAAATCATCCGCTTCGACGGCTGCCAGGGCAGCTCCGAGTACATGCCAGAGAGCTCGTCGTAGTGCCGTTTGCCGCCGTTCTTGGAGTGTAAGACGTAGTTACCGCCGGGCGGGTGTGGGTGGTCGGCGTTGCCCTCCCACGGCGTGGCGTTCACGGCGTCGTGGCTGCTGCAGTCGCCATGCGCGATGAGGGCGTGGCTGAGGTGGTTGTACAAAATATCATCCGGCTGGTGTTGCCGGCCGAGGCGGCGCAGGCGATGACCCGGTGTGCTGCCCGGGATGCTCTGGTCGGTGTAGGGAACGGGGTATTGCGACTGGGTGAAGGCGATGGCGATGTGGTCTCCCACCCTGTCGTGGTCGGTGTCGGTTTGCGGCGACGACATGAGGGAAGTGCAGTGGATGCCTATTAATGATAATCATAAAAGTACTGCGGCGCTTATCGCGGTCAGCTTGCCGGCATCACTGAAAAGGAGAGCGCAATCGAGTCCGTTCCATTAAATCATTAAAAGAACAAGAAAGCACACGAGGAGAAGTGTGAAGATGGATACAGGAAGAGACTGTGTTACTGGCCAACAGCAACCGCGCTATTACAATAATTTCCTTTCTTTTCTTGAAGAGAGCCGAGTATTCTCAAGAGAGAGAGAGAGAGAAGGATTGTTTCATCCTTCTTGTTTTCTCAAATTCGGCTATTGATGCGCAGAACGAGGTGCGTTTGGGGCTCAGGGAGGTGAGCGGGGCGAACGGCTTCTTCTGCGCACGTCCACCTCTGCAGCAACAAAGACAAACCAAAAACGGCCGCATTGAGCGGCGCGACCCTCCAACCCAAACGCCGGCTGCGCATGTGCGTCTCAACGCTGCAGCCGCGTCGTTGTGGATGAATACATACATACATATTTTCTTGTTTATCTGGTGTGTGTCACCGACACACGGATACACACACACACACGAACACACACGGCTATGGAGTTACACGAGCACGGGAGCTCCCGCTTTTTTATATCGAGAAAGAAACAATTCCCCACTTGTCCAATCACTTACGCCTTCATTGTTGTCGTTTTCCTTTTTCTCCCTCCGATAGCCATCCGCGTAGTTTCGATGCTGCTGCAGCTCCTCCACCGTCCCCCGCACCTTTCAGGAGAGCGAAGGGAAAAGGAAAGGAGTAAATATATCGGCGTTCACGCAGCACACGTTCAACGACGATACACACAGAAGTTCACCACTACAAAAACGCAGAAAGCGTGGAGAAAGGACAAGGGGGAGAGAGTGTCTGTGTGAGGAACGCGGACGGGCTCGCCGTTCTAAGTTGCCTAAGATGTAAAGAGAGAAAAAGAGGTTTGTGGATCGAAGGACCATCACGTGGGGGAGAGTGAGATGGAGAGCGTCAGCGGCTACGAAAGAGCTTCAGGAAATCCAGCAAGAGAAAGAAAAGAAGAGCGACGCAGCTCAGCTAATTCGGTGAACGAACGATCCACAGAAAAGAGAAGGAAAAATATAGATATGAAATACTACCCTACAACACACACACACACACACACACACGCACACGCACACAACATGCAAAGGGAGAAGTAAAGAAAGCTGTTGCTCGAATCGTGAGCGGAGGAGAAGAAAAGGTGGGACGGGAAATTGAGAAACACGGAAGCAGCCATTTGAACGCGTCGTTAAAGATCTCCCCTCTTCTCTTCTCTCCATCCTCTTTGGTTACGCAACTCCCTTCTTCCCCTCATTTTCACAGCCACCGAGCAGCCTTCGCTCACAAACACAGAAGAGAAAACACATAGGACAGCACCGCTCTCGTACAGTTGACACGTTGGCTTTTTATTTCCTTTTTAGATGCCCATCTGACGCATGGATGGGAAGCCGAGCATCTCGCCGTGGCCGTACAGACTAGCCTTGTGCGAGAACATCATGTCGAATACCTTCTTCACATCCGCCGCGGTCACGGCGCTCACGGCGTCAACCAGCTCATCAATCGAGGTGGGGACAGTGGAGCCGCAGTCCTCTACGGAGAGACTCGTGCCGAGGTAGTCGCAGTAGTCGCGGATCGTGTCCGTGTTCTGCACGAGGATCTGCGTCCTGGCCATGCTCTTCGCCATCGCTAGCATCGAATCGGCAACCGAGGCTTTGTGCGCCTGCACACCCTTCACGGCGTCGGTCACCATGCGGACCGCCGACTTCGGCTCCGCCTTCGCGGTAAAGCCGATGAGCCCAGCCGTCTCAAACGGGCTGTAGAAGGCACGCAGCCCGGTGTGCTCGTGCATCTCATCCCGCGCGTAGCGCATCGAGTCGCCGAACTGGACGTCTAAAATTGCCTTCACCACCATCGACGCGGCGTAGTCGCGCAGCGTCTTGCGGTCCTTGCCGTAGGCGAGCCAGCCCACCGCGCAGATCGTCTCGGTGTCCATGTCGGGCTTCGTGCCCATCACCTTCGCGCGGTCCTCGTGGTCCTGGCGCTCCCCACCCGTGTACTGCGCCGCCTCGTTCTGCACGTTGATCTTCGGCGCCTGCGCGCGGGCGTGGTGCGGGGCGGAGGCGGAGTGCGGAAAGGGCGTGTTCTCGTACTCCGCTACGAGGGCGGCGTGGTCGACGTTCACGCCGGCCACCACCACGCGCGAGGGCACGACGTAGCGGCTGTACTGGTCGAGCAGGACGTTGCTCGTGATGGTGCCGTTGCTGAGCGCCGGCACAAAGCGGGGGTTGCCGAGGGGCTCGCGGTAGAAGGCGACGGTCTCGAGCATCTGCTTCGCGTACTCGGCCGGGTACTGCCAGCGCAGCTCCTCGACCTGGTTGTCGATGGTATCCCGGAAGCGCTCCACGTCTGGCTCGTGGAAGCGCGGGGCGGCGATGCAGGTGAAGATGTTGTCCTGAACCAGGTTCAGCGAGAACTGCTCCTCCGCGGGTTTGCTGCTGACGACGCGGCGGCTCGAGCGGGGGGCTGAGGTGGCGGCGCTCTTCCACTTATCGGCGCGGGCGTCGATGCGGATGCCGATGTAGTGCTTGCTCTTCTCGAAGTGTGACTGCGCCGCGCCGACGCTGCGAATGTTGCGGTCGAGCTGGAAGAGGGCGTTGTTGTAGTTGCTCGTGGTGAGGGCGAGGTGCATCATCGCCCCGGTGCCGGGCGCGCTGGGTGGGTCGTAGGCCGGCCCGGCGAGGATGTACGCGCCGACGGACACCGTCGGGCCGCCGAGGTTGTGCGAGATCACCCGCACGCCGTTGTGCAGCTTCGTCACCTCGACCTTAGCGGCCGCCGTGGCTGGTGCAGGGGAGGGCGGGGCGGGCGGCAGGCGGGAGCGGGCGCCGACAGAGAACGGCTTCGTCAGCGGGGTCTGACCGAACTTGTATTGATAGATGCCGCGAGTCTGCGTGCCCGACGCGGCCCTGGCGGAGGCTACGACACGACGGAGCATGATGATAAGACGAATGTAAATATTTATGTATGCGGCGGCGATCAAAGACGAAGAAGGAGGGGGGATAAATATAGTATTACTGAAGACAAATCCGTGAAATAATAAAAAAGCCAAGAAGTGTGTGTACTGTCCGCTATTAGGCTAAATATATGTGCGTGTAAGAAGGAAGGAAGGAAGGGAGAGAGCGACACGAACGTGTGTGGTTGAATGATTATTATACACACACAAACACACACACGAGTAGCGAGAGAGAGAGAGACTGAAATCTGTGAGACTGCCGCGACAAACCTCAGCGAGTCCTGCTAGAGATAAACAAAGTGACCTATTGTTTTCTTATACCTTTTTTTACTAAGCTTTTCTGCGATGATTTTTCCTTGTCACAATGTGTGTTTTGTTTTTGGTAAGGGTGTTGAGCTCAGGTAAGAGAAAGGGAAAGTGGAGGAGAGAGGGAGAGAGGGGAGGGAAGCCTATGCAACGAGAGGAACGCACAACACGCGTCACCAGCGTCAGTACGCAAAACAGGAGGCTTGACACGCAGAGTGCAGCGCACAGCAGGAGTGTTCTACGCTCTCTACAATGGCAGTACTAGCTTAGAAGACCACCTCAAGGGTATATCTTTTTTTTTCTCTTTTCAGGTGTATTTACACCGGCTTTAGCTACACCTTCGTGCTCATACACACACACACACACACACACCACCACCACCACCACGAATGGTATTCAGTTGTGGGGGCACGCGGAGCGCTTCGAAGGCGGAAGGGAAACTCTTGCTGCCTCGAAGAACAATACCAACGCAAGGCAGCGCAAGTTAAAGCAAGAATAAGGGGGTAGCGAAGAGAAATAAAAAAGAAGCAAAAAACCGACGACAGCGACAACAACGCAGAAACGGAAGGCGCATGGCAGAGGCAGCACCGGAGAAGGACGCATCTGTTGTAGGCGGTGCGCAGGCTGTGGTGAGTTGATTGCCTTTCTTCTCTAGGGTGTGTGATGATGGGTCTAATGAGGGGTACTGCGCTCATCACGATGTTCTATCGAAAATGGGGAGCATTCTATTATCATTGCTAAGGAGAAATAGTGGCTACCGCCAGAAATGGCGCGTTCACTTCCCGAGTGGTGGAAGAGAGTGCACTTGGATGTGTGTGTGTGAAGAGAATTCTGTGACCTTCTTCCCAAAGGAAATGGAGTGTGGCATCGGTTGTCGTAGACCTAAAAAAATAAGTAAGTATACAGATGATTCTTTAACGTATGAACTGAAAGAGAGTAATAGAGAGATGGTGATGGTGATGATGATGATAATAATGATGATGATGGTGATATCAATATAGCTTGTGATGCTCTCAGAGAGCGAATCGAAATGACCAACAACAAACACAAGGTGAAGGAGCTGCTTTCTTCACTGCAGTCGAGACAGCGCAGCGGCGGTGTTGCTGAAAGTGTGTGAGGGGGAGGGGGACTGTTTGATCGCGTGTATTCTTCTCGGTGCTTTACTGTGCCTTGTGTTTCTCGCAAACGATTGTGGGTGCACAGGTGACGCGCAGACACAGATACACACACGTGCGCACGTCAAGTCGCACATCTGTGCGTGTGTCTTGCTGACCTGCCCCCCTCCCAGCTTTTGACGTGAATGAAGAGGAAAACAGAAAAGAAAAAGAAAAGTGTCGCTGAGCGGACGCAAAGCTCGTGTGTGCGCTGTATATATATATATATATATTTCTTTCCTTTTCACGGTTCTCGTTTTATCATTATTATTATTGTAGTAATAGTACCTCTAGTGTGTCTTCCAAGTTCGCGTATGAGTGCTTTCTCGCCGCTTCGTGCGCGTGCAGAACACGACGTTCGGCACGACACAAAGAATCAGACAAACAAACGCCAACGATCAACGACGCAGCAAGAAAACAAGAGTAATAATAATACCACTACCAACAACACCAAAAAAACATATCAGAGAACAAAAAGAAATGTGTTCTTCATCACCTCTACGATTTGCACTTTTCTATAGAGCTGCCGCGCTTCATGTACTTCATGTATGTTGTATATATCTGCGGCTCAATCGTCTACGTGCATGGAAAAGTGTGCTTGTATCTGTGACGGTGGGCATTGGTGCACGGAGGAAAACGAAGAGGAAGAGAGAGAGGGAGGGGAGGAGAAAGAGAGCGCGACACGGAAAGAAAAGAAAAGAAAATGCCCTCTTAACGTTGTACAAGGAAACAAAAGTGTTGTGGATCCACGACACGTTCTCTTCGATTTCAAAAGACAAAAACAACAACAAAATAATCTTCCCCGCCCCACAACAACGACAAACGACAGTAACATCAACATCAACGTATATATATATGAGGGAATAAGAAAACAACACAAACAACAGCCTTATAATGCTCGTTACGGAGGGACTCACGCGTTCATTTACGTTAACGATGGACAGCATGATGTCCCTCTTTTTATTGACTTCTATTTCACGTATATCGCGATTATTTCTTCGCGCGCTTCGCAGCCTTCTTCGGCGCCGCCGCCGCCGCCGCACGTCCGCGCTTCTTCGGTGCAGGCTTCTTCGCCTTCTTCGCATCCTCCTCCTCTACCACTTCCTCTTCCCCTGGCTCGTCTTCTTCATCGTCCTCAGCTTCGTCTTCACCTTTACTTTCTTCAACTTTACCGTCCTCGTCACCGCTGACAACGCCCGCCGCCTCCTTCGCCGTCTCGGTTACCTCCGCCTTGACTTCCGGCACCACCGTCTCTGCGGCCTTCTCTTCCGCGACCGCCGTCGCGCTGTCGGCGCTGCTGTGGCCGCCGCTGCTCTTGGAGGATGACGCATCATCATCATCGTCCTCGTCGCTGTCGGTGATACCCAGCCTGGCCAGGGCATCACTCGATGGGCCTTTGTCAGCGGCAGCGGCGCCGTCGACCGCCGCCGTCGCGGCCACGTTCACCGCGAAATCCTGCGATGGGCTCGAGGCCATCAAGTCCGCGAGCGACTGGCTCCCCGCACCGCCAATCGTGGTCGTCGTCGCGTCGTCGTCGTTGTCGCTGCCGATGTCCTGCGACGGGTTCGGCTGCGAGGACGGCATCGAGTAGGACGACTGCTGCTGAGGCGGCGCCTGCTGCTGGAGCTGCGGGTCACGCAACTGCTGCCGCTGCTGACGGCGTGCCTCCCGTTCGGCCATGGCTTCCGCACGACGCTTCTCCCGCTCCTCGCGCTGAGCCTCGGCGGCCGCCACCCCTTCCTTGTCCCTCTGCTCGATATCCGCAATGAGCTGATGCCGCTGCGCCTTCGTCATGGCCTTCAGCATCACGTGGCGGGCCGCGATCAGCTCCCGCAGCTGCTGCTCGTTGTGGTGCTCGTGGAAGCAGTTCGGACGGGAACAGTAGCCGTAGATGAAGAAGTGGGTGCAAATCTGCTTCGGAAACAGTTCCACCGGCTTGCTGTCCTTCACTTCGGCAAAGGCGGCTTTGAGCATCAAGATGACGCCGTTTTTGCCGAAGACGAACTTCTTGTCCTGCGTGTCGGTTGGGATCGGGTGCTCGCGCAGCCACACCGTCGTATGCGGCCCGGGCATCGTGGCAATCACCAGCTGCTGCGACGGGTTCATGTAGACGCTCTTAATCTCCTCTGGAATGACCACGTCGATCGAGATCGGCTCCGGCTCGTGACGGGCGTTGGGGGCCATACGAGACTGCCCGGGCATGTTGTTGCCGGCCATCATACCACCACGACGACCGCCGCCCATCATCATCATCTGCTGCTGCTGCTGCATCTGCATGGGATTGCCGTAATTACCGTAGTTGCCGTAACTGCCGTAGTTGCCGTACATCTGTCCGTCCCGACGGCCACCACCACGACCGCCGCGCTGGTAGGGCATGTTGCTCCCGGTGTTGTAGCCGCCCATCATCATCGCGTTGGCGCCGTAGCCCGCCGGGTTGTTGTAGCCGCCCATCATCATCGGCATTTGTAGCTGCTGCTGCTGCATCGTATCGGGGGAGTACGGCACGTTGCTGTTAATGCCGTACATGCTGCTACGGTTGCCACTACGATCTCCACCACTGCGGTTACCACCGTAGTAACCACCCATGCCACCGCTGGCGTCGTTGCCGAAGCCACCGACGCTGCCCATCATCGGAATTTGCGGCTGCTGCTGCGGCTGCTGTTGAGGTTGCTGCTGGCGCTGCTGTTGAAGGAGCTGCGCAAGAAGTGCCGCGTTGTCCACTGTGCTGCTGCCACCGCCGACGGCGGCGGCCGGCTTGTTGGCGTCGTAGCTCTGCGCACCGCCCATGGACGAGGACGTCATGGACTGCGGATAGCTGCCCTGGTAGTTGTGTTGCTGCGGCTGCTGCTGTTGCTGTTGCTGAGGGTTATAGCAGCGCTGCAGCAGGAAGCTTTGATCCTCCGCGCAGAGACGGCGGAAGTCATTCACAGCGGCGAGGATCTCGTTCGGGGTCTTCGCGTTTGGGTTCATGGCGGCCATCTGCGCGTTCTCCACCACCTGCACCGGGTAGTCGAAGAGGTAGAAGGAGCGGGACAGCTCCATTGGCGTCACGTAGTCCAGCAGGCAGACCGGCTTTGTTTCGGTTGCCGTCGGGGTGTGACGCGGCACCCACAGGGTACGGCCGCCGGAGGAGTACAGGAAGATCTGACCAGACATGGTTGCTGCTCTGATTTGCGGAGGTGACAAACAACGGTACGGGTGATGTGCACTACTTCAAGGAAATACAGAGTACGAGAGAGAGAGAAAAGAAACACGCTGAAGAAAGCTGAACGTCACCAAACAACAACATCAAGGAGGAGGAAGAAGAGGAGGGGAGGGGAAGTAATAATAATGACGGGAGGACGTATGTGGGGGGCACACACCTTTGATAAGTACGATGAGATCGCGAAAACAGCGCCGCGTGTCTTTTCTTTCTTCGCCGTTTGACAGTCATAATTCAAACAAAAACCGTAGCATTATATCCCCACCCAAACACCATCGCGTTTAGAGGGGAAGGCAATGAAGTCGAAGTACTACATATATATATATATATATTGCCATGCGTTCGAATCGGCAGATCACGCACGTACGTGACGCTCACGACGGGTCTAGCAGTTGTCCCGCAGCTGGAGGTGGTGCAGCGAAAGCCGAGGTATTCGACGGCATCGGAGGCGCACGCTCGTCGCCGTCGTCGCGGACGACTGGCAGGGGGACGTCTGCGTTCCCTGTTGCCTCTACCAAATCCGTGTCCTTCTCCTCTTCCTCCTCCTTCACCTTTTCGTCCAACGCGAAGTGCACCTGCGGAGCCGCAGCAAGACGTTCCTGTACTTCTCGATTTGTATCCGCGTTCTCCTGCGGTAGCGGATCCAGCGCGGGATCGAGTCCGAAGAGGTCCAGCTCCGCCTGCCGCTGCTCCGCTGCCGCGAGCTCCCGCGCCTGCTCCGCCTCCTCGGCGGCCATGCGGCGCGTGGCCAACTTATTCGCCTCTTCCTGCAACTCCGTCAGTTCCCGCAGGCGCACCTGCCGCTTCAGTCGCACCTGCGTCTCGTACTCCAGGACGTGTGCGACGGCCTCCTTCCCGCACCTCGAGAGCAGCTGCAACGTGTCCTCCATCGGCAGCTTCACAAAACTGACGTGGTTAAATTCGTAGAGGAGTCGCAGGAAGCTGTCGAGCTGCTTGTGGTGGTTCTTGGCGAGCTCCTCATCGCGGCGAAGAGCCGCCAAGGAGGAGAGTGACTGCTGCTGCTGCTGCTGCAGCGGGGGTTGTTGGGCCGCTTCACGTAGCGTTGCGCTGGGCAGCGTATCCTCCTGCTGCTGCTGTTGCTCGGCAGCTCTGCGCTCGTCAAACAAGGCGAACACATCTTCCTCCACTTCGGCTTTTCCGGTGCCGCCACCGCTGAGAAGGTTGCAGCGGTCCTGTAGCTGTTGTTGCTCCTGCGCAGCCCGCAGTCGGCCTGCCACCCGCGCACGAGCCTCTTCGATCCCTTCTGGTGGGTACACCAAAACGGGGTTGCGCGCCACCATCGCGTGTAGCCGCCGGAAGCCGTCCTCGCCGTACACGACGCTGCGGAAGCGCTCCAGTCCGCGAATGTCACGGCCGCGCTTGCGGGAGCCGGCTGCTACGGCGGGGCCAGCAAACACGTTGTTGTGAATGTCGTCGCTGCTGCTGTTGGTGTGCGCGGTGAAGGCAGAGGAGACGATGCCGCTGCCCGTTGGATCGCTCGTCATGGGCGGGTGGTATTCGTTGTCGCGTTGCTTGTACATGGCGTGGGAGGCAGGTGTGCGCGGTGGTGATGAGTGTTTTTTCCTTCTTCAACAGAGAAAATATAAAGCAGACAATCCACTGTCACCTCTGCGTTGTCAAGTACGTATCTATGTGTCTGTATGCGTGTATGTGCGTATCGATATCTGAAGTATTCCTTTCCGTGTCTTCTATGCCGCTCTGCGTGTGGTGAGAGGGAGAGCTTTCCCCGTCAGTAGATTCGCTCCTCTGGTGTGGACGTTACTCAGTTTTTGCTGTCGTTTGCAAATCGAACCCCCCCCCCCTTACCTCCAAGATAAGGAAGGACGGTAAAGATCAAAAACGAACAAACAACGGGAAGTTCAGTGCTCCGTCGCGCGCGTGAAGCTGCAACTTGAAAAGAGAAAAACAAAGAAGACAGCGCGGTTTGGAAGTAGGGTTCGCGATGAGCGCTGAATGAAAGAAGAAAAAGATGATAATAATTGAAAGAGAGCTGTGCTGCTGCAGCTCCACACCCAAACATCCCGCGACTGGCATTGAACGTCACGTAGCGAAAGATATGTTTTCATTTTCATATATTCATTTGATTTCATCTTTTTCGCGGCAACCACCGTAGCTGCGCAACCCGCGAGACGAGGTGGATTCAAGGGAAGCACACGTGGGTAAATACACGAAACTTGCCTATAGAGAGTTAATGGTAGGAAGCAACTTGGGTAGCATTTGTAGGTTCACACACCTAATTCAAGACACAAGAGGAAGCGATGCTCTGTCTGCGTCTTCCATCGATCAGATTCTTTTGCTGTGCGGCGCGTCGGAGTTCACCTCTACTTCTTAGCTTTTGAACTTCTCTCTGACGCTCTTGCCTTCCCTGTTGCCGCTGCTGAAGGTAGAAGGGACGAGGACTTCTTCGTGTGAGCTGCCTTCATCGCCTTCGGTTCCTTCGTCGTCTTCCTCATGTCTTCCTTCTTTCTTCTCGACGGCGCTGCCTCACCTTCGCTGCCATCATCATCATTATCGTTATCGCCGTGTGTTCGCACGCGCTTGCGCCGCTCTGGAGGAGCACTGGCCACGTCACTCGCGGCGGAGGCCGACTGCGCGTCCCCCGTTTCGTCCTCAAAGACTGGGGTGGCGTAGGGCGAGAAGGACGGCGCGGCGGGTGCCCGCGTGGGCCGTTTTGGTTTGCCCGCAGACGACGCGGACACCGCCGTTGACCTCGTCAGTGCGTGACTCGGCAGCCCTTTTGCCAAGGAGGTGTCCTCGGGTGTCAGGCTCGGTCCATTCACTAAGTCAGAGCTCAGGAAAGTCGTCGTGCGGTTCATTTGCTGGATGGCCACCGCCGTTGCCCGGTCTCGCACGACGCGGCGCACAAACGAAGTGGTCAAATGGGAAGGGTCCTGCAGTACCCCGACATCCGGCAGACGAGCCGCCGCCGCGACGCTCCCCGTTCCAGAAGATTTCTTGTCGCGCTCGTCATTATGTCCATCTGGCGTCTTCCCCTTCCCCTTTGCATTGCCATCATCATCATTACTATTACCATTCTTATGCTGTGTCTTTTCGGCGTTTTCGTCGTCGCTGTCGCTATCTTTCTGCATCGCCGGTGCCGCCGCCGCCGCTTCCTCGTCCGCCGCTGCGACTGGGATGACGGTCGTTGGTGTCAGCAAAAGACGCATCTCGCACAACGGCACCGTACGTTGACGCAGTGGGTCCGTCACCGTCATGACGGTCGTGTCCCCTCCGCCACCGCCACCCGCCTCGTCCGCTTTTTCCTCATTAAACACCAGACGCTTTCCGAGGCCCACCAGTAAGCCTTCGCGCCGCCGCTGTGCCCGCTTCGCCAGCCACGACGCGTGCGGGGCTAAGTAATTGTACTTCAGCCCTAGCTGCTTCGCTTTCTTTTCAGCTTTGCGGCGGACCAGCTTTTCCGCAATGAGGTCGACGGGGTGCGGCCCTTGCTGATACCACGCAAGTTTCTCATCCATCAAGTCGTGCAGCTTAAACTCGCGGGACTGCTCCTCGGCTTTCTGCGCCGCTTCCGAGACCGTCAAGTGCAGAAAGTCGCGGCGGGCTTTGCGGTTCATGCCCTCCAACTGCAGTCCACGCTGCGTCGCGTCATGCAGCGCGCGCTGGTGCTTGCTTAACACGCTCAGCGGGTCGGACTTCGCCATCCTCTCCAGCTTCTCCGCGCGTCGTCGCTCCTTGTCAGCGCGTTCGCTAGCCTCACGCTCAGCACGGCGCTCAGCCGGGGACGAAAACAGGTACGAGAAACTCGCGCTGGCGGCCCCTGCGTTCAGGGGGATGCCGTCGCCGTTCACGCCGACGTCACCTGCGCCACCCCCGCTTCCACGCGCAGAGCGGCCGTGCGGTGATGACGCTGCTGCCGTTGCGGTTGGACTGGTCTCGAGTTGCCGTTCAATGTCCGCTGACGCTTTCAGGGACACCCCGCTCGTGCCATCCCGCAGCCGCTTCAGGTTCACACCCGACATGAAGCTGCTCCACTCGCGCCTCCATGCGTTCTCGCCCTTCTCCACCGTGGCGGCGTAGCGCTTGCCACTGCCACCATCACCTGCTGTCGCGCCGCCTCTGCCTCTGCGGCTGCGGCTGCTGGTGCTGGTGCGCGGCATCGCTGTTGGGTATCCAACAAACAACCAAACAAAGCAATGAAGAAGAAATACGTAAATGCTTCTTTTGCATTTGAGCAACAGCAGTAAACGCCGGTGCGGCGTCCGCGACGCACACAGATACACACACGAAGACCAGCACCAAAGGAGACCCAGAGAGAGAGAGGTGATAAGAGAGGTGATAAGAGAGGTACAGAGAAGGGGTAGAAGACTGAGCAGGAGTCGTGTCGAATAGCAGGCCAAAAGCGGCCTCATTGGCACTTACACACTCATACACACACACACACACACACACATGTAGTTACTGTCTTGTTACTACGCGAATATCGCCTATTCTGAAAAGACGTCACACCGACCATGAAGTGCCGTCGCAGAACACGTTAGATTGAAGCTGCCCGAAAAGAAAAGGCGAGCTGCGTCCAACGACGTCCGCCTCCTCCATAATAATAATTCATGTTGTATACTTCCTTCGGCCACCCGTAACACCATCGCAAGGAGAGAGAGAGAGAGAGAGAGGAGAAGGAGAAGAAGATTCCTCCGCTTCAAAATACAAACACAAACACAAACACGCCATCAGTACGGAGAAAGAAATTTTATAAAGAAATGAGGAGTGGACAACGAAAGGAATTCTGATTACATCCCGTTACACCACACGCGAACCCCCCACCAGAGAGAGAGGGGCAAACGGACGCAAAATTTTCGAGGCACCAAAGCCAACGTAAAAGAAGCACAAGAAAGGTACACTCCTGCTCTACGTGGAGAAAACGCAGGGAAATGCAAAGAAGAATCATCCTTCGCCTCTGTTTTTCCCTTTACCAATGAAAACGCCGTTGGCTTGGCTATTTCTTGCCGATCCGCAGCCTTCCTCGGCGGCCAACACAAAAACGAAGAACGAAGAGCGAAGAGAGGGAGAGCGAGAGAGCACTCCCTCCACGGCCACCCAGCATACCACTTCGGATTGGGCTTCGTCGTCGGCGACGATGGCGTAGTGGCTGACAGCGCTTGTGATGCCGGTTTTGGCGCCGATCCCTTGCACATTCGAGGGGCGGCGACAACCACCACTACCACTACCACATCAACCTACCGTAGGCCGTGCCCGAGCTTCACCGGAAGCGAGTCGGCCCGTGCGGTGGACTTGGGCAACCATCGGTTGGGTCCGTCCAGCGAGGAGGGCGGCCGATGCGTCGTCGGCGGGTGGGGTGCCCGCGGCTCCGACGCGGCCAAGAAAGGTCGTATGATGCCCGCCCCACCTTCGCTTTGGCCGTGAAAGAGCTCTGTCGAGCGGGAGAGAGACGGCGCCCCACGCCGCAGCAGAGGTGTAGACACGGTGTACGTGCCGGGTGTCGCCACCTCGGTCTCGACCATCTTCTTTGCCATGGGCGTCATGCCGCTGCTCTGCAGAATCACGCTGGACAGCCTCGGCACCGTCTGCGCCATGCGCAGCAGAAAAGGAAGGCCGTCGTCAGTGATGGGGTTGCGGGATAGATCTACTGTCTCCAGCGCACAGTGGAAGCGGATGGAGCGCAGCAGCGGCTCCAACGCACCGTCATGCAGATTGTTGTCGCTGAGGTTCAAGGTGCGTAGACGATACAGACGTGGCACGACGCTCTCCACCACCGCTGCCGTGCCAAGATCGCCGAGGTGCAACCCGCCCAGCTGCAGCGTCTCCGGCGTTCGATCCTGATCGATGCGCTTGAGCCGATCCAACACCGTATCATTCGGTCGCACACGACGCAGCAAGCAGCTGGCGAGGTAGGCACTGCGCAGCGGCGTCAACTCGGTGATGCGCAGCTGCAAGGCGTCGTAGGACTTCAGTGCTGGAAGAACTTTCGCGTTGACGTCGCCCTGAAAGGCGGTGAAGCTGTTCTGGCACAGCTGCGCAGCTCCCTGATCGTACTCGCGTGTAAAGACAACGCCGAGCGCGTCCGTCAGCAGCGTCATGCCATCCAACGCGTAGTGCTCGCCGTACAGCTCCTCCAGCAAGCGAAGGCGCCCACGGAGCCGGGGCGTCTGATCCGCCGCGCTGCTGGAGCCCTCTTTTGGCTCAAGACTGATGGACGGTGGACTGTGATGGCCGTCCTCGGCTACGACATCGTAGATCGCAAGGGGCGGGGCGCCAGGGGTGGGAGAGCCGCCCGCGCGCGACGCCTCCTTCTCGTCATCCTTCTCTGCTGTGGCTGCCATTGCGGCGCCGTCCTTCGAGGTTTCTTTCTTCGCTTCCCCCCTCGCTAAAGGAGGCCGGGCGGTGGCGGCGCTGGACGGTGGTCCGTCACTCGGCGGACGCGTCACGTACGCGCCCGCCAGCGTCGCGGGGGCGGCGGCAGCAGTGGCCAAGGCCGACGTGGGGGTGGTCATGCCCGTCAGGCTGGTTCGCAGAATGCTGCTACGTCGTTCCTGCGTGCCGCCGGGGTAGTCCACCGCATCGGCGGAGACGACTTGGCCGCCGTCCGCTGGCGGCGCGACGATGATGGCGCTGCTCGGCGTGTTGCGACGCGTGCCGGCACCGCCAGCGCCAGTCGTCATCGTCGTCGTCCCCGCGTTGCCGGATAACGCGAGGTGCACGGGGATGTGCGTCGTGACGGGCGTGCACACAGTGGAGCGTGGCCGCGGTGGCAGAGCCCGCCGGCTGCCACCTCCAGACGGTCCACGCGGCGGTGGCGGGGCGTCGTGTCCGTTGCAGGGGTCTTCGCTGGCGCTGGTGGTGTTCGGGGAGGGTTGTCGGCGGGCGGGGACCAGGGCCGACAGCGGCCGCCCATGAGGGCTGCGCGACCCCCCCGCCGGGGCCCCGCCGGGGATGATGTTGGACGTGCTGCTGCTGATATTATTTACCCCCATCAGAGATGCCGGGGGTGGACTGCGAAAGGCGGGCGGCGTGTCCGAGAAGGGGAGCTCGTCCGTTTCCGCGGGGAGCTGATCGAGGATGGCGGACAGCACCGGCGGCACGTTGATCCCAGCCTCGGCCAGCATCTTCCGCGACTCCGTCAGCAACGCCTGCAGCTTTCCGAGCACCTTGGTTGTCCCGCCGGGAAGCACCTCGACGGCACTGCTCGCGAGCAACGCGACGTCCTCCTTCACCAACCGCAGCAGCACCTCCAGCGCACGCTGGTACTGCTCACACAGCAGACGGTAGTTGACGCCGCCGTTCAGGTGACAGCACAGGTCTTCTGCGACGATGTAGAGCTCTCGCTCCTCCCAGTACGGGGCCGGGCGCGCATGGGCGACGACGATCGATTCGGCGAGCGCGTCGGGCATCGGCTGCGAGGTCGACGGCTTCGACAAGTTGCCGCTGCCCCCGCTGCCGCCGCCCGAAGAGACGGGCGCGATGATGCTGTCGCCCAAAATCGAACGTGGGGTGGGTGGGGCGGCGAGAAAGACATCCGCGGGCGGCGTGCAGAAGGGCGTGATCGCCGTCCGTCGCTTCTGATACACTTGGTAGCGTTTGTTGATAGAGTGGATGATCGTGTCGAGGCCGCTGAGGGGCGTCGAGGCGACGCTGCTGTGCGTTATGTACTCCATTGCCTCATCCTCGGAGGCGGACGACGTCGCGTTCTTCAGCATTGTTGTGCGCTGCCCGTTGTAGCGTAGCCGCAAACGTATCTATTGTACGCGTTTGTGTGAAAGGAGCGTGTCGACGAAAGAGGGAAATAAGTAGGAAAAAGAAAACAATAATTTGAGAAGGCACGTTCGCCGTCACAGCTGATAAACAAGTCTCTTCGGTTCTGTTGTCTCCGCAGTTATCGAGAGGACCGAACTCGCTGTGAAGGACGAGAACGGCTTAAACAAAAAACAGCAACAACAACAAAAACAGACAGGAAACATCGAGGAAGTGATTAGTTGTTGCATACGAAGTGAATAACGAAAGGGGCCACATAAACGATACAAAAACAATCGTTTTCCTTTTGAAAACCGCAAACCTCTCGTCCCGTCAGCCAAGCCAAGCGGCCTCATTGGCACACACACACACACACACACAGAGAACGGTTTACAGCACCTTCGGAGCCCTTCAGCCACCCTCTCCACCCCCTCCTGAGAGAGACCAACAACAACGGCCCAATTTGCAATGTGGTGCGGTGGGTGCGATCGCTCTTGCGCCTAACGGTGCAATTTGAAAACAGTTTCTCACGAAGCGAGTGTGTGGGTGTGAGGGGATAGAGGGAGAGAGGGGAATACACCACAGCGAAGAAAAATAGTAATTTCATTCCAACATGCGTGCAAAGGCAAATAACAATGAAGAAAAAGAGCTAGCCGCTTACCTAATTGATATTCTACATAAGGAAATATACAAAGGAAAATGTAATCAAATGGCGACAGAGAGAGAGAAAGAGAGAGAGGGTCGACGCCACACTCCGCCGCTTACATCGCCACCGTGCCACGCCGCTTCATTGGAGTGACGGCGTCCCCGACCTCGTCCGACAGAAAACCCTCGTCGTTGCCGTCATCCTCGCCATCGTCATCGTCGCCCTCTTCGCCACTCTTCACCGACGTCACACTTGTCTCCGTGCGCGGTGCCATCGTCTCAAAAGATGTAGTGCGCTGCATGGACCCCTCGGGGCTGAATCGTTGTTGTCACTGTCGTCGGCTCCGCCCTTGGTGGTGGACCGACGTGGCGGTGAGAGCGTTTCGCCAGTGGAGGACTTGCGCCGCGACTGTCGGGGACGTTGAGATCGCGGCGTGCCAACGCTGCCCTTCCTGTCCTGTCCGCCGCTGTTATCAAACGGCGGCTCACGCGGCGTCGAGGTTCCACGCCGGCCGCGGCGGAAGGAGGGCATCGAGGAGTCCCGCGCGTTGTGCAGGGACGCGCTCGACGGGCTCGAGTTGCCCGCGCTCGGCACCGAGGCGTTCCCCTGCGACACCTGCTGCAGCTCCATCTTCAGCCGACGAACTTCACGCTTCGCCTCGTCGCGCTCGAGCTGGGCGGCGCGGCTCTTTGCCTCCACGGCGTCCATCTTTCCCTGCAGGTCCCGCGCGATGCGTGACATGGCCTCGCGGCGACGCCGCCTGTCCATCTCACAGGTGTCACGCCGGCAGCACAGCGGACACGGCACCTCCGGGTGCGCCGGCGGCTCCAGCGGCGGCCGGAGAAGGGTCTGCAGCACCCCGCTCTCCGCCATGGCGCGCATCCGCAGCGTCACCTCGGCCAGCGTCACGTGCATGTCGCACAGCATCTGCAGCAGGTCCGGCAGGCGCAGCGTGTAGGTGTCGTCGACGCCCGCGGCGGTCTCCTGCAGTCGGCGGTCGCGGATGTAGTCCTCCCACGAGCCGCGCAGGTAGGCGCGGACGTCGAGGTCGTTGCGGAAGAGCGCGTTGACCTCGTCGACGGTGCAGTCCGTGGCGGACATCGCCACGAGGTCTTTTTGCGTGATAATCGTACCCAGTGGATTCGCGGTGCCGCGCGAGGTGGACGAGCTCGCCGGATCGGTCTGGGCTGGCGGCTGCGCCAGCGAACGTTGCAGAGAGTGGACTTTGTTGTTTACATCAATAAGGTCGTCGTTTGACTCTGCGTCTGCGTCTGTTCCGTCCGCGGTGCCGTCGCCGTCGTCGCCGTCGCGCTTCTTCGTCTTCGTCGTCTTCTCCTGCGATGGACGCTGCTCGACCAAGAACGACTCGCCGTGGCTCTGAAGGGTGGCAGTGGTGAACGTGTTGGAGTCATCTGCGGTCTCATTCGAAGCTTGCCGCTTCACTCCATTGCTGTTGTTGGCATCCGGAGTACTCTGTGCTGCCGCCGCCGCTGCTGCCGCTGCCGATGCGGCTGCTTGTTCGTGGCGAAACACGGTACAGTACTCCGTGAACACCTCGTATACGCGCAACCGATGACGCCGCTCCTTCTCAAAAGCCCCGACCGCGCGGGCGACGGTCGTCCACCGCGAGGTCGCCACCTTCGCCACCGGCGACACGTCCGTCAGCATCATTTTCTGATACAGCGGGGAACAAGCGGCGTTGGTGGCCGCGACGATGTCCTGCAGGGCATTCAGCAGCTTATGGGACTCGGTGTACATGCGCTCCATCGTCTGCCGCTGCTCTGCGGCGTGGGCGCGAGCCGCCGTCACGGACGGCATTTCCGCCGCCATCAGCAGCGGGATGCCACCATGCGTGCTCGTGTCCGTGTGATCCTCGCCTGCGTGGCGGGCGTACATGTCGTTCACTTCGTTGTAAAAGCTGTCCACCGTGGATGTCGCCTTCTGCTTCATGCTCTCCTCCAACAGCTGTAGGAGGGCGATGTGCTCGTCTTGGCGGTGTGTCTCGAAGCGGCGCGCCTTGCTCGCCACACGCGCCATCAGTTCGTCGAGGCGGTCACTCTTTCGCTGGATTGGATCGATGCGGTCGAGCAGCTGTGTGTGCGTCTCCGCTAACTCCGCCAGCTCACGCCGCGCTGTGCTCAGCTGCTCTCGAAGCTGCTTGTTTTCTGCTCGCAGCGTTACCGCATTCGCCGCGTCTTGCCGGGCCTGCTGCTTCACCTGACCTAACAGATGCACCTGCGTCGTCGTGATGTCGACGACGGATTGCCGGAGAAGGTCGAGGAGGGCGCCCCGTTCGGTACAGTGACACGCGACCTGACGCACGAGTTCGGACAGCCCGGTATCCAAGATGTCCAGGACTTGGAGGGCGGCGTCGGTGTAGGCCATCAGTCGCTGATCGCCCGGCGGACCCCACAGCGCCTCCGCTAGCTTTTCCGTTTCAGGATTCATTCGCAGCGACGCACTCACGTCGTTATCGTTGCCGAAGTTGAAAGCCTCGGCCGCCGCGTCGCCGTCCGCGGCAAAGACGTACCGCGCCATCTCCGGGTTCGACAGCAGCTCCACCCACTGCGGGTGCGAGGGGTCGTGCAGCATTCGGTCCAGCACATCGGCGAGCAGGTACACCTGCGACCGCTCCGTTGGACGGACGGCGGGGAAGATGGTGTTGGAGCTGGTGGCGGCCGCAGCGGGGTTCACCGCTGCCTGTGACCGGTGTCCGTAGTGCATGCTGTCCTCGCTCTGCGTCGCGACGATCGAGGCCGCCACGATGCTGGGGCGGGCCTGCTCGCTGAACCGGCGTGCTTTCTCTCCTGCCGCCGCCGCTGCGGGGCCTGTGAGGGCAGCCATGAACGCACCGCTCGCCCCTACTAAACTGCCAGTGCTCGTCGCGTCCTGCTCGCGGTCCGCCGCCGCCGTGGACGCGTCCAGCAGGTTCGCACGATTTGCTGCTGCTTGCGGGGATGAGGAGGTCAGCGTCGCGAGGCGACTCAGCGGTGGAGCGCACGTCACCCACAGCGAGTCCGGGATGCGGGTCTGGTCCAGCGTGATCAGTTTACGCAGGAGGTCGCGACGGCGCTCCGACAGGGCGGCGGTGCCCTTGCCCGGCACGCCCATCTCCGATGCCTGCACCTCAACGTACTCCCGACTCACCGACAGCACCGCGTCCAGCATGGAGAAGTCCTTGTTCGCTTCGACCTCGTTCGCACGAAGAGAGGCAGCTCTTTGCCAGGCGACGGTGTCGTTGTAGCCCTGCAGCGGATCGACGCTGGAGCCCGTCGCACCCTTCACGGCCGCCTCCAGCGTCGTGGAGGTGAGCGCCACGCGTACGGGTTTAGTGCCTGTCTCACTCCATTTCTGTGAGTCGGCTGCCGCCGCCGCAGCGCGTGTGCGAGTGGTGTAGTAGTAGCTCACGAGCTGCCGAATAAAAGCCGCATCGTTGGCGCTCGCGGCGGATGCGAAGCGCGTGTAATCGGGCGACGACATGAGCAGCAGCGTCTTGTGGCTTTGTGTTGAGGTCTGACCACGCTTCGCGGTGAGTTGCCTTTCCTCAAGTAAAGCTGCCGATCGTGGATTGCAGGCTGCCTCTTCGTCCTGCGCGTCGTTCGCGTACTCGGCGAGTATCTCCGCAAATGCATCGGCGTCCTTCGCGGCCCGGACGAGATCCTCGCGCCGCTCCGCCTCCTTTTCTGCTGCATTGGCTGGAACGACGGGCAGCGAGACGACGTTGTAGGCGGATTGAAGAGCAGGTGGTTCGTGGAAGCGCGTCTCGTCCGCGGCGCGTGCCGCCTTGCCGCTTCTGTCTGCGGATGTCCTCGGGCCTTTTGGCGCAGCAGCAGGGGCGGCAACCGCTGGATAAGAAGGGGCAGGATACATCCTCCCGCTGTCCGCCTTCCTCTTTGCTTCTGCCGCTGCCGCCTTCGCTGCTGCCGCTGCCGCCGCGACTGCCGCCACCCGTCGATGACCCTGGCGGATCATCTTGTCGAGCAGGAAAGGGTTAATGCGGTCATCGACGCCGGCGTCCAACAAGGCGGCAGAGACAAGAGGCGTTGCCTTCATCAAGGCCTCTGCCCGTGCTGACTCATAGGTGGCTCTCGGCGTGGTGGGGGATTTTGTGTGGTCGGTGTCGGTGGGCGTGATCGCCGTGTCGGTGGTGACCGACGCCTCCTTTTCCGCCGCCGCCGGGTCCTCCAGGGTGACGTGCCGGACGAACAAACCAGTAGTGGCGTCTTGCAGCGCCACCAGCCCGTCCATGGGCGGGGTCAAGGTGTCCAGCGCTGCCCCGGCAGGTTGGAGCTCGGGCAGGTACAACTGCGGCGGCAGGGAACCGAGCTGTCCGGTCTGCTCGAGGTGCGAAAGCCGCGCCGCCGGGGTGGGCGTGTTCAGTGGGGATACGTGCGCAGACGGCTGCTCACGCGGTAAGGGGTGTGGCAGCGTGGTGGGAGGGAGGCGCAGTCGTGCGGCAGTCGTCGTCGTCGCCGCCGTGGCTGATACCGCGCTCTGCTTGCTATTGCTGATGTTGCTGCTGTTGTCTGATGCTCCAACGAGGTGGTGGTGCTGGGATATGTCGCGTGATGCGGCATCGAAGTTGACGGCGCCGCTCGCGTCGGAGGGCGAGGAGGAGGTGTGGTAGCTGTCGTGGCTGCGGGTGCTGTTGCGGTGACTATTGCCGCCGCCACCGCTGCGCAGTGCGCGATTGGCGGAGGCGATGGTGGAGTTCGACACGAGCGACGTGCTGGGTTGCCTGCCGCCTGCTCGCACGCCAGAGGGCTGCGGGCCGTCGTTGTGTGGCGGGCGGTCCTGCCGCAGCATTGGCAGCCGTGAAGGCGAAGCGGAAGACGACTGCATGCTGCAAGAAAGAGGGAGGTGGGGCGTGAGGTCAAAAAAAAAATGTGGAAATTATTTACATGAATTACATGAACTGGAAAAAAAGAAAAAAAAGGAGTACACTCACAGAACCAAGAGAGGCGAAGGGAGAAAGAAAGTAGTCTCCGGTCGAGCGCCGACCTTCACCAAAAGTGCCTGGGAGGGGCGAAGGTTACCTTTGCGTCTTGGCCTGCATACTCAGCCGCGTGCGTATGTATGTTTGTTGTGCGTTTGTGTTGGAGTACCATTGTGGTGAAGCATGGTCATCGATGGAAACGTAGGAGACAGCATTAGAGGAGAAGAAACAGGAATAGTAATACAAAAAGAGGGACCTACAAAAGCTCGACCCGAGTAGACAGAGAATGCCACATGTATGTGAAAAGACCCCGTTCACGGTTTATGAGTGAGCGCGTGATGCTCCGCTCCTTACGCGATCCATTAATTCTCGTAAAAGACTATTATTTTGTATTTTTATTTGATAAGTGTAAACGTGAAGCGTCAAGAAATTCGTCTGTGCGCCGAAACACACGCAAACACCAACATCGAATCCGATGGAGACGGTCGGCGCGCTGCCGCAGAGCGATATGTGTGTCCTCCCACGTCCCCCCCCTCCTCCTTCTCCTCCCCTCTTCTGTGAGGTCAACGCACGGACGTCCCACCGCCGATGAACTCCCGCATGCGGCGTGCCGCATCCTCCAAGGCCGGGTTGGCCGCCGCCTTCTTCTGCACATCGGTGCCGAGAGAGGTGAGCTGAATGACCAGCGAGGGCTGGAAGACGTACATTTTTGGGTCGCAAATGTACTTGTCCTGCGCCTTTGGGTCGTCGGCGAGGCAGCTGCTGATGTGCGTGTCCACCTGCCACGTCATGGGCAGTGACAAGTCCAAACAACGCTGCGCCGCCGCGGCGTGCACGACGTACGCCGTCAGCTCCCGGTGACCCTGATAGGCAAGCCGCACGCCCTCCGCGACGTAGGGTCGGGGCGGCTTGCCGGCAGCGAGCAGGTCCAGTCCACCGAGGTGCACCACACCCCAGTCTGCCGGCACGCGCGTCCACCGCTCCTGCAGCTGCCGGGCGAAGCGGTGGTGAAACTCCACGTCGTCCTCTAGCACGAGCGCGCACCTTTGTTGCGCCGCCACCACACGCTGCCACACCGCACGGTGCCCCAGCGCACAGCCAATCGCGCCGTTCGTCAAGTCCATACCAAACAGCTTCTGCGCCGTAGGAAGTTGATAACGCTCGTAGCCCAGGTCGGTGAGGACGCCGCTGCGGTGCAGCTCCGCCACGTCGAGGGTCGCCCCGTCCACCCCGCTCACACGAGTGACGTCAACGTGCGGCTTGAAAAACTTTTGCAGCTTGGCGCGCGCGATTTGGCGCTGCGCGTGTGCCCAGCGATCGGGGCGGCGATCGAGGTTGAGGACGTAGCAGGCGTCGAAGATGGCGCGCCGACACGCACTTACCCGCAACATCGCGCTTGTCTCTGCCGTATTTATTCGCTGCTGGATCGTACTGCCTCTTTCGCTGCGAAGGCTCCTTCACATTCTATAGACCCAGTTTCAACTTGCAGAGAAAGAAGCGCATGCACACACACGCCACAGGTGTTGCATCAAAGAAAGGAGAATATGTGAAGCAGCATCAGCAAGAGGAATACAAGAGTTCAATGAAACGCGCACGGGCACATGAACGCGCGCCTTTGCCTTGCCCCCGCACCTCCCCCCCCCTCTCTTACAGATTACAAGGCACTTTTGTGTTGTCTGAGGAGCCGAAGTGGAAAGCAAAACCACGGCACAGGTTCATGACAATGTTGAATCAACACATAACGCACGTAGCGTGTCGGCGGCGGGAAACCAAACCAAACCAAACAAACGAAAAAGGGAGAGGAAGATAATGCTACGGGTTTGTGGTAGCTTTTGATGACTCGCTCAAACCGAACTGTATATGTATGTATATCAATATGTATTTTCCCCGAGCCGATGATTATCCGGTGTTCCCACGCTTACACGCAACGGTCGTTATCTTACACGAAAGAGAACAGCTACTCCTTGCACCGACAACGGTTTTTGAAAAGACTGCTTAAAACACGCGCACCCGCACGGCCCCCGCCCCCCCACCCGCCACAACCCTCAGACTGCCATGTAATGCGAAAACCGGGGATATCGCAACAAGCCACATCAGCAGCCACGGGCATGCGACCTACGCACTCACTGCGTCATCATCGCCCTCCGTCCCCCGCCCCTCCACTTCCACCTCTTCCTCACACTCCTCCTTCGTCTTCTGCGGCGCCGCACCCTGGTGACGACGACGGGGTCCCCAGCCCGGCGCATTCGGCACAAATTTGGCCACGCCAATCACTCGACCGCGAAAGTCGTAGGCCTTGTCGTACGTAAAGTCCGCCTCCGCGAGCGGCGTAACACGAAGCGGTCGCGCAGCACCAGCAGAGAGGGATGGGGAAGAGGAAGAGGGCGCTGCCGGCTCCTCCAGTGTTGCTGCGTGGCCCTCCCCATCCAGGGCATCCTGAAGGACCTTCCACTGCAACATCACGCGGAACAGCATCTCCGGCGGGCAGTCCGTCTTTAACCCGGTAGCTGCGCAGTGCACCTGACTGCAGCGGTAGCCGAGGCGTGCGAGGGCGCCGACGACGTCAGGGGTGGGCGGGCAGCGCACCCGCGCGTAGGAGGCGACGTCCGGTAATTGGTAGAAGAGCGGGCAGTCCGGCAGTTCATCCAGCGCCGTGCGCACGAGTCCGGTGATGCGTGCTTCGGCGTTGAGGCGGCCCTCGGCGGCGCGCTCTTTAAAAAGGTCGAGCAGCTGCTCGAGAAACTCGCGGTTCTGCGTCGGTGCAGCGTAGAGGGGGCCGGACAGGATGATGTTGCCGCCGCACACCGGGCAGGTGTTGAACGATGCACCGGGCAACGACGGAGAAGAGGAGGAGGGGGAGGAGGACGCAGCGGGATGTGTGGGCGGTAGTTGTTGTAGCGTGAGCGGGGTCAGCTTCGGGCTTGACTGCCGGCTCGGACTTGGTGGATACACCTCCTTACCATGTTGCGATGGCCGCTCCGTGCCCTTCGCATGATCCTCATCCTCATGATCATCGTTACCGTCATGCACGTTGTGTACTGTCGCGACATTCCTATCCGTTTGATCCGCCGTCGTGTTGGTGTCGCGGCAGCCTTCACGCGCCTGCCGCTGCCGATCGTTGTGCTCGCGCTTCTGTCGACGCCGGTCCTGCTTCGAGGGCCGCGGCTGCCGCACCGTCGCCATCGGCCGCACCCAGAACGCGGGGCAGCTCGCACACTGCAGCTGATAACCCAACTTGCACACACTCAGCTTCACCTCCGCCGGCTGGGTGTAGACGCGAAAGAAGCAGCGCACGTAGAAGTCGATGTGCAGCGAGACGAGTGGGACGATGTACTTCTTGTGCTTGTTCGCCACCCGCTCGATACAGGCAAGAAGCGTGCGCACCGCCGCCTCGTGGCAGTGTCCGGCCTTGTAAGGCAGCGAGCTGTACTTGGCGTGCGCCGTGTCAGCGAAGTTGCCGCACAGAATAGCGCTGTCGGTGCTCGTCACCAGCATCAGACCGCCCTCTTTGATGCAGCGAAACGCACCTTCGAGGAAAGGGGAGGCGGAGCCGTACGGGTCGAGGTCCACCACGTCCATCAGCTCCTGCTGCAGAAGGGGACGCGGCAGCGGCGGTGTGTTCGCGCCGCCCCTGTCCTCCGCCGCGACATCCAGCAGACAGACTCGCTGACCAGGGCGGACGTTGGGGTTCATCGCGAGGCGAAACATGAGATCGTTCGCGTCGTCCAGGTTCGGCAGAATAGCGCCACCGGACTTCACGCCCACACGCGGCGTAGGCGACGCGGAGGACGAGGTCAACGGCAGCGACGGGGCGGCTGCATGCACTGCACCCTCCGTGTACACCTCAATCGCCGAGGCCGGCATGTTCTCCTGCGTGGTCGGGTACTGCACCGGCACGCCGTTGTAGGCGCAGTTGCGCCCAATGCAGTCCACCGCGTCGGCGTCCATGTCATTTGCGATGATGTAGCGCACATTCGTGATTTCTTTAAAGTAACGGATGGCCCGCAGACCCGTCGCGCTGAGAGCCTCTAAGATGGTGATGCCCTCCGTCGTACCGCCGCGACGACGCGGCTCGGTCAGCCGCAGGCGCGAGAACAGCTCAATGGCGCTGATGCTGAGGTCACGATTCACGACCTGGGCAGGGTTGTAGAAGACGGCCTGATCGACTTGTTGCGTCGCGTCATCATTTGCGTCTTCCTCGTCACCGTGGTCGGGTCGCTTGCGTGGGGGCTGCTGCTGCTGCTGCTGTTGTTTAGTGGGCTGCGTTGGCGCCTTCTCCTTCGGCGGCGGCTCCAGTACGGCGGTGGTGCCTTCGGTGACCTTTGTAAACCCGACCGGACACTCCCGAGTAACGGCGTCATAGTTGAACAGGCCCGACTTGATCGACATCGGCGACACAGTCGGAGTATTAAAAATAAACTGTTTGCTGAGATGGTGCGGTTGAAAAAGAAAAGAGAAAACAGTGTCAACGCAGCAGAAGGCCGTCAACAAGACGCACACACATCCGTTGTCACGGGGGCAAAGGCGAAGATGCATGCCGGGAGAAGTAAAGCGACAACAACAAGACGAAGACGAAGGTGGAGGAGTGACGTGGGCGGAGGGAGGGAGGGAAGGAATGAAGTTGGTTTTTTAGAGTTGCCACAAAGGCTGCTACCCCCCCCCCTCTCGAGAAACGTGACGCAGCTTTCGCGTGTATTTCCTTCAGCCGAACCCAGAGAGAGAGAACAGATTAAAAAACGACAGCCATACGCTACGCCACAAAGGGACACCGGTGCAGCGTCTCGATGCCGCTGCGTCGAACCTGTTTCGCCGCAAACTCCGTTGCGCTTGCTCTTGCCGTGGCCTCGCCCAGTTTTAATCTGTTGTTTCCTTTTTTCTTTTTCACGTACCGCGGTGGAAACGTGGTCGCGTTCAAACACTCCCAGATCGCTTTACATCAGCCAGAACAACACCATCGACGGCTTCCACCCACCCACCAATCAATGCGGAACATCGTAGTTTACATCGCTCTTCCCACCAGAAAGAGAAGCTCAACAAATGCAAGAAACAGAAAGAAAGAGAAGATGAGACGGGTGCGAGAGGGTGGGTGGGGGCCAGGGTGGACACCGCCACGCTCCTCCGCTACGCGGTGCGCGGCAAACATCAGAGCGACTTGTAGTGGATCACACGCGCCCCTTCCTCCTCGTACTCCTTGCGCGACACGACCAGGTGTTGAAAGACGGCGGTTTGCGCCAGCATCGAGCCACCAAGCCACGCACTGTAGGCCCGACAAGCCATGTCCCGCGCGTTTATCGGCAGCACCGCCTCGCTAGGGTGACTCTCGCGGTAGAGCTGGCGCACCTCCGTTTCCAGACGCGTCCGGGCCCCGGGAAACGACAGCGAGCCGCCGGCGAGGACCATGTTTGCGTACAGTTGCGGCTGCAGACTATGCTCGCAGTTGTTGACGGCGGCGAAGGGCAGCCAACTCACCCCCTTTTCAAACGACGGGGTGAAGAACTCGCCGATGTCGGTGCGCACCTTGCAGCGCGGCTCGTACAGCCCCCTATCCGTGCCGCCGCTCTCCATCTCGGACAGGAGGGAGAAGTTGAAGAGCACCTCGGCGGTTCGGTGCCGCTCCGCGCCGAGGGGGATGCGCTGCCCGTCTGGGAGCACAAAGTCGTCGATCTCTCCTACGCCGTCCGGAGCCGCGTGCGCGCTGTGACGGAAGGTCTCGTCGGTGTCTCGCTGCAACGCCTTCTCCGTGGCTGTTGCTGCTGCCGCTGCTGCCACGCCTGTAGCCGCGAAGCTCGGCGACTGCACGTAGCACAGCTCCTCCTTCGCCTGATTCAGCACTTCCTGCTCGCTCGCCGTGCCGAGGGCGTAGCCTTGGGCCCGCAGCAACTCCCCGAGGTAGCGCGTGAGGGCCGCACCGGCGACGGGGCTCTGCGTGACGTGGCGACCTAACGCGTAGCCCTCGTGCACCGGCACGGCACGCGTGATGTCCTTGCCGCTATCCACCACCAGACCGGTGGTGAGGCCGTAGCTGTACAGGCTCAGCACCTGCGACGTGCCGAGGTAAAGGGAGTGGGCGCGAAACGTCTCCATCATAATTTCTAACGTGCGCTCCCGCTGCGGGCCGGGCGTGTTGACCGGCTCCGTCAGCAAAAAGCAGTGCGTTTCCGGCGACACGCGCAGTTCGTTGAAGAAGAGGTGACTCCACAGCTTCTCCACGTCGCCCCAGTCCTCGATGCAGCCGTTGCGGATGGGGTGGTGAACGTCGAGGGAGCCTTGCTTGAGCAGCGCCTCCTCGCCCACCTCCTGCTCGTTCATCCCGGCCGCCATGGCGATGCCGCGGTGCCGTGGGTAGCCCACGAGGGTCGGCACATCCAGCCGCGGGCCCTTCTCACCGCCAAAGCCGGCGCGGGAGTGCGACGACCCGCAGTCGAGGACGACCGCCGCGGTGGACACGTTGTAGTCCATCGTGCCGTGATGGTGGCGATCTAATTAATGTTCTTTTTCTCTTTTTTTTTGTTGTTGTAATAGGGAGTAGTTGCGCGTGCTTCTGCCAAGACGCACACACACTCACCCACACAAATTGTTCTTCAAACTGCATTTGAGAAGCGTGTCGAACCACCCAGTGAGAGAAGGAGGAAAAGAAAGAGGCGAAGTGACGAAAACGATGATGCCGTGCGAGGAAGCGCTTGAGAGTTCGATGCGACGCCAGTAATTCGAAGGCACGCTGACATCTCCAAAACAATCCAAATGACAAAAGAATATATATATTTGAAAGATTTGCTGCTGCTGACTTTGTTAACGAAAGGGACGGCGATGTGTGTGTGTGTGTGTGTGTGTCCAACACCACACCGCACCTATCAATGCCTCTATACATCCAGTGGTAGAATCATAAGACACCAACACAATACTTTGCTTTTCCCTACGCTGAAAGACCAGATCCATAGTCGCGCGTCCAGGTGTCGTACCGTGCGAGGTCCGACAGTCTGACGCTGCTGCGCGTGCACGCAATGCTCGCCTGCACGTCTTCCAGCGTCGCACACGGCGGCTTCAGCGGCGCCTGCGGAAGGCGCGACGGTGCGCCCGGTGCGTCGCCCGCCGACTCCAGCTGCTGAATCAGTTTCCGCACCGGCCGCATCATCGCCTCTCGGCACACAACATCGATGTCAGCGCCGGACATACTCTCCGTCAAGGCCGCGCACGTGTCGTAGTCGGCGTCCTGCGGGAGACTCGGCAGCAGTTTCCGAAACATCATCGTCCGCGCCTCGGCCGTCGGCAGCGTGACGAGCACACGCTTCTCCAAGCGTCGCAGCATGGCTGTGTCAAGATCCCACGGCACGTTGCTCGCGGCGAGCACGAATACGACATCGCCGCCCCGTCGCTTCGACAGGCCGTCCATCTGCGTCAGCAGCTCCGTCTTCATGCGGCGCGAGCCCTCGTGCTCGCCATCGGTGGAGCGGGCGGACATGAGGGAATCGATCTCGTCGATAAAGATCGTGCTCGGGGCGTAGTGCACGGCGAGCTCAAACAGCATGCGCACGAGCTTCTCCGAGTCGCCGCGCCACTTGGACACGACGGACGACGCAGAGATGTTGAAGAAGGTGGTGCGGCACTCCGTGGCGACCGCCTTCGCCAGCAGCGTCTTGCCGGTGCCCGGGGGACCGAAGAGTAGAATCCCCTTCCACGGCCGCAGGATGCCTTGAAAGAGCTCCGGGTACTTCACCGGCATCACGACGGCCTCCTTCAGCAGATGCTTCGCCCCCTCAAGGTCCGCGATGTCGCGCCACCGCACGGACGGGTTGACGTCGAGGATTTCCCGCAAGATCGTCGCGGCCAAGTCGGCCAGTTCGGTGGTGGGGAACTGCGGAAGCGGCTTCAAGGCACGATGACTAAAGTCCGCCGGTGGGTCGTCATCGCCATCGCAGCCCGCGCCCCCGCTCTGGTTACTGCGGCTGCCCGCCGCGCCGTTCTTTGCAACGCCGGAGCTGGTCACTCCCCCACCGAGCGGAGCCGCCGCCCCTTGCAAGGACAGAGCCGGTTGCTTGCTACTTGTGTCGGACCCCGCACTGCTGCTCCCGTGGGCATGGTCAAGCGCGCGTGTGAGGTTGGACGGCCGCAGGTGCGCCGGCGGCTTTGTGGACGGAGGTGCGGAGGACGAGGCAGCACCGCCGTTACTGCTGCTGCTCGCGTTGTTATTACTCTTGGTATCGCTTGCGTTGTCCGGGAGATTACCATAGCCGACAGAAGAGCCGCCCTTGCGCCGCCGCGTCAGCAGCTTTTCTCCGCTTTCGGTCACGACAGCGCCACTGATTTCCTCGCCGTCGTTGCGGGCGCGAAACAGTTTCGGCTTGCGTTGGCAGCGAAACTCATAGTAGTCCTCAAAGTCCTGCATCGCGGAGAGCAGGTCGATGTTGTCCGCCACGCAGTACTGCGCGAGGCTGACGCGGCTCTCCTGCTGCAGGGCCTGCAGACTTTGCGTGTAGCCCTGCTCGAGCAAAAACTGCTCGACGAGGACGACAACGCCTTTTACGCGCCGCGCACGCAGCTTCTCCTCCTCCTCGCGGGCGAGCTGCTGACTTTTCATGTGCGCTAAGCTCGACCCCGCCGCCGGCGCCATGGTGTTGGCGAGCGGCTGCAGACTTGGCATGCAGATATCTCGGAGTCCGTATGCTGTGGAATAATACGAATAACCACATCAACGAAACAAGAGCGCAACAATCATAATCATGATAAAAAGCCAAAAGGACAAGGAAAGAGGAGAGAAGCGCGTGTGTGTGTGAATGCGTGAGAGAGAGAATAACAAAAGCCGCATGCGATGATGCACATGGCGAAAGGAAACAACATCGACTCGATGAAAGACACCCGTGGAAACTTCGCCGTACTGCCTGCGACGTGTGGCACAATAATAACAACAATAATAATGCATGTGAATGGAAACGCTGCGATGTCGGCGATGTCCCTTTAGCGCTTCCTTCCTTCTCTTTTTTGGTTTAAAGTATAACGCCGCTCAGCAGTTCCGTTCCGTCCCTTGAAATAGAAGTCGTTGCGACGCGCTACCGTGGCGCACGATGTCATTGTGCGCCTTTCCTTCCACCTCGCGTGTCCCGTACACAAGTTTGAGATCTTTGCATTCACTACAATAAATAGAATCGCAAAATGATGAGCATCAACAACAACCCTACCTTTACAGCTAAAAGGCAGACGAAGAGGCGTGATGAGCGTGTGAGAGGACGTACAGCGACCGATGATGCACAACACGTTCACACGCACGCTACCTTCGCACCTTCACAGAAACAACACCAATAGTATTAGCAATAACACTCGCCCATAACAACAACAACACACACACACACATACATCCATAAAAACAAAGAGACAATAAAAGAAAAAGGCGTTACACAGCTGGAAAGAAGAGCTTCTTGTTAATATCGGGGAAAACATAAGAAGAGACATCGAAAAGCGTCGCTTTACAAGGAGACGACACACCTAGCATTCAGAAGGCACCCACCCCCCACACACACACCGGCACCACCCCATCAAACGTGCCACTACGTAAGTGCCACGTCCATGAGGGAGAGGGAGAGAGGGAGAGAAAAGAAAAGCCGTGTGCAGAGCTGTTCTCTCTCTCTCTCTCTATATATATATATAGCGCAAAAGCAACCCCAACAGCTCACCAACTCACCACGTCTTCGCAGCTTCCTCTCCTTGTCTTGTCCCGTTTGAAATGCCAACGAAGAAACCCCCAAAAACACAAAAGCAACGCTGCGTGACTGGAGCATTGAATACAAACGAGAAGAGCAAGAACAGCTCCTCCCCTCCTCCCCTTCTCTTTTTCTCCCTTTGCTACGCCTTCGGAAGCTTCGTCTCAATTACGGGGGCCAACGTCATGAGGTCGGCCAACACCCACTTGTGCGAGGCGTCCATGTACATGCACATCAACTTCCGCGTCGCCGGCGGTGTCTCCGAGACGTCTTCGGGGACGCCAAGCGCCCGCCCAAGCGACTTGGAGAACATGAACTCCACAGGCTTACCGGTGATCATGCGCATCACAAAGTCGACGAAGGTGCCGAGGGACTTGGGGCTGTTCGATGCAAACACGCGCGCCGCGGCAATGCGCTCGTACTCGTTCTCGTAGCCGACGATGCGCTTATAAAACCACTCGAAGTTGTACGCGTAGCGCTCCGGCGGGACGACGACATCGACGGTGAGCAGCGCACAGGCGCGCGCGTCGGCCGGGATCGGGGGCAGCGCATTGCCGTTCACCTTGATGAAGACCGAGGACTCGTCCGGGTCCACCGCTTCCGCCGCCGCTCTGCCACCCTTGGCATGACTAGCGGCTTCGCCATCTGTGGCTTGCGACGCAGGGGACGCAGGACCAGCGTCGGCAGCTTTGCTTGTGGCACTCGCACTCGCCTGCGCGCACGTAACCTGCACGCGGGACGCGGTCGCACCCTTGGCCACCGACACCGACGCACCAGAGGACTTGGCGGGTGCTGCCGCGGCCGCTGCGAGAGCTTTTTCTTCCTTGTCGTCGCCCTGCACGCTCGCCGCCGCCGCCGGCGAAAACTGCGGCGTCAGCGTGCGCGTTTTTCTGTTGAGCACGAAGGTGTGCTCCTCTGCGGTGGTGCGCTGCGCATTCGCAGCCGTGTCCGTCAGCACTTGAATCATTCCCTCATCGGGGTCTCCATCTTCCGCATGGCTCTTCGATGCACTCTTGATGCCTCCCGCCGCCGCCGCAGTGGTGGTGGTGGTGGCGCTCGCATGACCTTCCGTCGACGCCGGCGTGGTCGTGGCGCCCATCGAGGAGGGGTCTAACTTGCGGAGGTATTCGTTGTTCAGTGTCACGTCTACCTCCGCACCAATGCTGTCTGAGTGGAAGTAAATACGCGCCTTGTCTAGTCGCGCGAAAATGACTAACTTCGAGTTCAACACGTAATCGGCGGGGGAGGCGATGCTGCTCAGATTCACCTGCTTTTCCTTCTGCAGCATCCAAATCTTGAAGATCGACTCCGCGAGGTGCGTCGAGATCGGGATGATGGAGGTGATGGTGGACACCACGTGCTGCACCAACGTGTCCTGCAGCTTCGTCTTGGGCGACACCGCACCTGCACCTTCACCCGCGCGTGGCGAAATCGCATCTTCGGCCTTCAGATTTGCCGGGCCTGCTGCCGCCGCTGCCGCCGCCTTGGCCGGGGTGCTCTCGCGCGTCTCGGGCTTGAATTCCTGGTCCAGCAGCTTCGCCGCCTCGTGTGCGGCCGCGATGACTTTGGAGGACTCCGTCAGGCCCACCAGCGGCTGCTGCGCCCGTTCCACAAAGGCCGCAATGACCACGGCGAGACTCGCGTAGGCCTGCCTCGCACCGAGCAAGAACTCCTCCTGGGTGCAGCCGTTGACGGTCTTGGAGAAGTTGTTGAAGGCACGCACCAGCTCATCGTCCTCGGAGAGCTTAATGCCGATGGAGCGAATACCGGTGGACGGCGCTGCGGCGGGGACGGCGTCCTCCCGCTGTTGCTTTTGCTGGACGTGGCTGACAACGTCGTCACCGCTGCTGCTACCCACCGCGGTGGTGATTACGTTAGCCTTTTCATTCGAGGCAAAGACCTGCGCAGCAGTGACAGCGGCGGCGGTGGCCGTGCTCGTCGCCGCTGCTGCTGCTGCCGCCGTGGTCTGAGTCGTCGTCGACGACGTACTGTCCTTCTTGAGTTGGTTGGCGCTACGGGAGAAGAAGTGGCGGTGCGTGGTGGAGAGCAGCGGCAGCGTGGCGGGGCCGACCCCGCGGACCACACGCCCACCCGCAACGCGTCGGAGCATCGCTCACACGGAAAGATTTGTATTATTATTATTTTTCTTTTTCCCTCCTCTTCGACACTCACAAGGAGAAACCCGGAAGCTTCTTCGCTGATTCAAAACGCGCAGAAAAAATGAGTTGCGGCGACGGGGCCGAGTTGCTCACGCCCGACGGAGCACGAAACGCAGCGTGCGAGATCTTCGTAGACGTCGCGCACGCCAGGGGAAACACACAAACAAACAACAATTGCAACAGAGAAAAAGATATCACCACTGCGACGGTGGGAAAGAAAACAAACGAATTCGCGTCGTGGAAAAAACGGTCGGAGAAGGAAGTGGGGAAGAAGAAAGAAGAAAAAGAGACGTGCGAAGGCGGTGGCACACGCAAGCAAAGATGTTGATGATTATGATGATCACAAATTAAATGCAGCGCAATGTAGATGTTTTTTTTTCTTCTTAGAGTATAAATGCCGAAAGCTATTGGTGTCAGCAAGATCAGAACGGACGACACCCACAAACAGCTGAATAATATATAAAGAAGAGGAGCAATCAAACGAGTGAGGCAAATTGAAGAAAAAAAAAGTACACGAGGTGCCGTGATGGTATTCTTGAGTCACCTTTCGCTGCGTATGATGAAGCGTTCTCGAGAGCGAGCGAGTGTGTTTTGTTTGTCTGTGTACTTCTCCTTTCGAAAAGCACAGAGCAAACAGAGAATAATAAAATAAAATAGCTGTTTCCCTTCTCTTTCAAGCGGGCAGTGCAATACGTGTGTGGGAGTGTGTGTGTGTGTGTGTGTGTGGAAATATATATGTTTATAAAGAAGACGATGCAGAGAGGAGTATAGGGACAAGTAGTGTATTGAGCCATCAAGTCTTTTTTGCCGCATTCTGAGCTCGTGGAGAGACCGTCACGCTGCAACAAGCATAATAATCGCACGCGGCGAAAGGAGCTACCTCGTCCATCTCAATCAGGTCGGCTGACTACCGCCCTTCAGCATCACCAAACATCAATGCCTTCTTTTTGCTGGGTTTTCTTTTTGCGCTTGTCGATGGCACGGCGTCTTTCTTGCCTGAGAAAAAAAGAAAGAAGAGAGAACAACTTAGCTTACTTAAACGACTGCGTACGGGATAAGAGAAAAGAAATGGAGGACAGCAAAGAGGGATGTGTGTGTGTGTGACAGCGTAAGCGCGCTGCTTGGGCGTCCCGAGCACGCCAGTTCACCTCAACCGAGAGAGAGAGAGCAAAGCACACGGCATTTATTTTAGTATTGTGGATTCCAGTCCTGTCAAATTGACAGAGCAGGAGAGAAAGAAGAACACACGCGTCGACAGATCATTCAGAGCTGCGAGCTGTCAAAGGTTGCCGTGGGGCGGCGCGCACCAGCCGCCGTCGCCGCCTTCGCTTTCTTTTCCAGAATGGGTACTCCCGCCCAGCGCCGCTTCAGCAGCTCTTCGCGCGAGATACCGGTGGCGTCCATAATACTCAGCTCTTCCTCCAGCGGCGTCAGCATGGCCCGGCACGACATCTCACACGACGCACGGCTCTGCAGGTAGAACACCTCCTCCATGTACGCCTCATAGCGAAATGCACAGCGCGTCTGCGGCACGTGTGACCGCACCGGGTCATTCCCGGCGACACTGCGTAAGTAATACAGCGGGCCTAACCACGCCTTTTTTCGCCCAGCAGGAAAGCCAGACATGCGCACGCTGCTGGTCGCCAGCTCGCAGATGTCCGCCGCGGACAGGTTCCACAGCGCCTCGGCCGTGCCGTACTCCTCCAGCAGCGGCTGCTCGGTGCGGTGGAAGATGAGCGCGCCGTCGGTGCCGATCGCGATGTTCAACCCGCGGTAGAGGAACTGTGGCAGGGGGTGGTCCGCGTAGCGGCAGAAGAGGGCGTTGTTCGACATGGGCACGATGGCGAGGGGGATCTGGGTGAGGTAGTACAGGTACTGCAGCACGGGGCGCTTGTCGAGACTGATGCCGTGGCCGATGCCGTCCGCCAGGTAAAACACGTCTGCCATGTGATCGGGGTCCCCGCTCTCGCCGGCGTGGGGGCGGAACTGGAAGGTGTTGAATCCCCGTGCGGCGCGGTAGCGGTTGAGGGTGGTGATGTTCGACCACATGTAGAACATGTAGTAGGCGAAGGGTGGATTCTCGGAGGAGGTCCACTGCGCGGGGGCCACGTCGATCGTCTGATCCGCCTCGCGGTCGCTCTCGTTGTCGACGCTGTCGAAGCCGGAGACGTGCGAGAGGAAGAAGTGCAGGTAGGGGTGCTCCGCGGGGTAGCACGACGCCGCCCAGAGTGGCTCGAAGATGTTGGTGAGCATCTCCTGAAAGCTGCGGAGGGCGCCGCTGCGTTGGTAGAGGTGGAAGAGACGTGGAACTTGTATCATCCAGCTGTTCGTGCGGTGCGACATGCCGTGCAGCACAAACCAGCGGGAGAGGCGATCCCACTCGGTGCGGCTGCGGCCGTAAATGGAGAGGCGGTTCTCGCTGAACGTGTTACCTTCCAGCTCGTTCTGCTGAAAGGTGCCGCGGATCAATTCGGCAAAGTAGCGCCCTTGCATAAAGTTCTCTGTCTTGAGAAACAGCGAGCGAAGGGAGGACATGCCCATGGGACTGAAGCGGTGGTTGAAGCGGTCGAAACGATGGAAGGTCGCTTTGCCCGCGTGCACCTGCAGGGCAGCGATCGGCATCTCCCCAAGAATGCGCGCCACACCGGCCGCCGTCGCCGCCGCGGCATCTCCCTCCACCGTCTCCTCTGCATCGCTCCCTTGACGATCCTTGTTCTCTTGTTCGTGCATGGGCCGCGGTGGACGCGGCATCATCCCCATCGATGAACGCTTTTCCTGGGGTAGCACCTCCCCAAAGAACTTCACAAGAGTAATCGGCTGACCGGTCACGTTGTCCACGCCGACGACGTCGTCGGGGTGGTCGCGAATTTTGCAGCGCATAAACTGCAGCAGCGACTTGGCGGTGATGCCGCTGGCCATGTGGCAGTGCACGTCGACCTTCACACAGTTGTGCGCGTCGCCGCGGATGGGCTGAATAATGCGGTGCTGCCGCCGAGGCGCCGTCTTCTCTTCCGCTGCCGCCGCCGCCGCTGTTGTCGCTGCCGCCGGTACGGAAACGCAGTAGCTCTCCTCATCGTCATTCGTCAAGGCGACGTGCAGCTTGTACTTCGATTCCAGCATCCCCAGCCGCTTATTCGCGTACTTCGCCACCGTGGCGTCCGTGCTGGCGAGCGCACGCAGGGCACGAATGTCGATCTGGAACTGTTGCCAGCTGGGCAGCGGAAGTCTCGCCGGTACGCCTACAAGAGCCGTTTTGTGTACGGTGGTGGTTGCGGTGGCGTCGTGGCTGCGCTTGTCGTTGTGCGCTGCATTAATATCCAACACACCGTTGACCCACACCGGCTGCACCGCCGCTGCGTTCGGCGGGGAGGAGGGAGTAGAAGACGATGTGGCGAGGAATGCCGTGCGGTCGCGCACCGCGGCGGGGTCCACCACGAACTTCTGGTACGCCTCACGCCGGGTCAGGGCTTGCATCAGCCGCTTGGCCGCCGCGCTCGGTCCGTCGCTGTCGGGACCAGTAATGAGGATACGCGGGTACTGCATCAACGACTCGTGCGAGCGATAGCCGGAAAGGCTTTGCAAAAGAGTTGGATCGTGCTCACGCTGCAACGCACAGGCGCTCCCGTTGGACGTGCGACAGTACGCCGTTGCGGTGCTCGGCGGCAGATAGAGGACAGCCCGCGTCGCACTCTCGTCCTGTCCAACAACAGAGAGCTTTGTTGCTGTGGGAGACGGTCCTGCACTGCGGTGTACAGCAGCGAAGAGGAGATCCAGCTCATGCTCCAGCGCGTAGGCGCGGTGATGCAGCCGCAGGGAGCTCACTTGTGTCGCGGCGAACTGGTTGAACCGTGCGCGGGCGTGTGGCCAGGCGTAGCCGAAGAGGTGCCGCCGCTGCCCCCACGAAAAGCACCCGCTCGACATCTCGACCCCGCGCAGGCACATCTCCGTCACGTCGGCGTTCGCCAGCCCGCGCTGCTTCGTCAGCTCCATCAGCTCCTCGCACAGCGCGTCGTTGGTGGTGTCGTAGAAAAGGGGATCTAGCGTGGCCACGCTGACGCGCAGGCCGGCTTGCACGGCGAGAGGGATCGCCGTGGTGTTCAGGGCGTGCTTCACAGACGCGCCACAGCAGCGGTTGCGCGAGGGGGTCAGAATAACGTGTCGCTGCGCCAGCATGTACAGGTACGTCAGCGGGCTCCACTCGAAGGCGGAGGCCGGGTTCACCACCGCGTCCGCGAGCAGGAGACCGAGGACGCTCTCGCCGAACAAGGTGCGGCTGTTAGCCCCGCCGTGTAGGGTGAAGGTGAAGGCAGCGCGGAAGTTCCACGGTGCAGTCGGCAACGTGTTCGCCGCTGACTTCGCTGACTCGTGCGTCGTCGGTGCGTCGGTGGTGCTGCTCTTCTGGCGCTGCAGAAGAGCGTTCGCCCGTGCTGCCGCCGCTTCATTTGTGGCCGCCTGCGGCCCGGAGGCGAGCAGGAAGGCATTCACGAGCTGCACGTTGCGCCACACGTGGTACACGAAGAAGGCATCCGGCGGAGCGGCAGCTAATTTCGCTGATGATGTGGCAGTCGTGTGCGGGAGGGGGAACTGCGTCGCCGGGTCGCCGCGGTGGGGCATCTCTTGGACGGCGGCGGCGTGCGTGAGGCTGACGGAAAACCCAGTCGTGCGGGCTAACAGCGCCAACATCTCCTTGGTGTTGTCGATGCCGCTGCGGTTGTTCACACGCTCGCCTTCGCTACCGCTACCGTCTCCTCCGCTGCTCGGCGGCGTTGCCGCAACTTTGTAGGCTTGCCAAATCGGACGAAATATGTTCTTCAAGATGTCCCCAAAGTGCACCGCTGTCGTCGAGGAGGATGCGGTCCTTCGTGCGGCGTCGCTCTCTGTCGCGTAGCCCTCCTGCACGATCAAGAAGCGGAAGTACACCCCCGGGCACGTCTCGAGCAGCCCGCTCTGCGCACACCACCGCGCCAGCCGCGGCAGCTCCGCCGGATCCGTGCCGGTCACCGTCAGTTCCAGTTCCAACCGGTCGTAGTTGGCGCCGGGGGTTAACATGCGCTGCATGAGCGGTCGAATCAGCTGCGCCAGGAGTTCGCCCTGCCCGTCGGCACCACCGGAGGTGCTCAGGACGTGCTGCAGGAGTCGACCAGCGAGGGCGGCGCGGGGGTTGCTATCCGAGTCCGCCAAACACCGCAAACTCAGCCAGTGGTCTGTTGAGTCGGAGGCGTAGCTCGGCCGCAGACACAGGCCTTCCTCCGTCATCACCTGCTCCGATGTCGTCGCGTCCGTGCCGAAGAAGCGTCGTACGGCCTCTTCCACTGAAATATCGGTGCGCAGCGACGGCCGTGGTGGCTGTTGTGGTGGAGTGCTGTTGGTGCCATGCCCACCCTTTCCGTTGCTCCGCGTGATCGCCTCCAACATATCCGCCTCCATCTGCTCCTCGGCGTAGAGGGGGTAGGTGGGGCGGTCACGGCGCAGCTCCTCCACGAAGCGGACTACGGAGGCGGCGCTCATGCACGTCTCCAGTCGGCGCAGATCGCACTTCGGCGCCCGCTTGATGTCGCCGCCGCCGAAGGTGGGGTGGTACTTGTCCTCGCGTGCCCCGTTGTAGGCGCGGTAGAGGCTGAAGAGACTCTGCAGCACCTTCACGCGCGGCTCACTCGCACTGAAGGCCTCGCCCATGCTCACAAGCTTGCTAAGGCGGTCAAAATGGTGAAGGAAAGAATTGTAGCTGAAGAGGGGGTGCCCCAAGAGGGGAGCGGAAGTTGTCCTCTCGGCATCCGTACCGACTGCGGAGTGCGCCATCGCTGTGTCCGCTTCTCCTCCTTCCTTTTCTCGAGCTGCTGTGCAGAGAGCTGCTGCCCAGGCGGTGGGTACGAGCAGGCCGTCCAACTCCGGCACCGCCGCCATCGCCTCGCTCTCTTCCTCCTCCCCTGTCATGGTCGCCGCCTGTTCTTGAAAGAAGCGACGTAGCTCACCCAGCAGCGGACCTGCGACAGCGATGCGATCTGCGTGCTCCTGGTACACGTGCTTCTCCGTGTACGTCGCCCCGAACGGGTCCAAGGCGCTGCTGTGCTGGGCATCGCGCAGGTGTAAGCCGAGACGCGTAGCCGATTGAATTGCGCAGACACCGCCGATCACCTGCAGGGCTTCGACCAGCAGCGGTGCACCGTTGTGGAAGGCGGCATCGCCAGTGTCGTTGTGCAGAAAGACGTCGTGCCACTGCTGCTCCATAAACTTCCTTATATAAATCTATGTATATATATATATATATATGTATTCTTATGTACTGATTTAGCGCGTTGGTTACCGTCTGTTAGATGTATCAATGAAAAGAAGGAGAAAGCGAAAAGCGCCGATGTGCAAAAACGAAATCCCAAAGGGGGACGAACGTAATTACAACGAAGGCGTCTGTTTACGTCGACTTGGTGGATGGCGCGTCGCTCGTACAAGGGAATCGAGGGGAGATGTATTCAAACCGCTGCGAGCGATATGTATATAGGAAACAGCAAGACAACTCCGGGGGACGGTGAGGAGTGCTTTCACCTGCGTGTTCCTGTCGATGCCGCTCCACAACGCAATGCACACACGAATGCAGTAGTGGAGGCGATGGAGGAAGCAGCCTTAAAAACAAAAACAAAAGAGTCAACGACCTCCCTCTTGGTAGGCAGGCATAAAACAGACAAGAAACCAAACAACAAAGAACCACCCGCGAATGCAAGAGAAATACAAGGAAGGAAAAGGTGTTGTATGTGAAAGGTGAAGCGCCGGCAGCGACCATCCTCTGTGGCGGATATCCCAGGCAGTGGATGAGCACGCACGTTGCGCCGAGCCATCGATGCGTACACACAACGGAAAGCCCTCAAAAAAAGCCCAAATGCGTATTCCAACCATTCTACATGCCTAAGTTTTTTGCACTATGAAAACGCAAGTAATAAAGGGAGGGGGCATTCAACACGTCCGTGTTTCGCTGCCACGGTCGCTGATGTTTACCTGTTTTATAAATTACTCTTCCTTATTTCTCAATTAAAATCTTCGAGTATTTAATCGTCACCATTACGCGTAATGTACAAACAAAAATGCACTTAAGTAATAATAATTGTTGTTTACGGCGCACGCAGAGAGACCCTTCCCCGCCACGACACGACAACGGCTGCACCAGTCGCCCAAGGGAAACAAGAAACCGCAGCGTGCTCTTGTACCACAATCCCAACTCACCACCGCGAAACCGGGAGGCGCTGTAGCTGCACACACACACACACACATACACACCCTTTAAAATCAAACAAACACCCCTTACGAGAACCGAGGGAACTCGTGCCGCATGTCGACCCCTTTGCGCACGGCCACCTCCGTCCTGCGGTTGCGCTGGTACGTCGCCATGACGCGATCCCGCAGCGCTTTGATCTCGTCCTCCTTGCTCATGCGAGTTCCCTCAGTTGAGGCGTCGGCGCGCACGGTGTGCGTGATGGCCGGCGCAAGACCCAAGCGAGCCAGTCGCTTCTGCTCCCCCAGTTGTCCACCACCGGCGAGCAGGCGATGACGCGCATCGCCACGACCACCGCCGGCCTCCCGCTCGAGCTGGTTGGCCAGTCGCGACACCGCGGCGAGGCGGTTCGGCACCACGTCAAAGACCGGCGGCGCCTCCACCCGCTCGCCGTAGCGCACGACGTCCACGAGTTCATAGAAGTCCTGCGGCTTGTGGTTGTTCGTCTTTGTGGTGGCACGACGCGCGGATTGGGCGGCGGTGGTCGGGTCGGCCACCTCCGGATCGAAGGAGATGCGTTTGCGCTGCCGCAGCGGTAGTTCCTCTGCGGAGTTGCTGTCCACCGCCCTTGCAGTTCCGCTACGATGCCCATCACCGTCTTCGTGCGACTCCTCGTCGGTACTTTCTCTTTCACCCCCGTGGTCGTCGCGGTGCCGCTTGCGGGAGTTCAGACCGTCTTCTGCTTTCTTCGTCGTCTTCTTCATCTTGGCCTCTGCCACGAGCTCCAGCTGACGCGCCGTCTCCTTCTTGACCTTCTCCTTCTCCATTGCGCGCAGTTGACGCTCGAACGCCAGGTTGACACGGTCGCGCACCGCCGACGTTCCACTGTCCTCTCCCCGCTTCGCGCGGCCTTTTTTGCTGACACTGTTCGCACCCTTCACGTAGGTATCGAGCTCGGCTTCCATGTCCTCTAGCTTCGCGGCTACCCTTGCGCGCCGTGCCTCTTGCTTGCGCAGGTGCTTCCGCTCCTTCTTACGGGCGATGATCTCCTCCACGCTGCGAGGGGTGCTAGAGTCCTCAGCTGCTGATGCTGATGCGGCCGTCGCTTCCGCAGAAGTCGATGCACTATCCTTTGAGCGACGGCTGATAGGCAGCAGCGCTGCCCCGACCGACGCGGTCAGCTCGTCGTTTAAGGAGGGGTACAGAATCTTCGCCTTCTTCTTCTTGGCAGACTTCGCGGTGGGCGAGGTTGTTGCCGGTGTACCACGCTCTGCGCTGACTGCCGTCGCAGGCTCGTTGGCTTTCTGAGAAACAGCCGTTTTCTGTTGTCGTCCTGCTGAGGGGTCTGCGGCGTGACGGCTGCTGTTCCCGGTGACAGAAGCTTCCACGTCCACGGCTGCGGCCTTTTCGGGGTGCCTTTCCAGCTCCAACGCCGCCCGCTTCGCCTTTTGGCGCTGCATTTTTTCCTGCAGGAAGTTGAAAACGTGTCGCTGGCTGTGCGGGATGCTGTCGAGGCCACCGATGGTGCGGGCAGTGGGGACCTGGTTGGCCAGTTTGGCCCGCTTCTGCTCGCGTTGGAAGGGCGACAGCTTCGCGTTTTGGTTTCGCTTGTGGTTGTGCGACTTATGCCGCGGTACGCGGTCACGGCGCGCCATCTTGTCAGCAGAGCCGCGCTTCTACTCTTAGCTTTTCCGTGCTAGAAAAAAAAAGGAGGTGATGATGTTCGTGTGGGTGTGGACCAAGACGGTAAGATCATTCGAAGGAGAGCGAGGGGGAAGAGCTGAAGCGGCACTGAGCTTCACACCCCGTGTGTGTGTGTGTGTGTTCCCCTCTGCTGGAAAACAGAATAGAATGAGTTCTACTGTCCTGCTCCTTTCCTCAGAGATGGCTGACGATAACACTATCGAAAACAAAACTTGTCAAATTGCGAATGGCAGCCCTGTCGGAGATTACTCCCACCCTCTTGATTCAACTACCGTGCTTCCTGACACGCCTTCACACTGGCACACAACCGTCGTGCGTCTTGGAGGAGCTTCATATTTTTTTTTTTGGCGTTACACATTACGTGTTAACAAACAATTACGCGTTAGACGAGGTGAGGGAAAAAACAAGAAAGGAAAACCACGAGAGCCCACTGCGATACGAATGGCTCGTTTAGGCAACAGCTAACACGCTACAACTCTGGAGCATACACACCCACGCAATGCGTATTTTAAAGTTCTCGCCCACCACTCACGATGGAGCGAGCCGTCTCCATTGCCCCTGTGCGCTCAACGTCACTCCGCCTCAGCGGCTTCCTTCGCACGCACGAACTCAGCGTTACCTTGCGAGAGGGGATCCGACAGCATCAGCGAGATGCGCAGGCCAGCGGTCAGTTCGAACTGGTCCAGCAGCTGCTTCGCTTTAAAGAGAGACTCCCTATCGCGAAACACAACCCGCACGCGCTTCGCAAAGAGGGACCAGCACGACATGTATCCCGGTACATCGTGAAGGTGGCGGCGCACCACACGCAGCGGCACGTGCACCGACAGCGCCGCCACCGCCGTCACGAAGTCCTTCTGCCGGTTCGGGAACTGCTTCAGCACAATCGCCTTCTTTGCCTTGGGGCGACGCTGCTTGACGGTGCCGCCGCCGCTGCCCTCCGTCGTGAGGCGCTGCGCCGCGTTCTCGCCTTCTTCCTCTTCCTCCTCCGCTTCGTCTTCCACCGTCGCGTCATCCACGCCATCGTCGCCGTTGTCATCCTTCGCTGCGCGTGGCCGCTTTTCGCCAATCGTCGTCGCCGCCGTTTCCGTCGTGCGCTGCACCTCCGCCTCCGCCTTTCCGTCTCCGTTGACGCGCAACAGCACGTCGCCGGCGGCGTGACCCGGCAGGTGCACGTGCACCGGAAGCTTGTCCTCGAAGTAGCGCATCCGACGCAGCCGCAGCGCCAACGCCTCCAGCGCGTTCGTCGTGGCCGCGGCCGTTTCCGTGACTTCGTGATCCCCTGTCTGTTCGGCCGTGGCGTCTTCGGTGTGTGCGGCGGGATCCACCGCCGGTGCCGGCTCACTCGCTGCGGTCGCTGCGGTGGTGGTGGTGGTGGTCTGCGAGGATGAACCCGCGGTGGCCGACGCACCAGGTCCCGGTCGCGGCTGCTTCTGCAGCTGCATCGGCGCAAAGTCTGCGTCGGCCGGGCCGTAGAAGCTGACCTCCGCCGAGCGGGTCTCGGTGCGGCAGCGGACGGCGTAGCCGCAGCCACGCGTAGCAGATATCAGGTTCTTCGCCTCCACACCGCTTGTGTGGATCAGCCGTTCGACTTCGAGTGTCTCCTCGTAATCCGCGCGCAGCCCGCAGTGGTACGGCAGGGCGCTGTTGTGCAGCTTGCCAAAGTCGTTTTCCACGTTGGTGATGATAACGGCGTACCGCACGTTGTCCTGCGGTGCGGCGGGCTTCTTTTTGCGCTGGTCCGCCATGGGCGGGCGCTTGCCGGGGGGCTTACTGTCGTGTTGCTGGCGGTGCTGCTGCTTCTGCTTCGACGACGACGGTGCGCCACCGAAGCGAGGCGGCTGGTCAGCCCTTTTGGGCACCTGCTCAGACATTGGCTTTACGCGATGTACTGCGTGTACTTCCGCAATAACACATTGATCCCCACGCGGAAAAAAAAATATATATATGGAAAGGAATAAAGAGAGGAGAGAAAGCGCGATGAAGCAAAAGAACGGAGTGAAGAATGCCGCCGAGGTTCGTGATTCACATATATATATATATATATATATATATATAAGAGAAGACATTGAGGTGTGGTAGGTTACGCAAGAGCGACGAAGAACACCTCTCCGAGAAGGAACTCCAAAGAACACTTGGAGAGAGGAGTTGAGCAACAGGCTGGCCCGAGTCGGTGGGCACGGGTGTGTCGCGAAACGGTTCTTTGCGCACCGTCAACGTTCCATAGAAGAACGGTGGTTTTTCTTCTTAATTTGATTTTTCTTCCTTTTCTTCGGTGTGAACAGCGGAAAGCCCAGTCGGTGGTGGTCGTTGCGAAGACGTCGACACGCGTGACGCGGCAACGCACGGCGCGTACGCCTTCGTGACGGACAAGCAAACAAACAAACAAAAACAAACCGGCAATGAAGAGTGGCCCTCCTCCCCTCTCTCTCCCTCAGCGCATCCCTCTTGTGCTTTCTTCTCGTTTTACACCTTTTCAAAGCGGTACTTCATCTTTGACAGCGCGGTCAAGTTCTCCTTCGTGTCCAGCATGGAGCGGAGAAGTCGGCCGATGGCAAGGTGGAAGACGGGCTGCCACAGGGCGAGCACGTACTCCAGCAACGCCCCTGTTACGCCGTGACCAGCGAACACCGACGGCGGCGGCAGACCAGCCTCGGCGTACGCACCTCGCATCGCTAGCTGACGACGCAGCAGCGCACCGAGCCAAAAGAGCGAGGCCGCAGCTGCGAGGGCGGCGATGACGTACTGGGCGACGGGGGGATCGGTGTGAACACGCTGCCGCAGCCGCAGCAGCTTCGCCCGTGTTGATCGTACTGCTAATGGGTTTTGTGCTGTGCCTGTTGGAGGAGTCGCGTGTGCGGGGTCGATGCTGTTGCCGATTACGTTGTTATCCCGCTTAGCCGCAAGAGATGCGCCAAGGTCACGTGGCGCGGTGCTCGTCAGGTCCTCCACATTTACGCGCAGCAGGCGGCACGCCATGTAGCCACTCCACGCAGCCCACAACAGCAGGCCGGCGCTGTACAGCATCACCACCACCGACATGACGTTCGCGACCGTCATGGACGTACCGGAGAGAGAGCCGCTGCGACGCGCCAGGTAGTCTTGCGTGAACCTGCGATTTGCATCGCGCTGCTGCGCGTCGAGCGCCGCAAGCACGGCGAGGGGATCCTGCGTGGCCTGCAGCTCAGCGGGAGAGATCGGCGACGGCGTTACGGCGGCGGTGTTGATCTCTGCAGCGGCCGTGCGCACCCGCCGCTGCTGCAGCGCGACCTCGAGCAGCTTCGCCGTCGTTGCGTGGTCCACCTCCAGATCGAACATTAGCGACCCGCTCAGCAAGAGAACGAGGTACACGAGGGCGACAAGGGCGTGAAGGCAGACAACAACTTTGAGGAACTGGGAGCTGCTCCGCAACGACCGCGCGAAGTACGCGATGACCTCCTCTTGCTCTTGGGTGCTGAGAACGTCATTATTGTTGACGAGCTCCTTCGCCCGCTGATCGCCGCCTTGGTACCGCGGGTTCGACTGACGATAGCGCATCGTTCGAAAACAAAAGAAAAGTCTACGTTTATGCTAGAGACACGATTGCTTTGGCCGCGGTTTTTTTTTTCTTTTGATTTTCCCTTTATGCGCTGCAGGAGTGTGCGTTGAGGGACGCGTGCTTCACGGGCATCGAAAAGCGGAGCGTGGCGGAACAAGCCCCGGTCTTTCGCGAGGGTTGAAGACGATTTCCTGCACGATGAGGCGGAGGAAAAAAAAAAGGAAGAGAAGAGGAGGGGAAATGACGTCGATGATCGCGATATATACACATATACATATATATATATATATATATATAGAGAGAGAGAGAGAGAGAGAGTAACAGCTCCACAGATTTTCCAACCTACACCCGCAAAACACCTGCGACAAACAAACGCTATGTGCATCGTCGCCTTTCAACTGCTGATTGATTCAGCCACGTCCTCGGCAGCTTGGCGCCCTTTCTGTACACCGTTGAAGCGGCAAACCGCACGCGTGCGGTGCGAGTGTGCAGCATCGCCACATTACAGTTGGCTTTTGCGCCAACACCATGCCTTATCCGTACGCACGTATGCCAATGAGACGACTGGAAGCAGCCACTCTTTTTGTTGATGTTTCCCATTTTGTTTTGTTTTATGCTTGTATGAATCGCGTTGCACAGCAGAGAAGGAAGGAAATAAATAAATATATATAAAGCCCACCATCACCAGCACGCCGCCCCATTGAAACTCGGCTGCCCCTTACACACTCGCCTCCCCGCCTCCCACAAAGTCCCCCGCTCGGACACCACTCGGCGAGGTCGGTGAGTACGGTGCGGCAGCGCGTGCGTTGGTGTTGCGCGGACGCACGCTCTGCAGCGCACCACCGCCACCGTACGGGTTGTCAGAGAGAAGGAGAGGCGTCGGGACGGGGCTATCGGCGTTGACGAGCACCACCGGGGCCACGAGCGGGTTTATGCCGTGCGTTGCTACAGTTGTGGGCGTGGCTACATCGGCTGCTGCTGCTGCTGCTGCGCTGCGCCTCTGCCATGGAGAAGACCACCACTGCTGCGGCTGTGGGCCAGGTACCCAGTTCTCTGCCTCATCGCCCGACTCCCGAAAAACGCCAGCAGGCGAGGCAGGCGCGGCAGCACTGCGCCCATAAGAGCTGCTACGGCTCCCGTCACGAACCACGGCGAAGCGTTGCTCATCGTTCGAATAACTACTGGTGTAGCTTGACAGAAGCCCTGCCGCACGACGCCATGCCTCGCCGCCCTGTGTCGCACCTCGGCGGTCCATTTCAAAACGCGCCGGAGGGACAAGAGGGCGCCTTGGCTCACCGCTTCCGCTGGCACCCTCGACCCCAACGACCATCGTATTCCACCACCTACCGAGTTTTGTAGCTGCGCAGCAGCGCGGCGCGGGTGGGGGGCCGGGTGGGCGGCAGCCACACCAGCAGCGCACGCAACACAGCGTCCCCAGCAACCACAGCACCGCGCGAGCGATTGCACGAAGGAAGCAGCGAGTTTGGTGCGCACACGAGCCCAACGTGGCGGCGACCTTCTTGCGACGGTAGTGCTGACGCAGCTGCTGGTGCAGGAGAGGGACAGAGGAGATGGAGGAGGAAGAAGCGGGGGACGAGCCGCCACCGCGGCGGATATTCAAATTCTTACGCGCGTAAAACGCTTCGTTCGCATCGCTCAATTGCGCCGCGCCACGAGCGTGTTCGCCGGCGAGGTAGTCGCGGTCACCGCCGTGGCGGCTGGCGGTCCAGTCCGTCGCGGAGAGGCCGTCCACCCAGCTCCGCAGACGACGGGCAACGCGGGAGTACCAAACCGCGTTGTACACCAACGACCACCACTGCTCCTCGAGAGACAGCGACGATGGGTTGTTGTGCACGGCTTCATTTAGTGTACTCCGATCACCACCATTGCCGTTACTGCCGTTGACGTCAGCGTGGACCTTCGCGGCGACGCCGGACTGAATGCTCCAGCACAACCAACGCAGCAGCAGCGCAACCAACAGCAGCTGACCAAATCGAAGCAGCGGGAAGAAGGCACCGACGGCGAGTCCGATGGAGCCAGCCGTGATGCGCTGACAGGCCATCTGCGTAAGCGTGACAACGTCCATCACGCCCACGTCGATCACGTTACCTCGACCATCTTCAATGGTAAGTGTTTCGCGCCTGCTCGGCAGCTGCTCTGGATTTGGCGTAAACGACGAGGGCGGGTGTGTCGACGACGTCCCTGTCGTCGCCGGGTCACGCAGCCAATCGTCTGTGGCGGACGTGTCTTTCCCTAACTCTCGCACCGCGCTATCAGCCGCCGCACCGCTTGAGCTGCCGGTGGACCACCACAGCTGCACGCGTCGGGCCATCACCCACACCCAGTATACGTACGGGTGCTCAAAGAACCACGTGTGTCGCGTCACGCGTGCGAAGTGGTCCACGTCGTAGGCGACGCGGACGTGCGGGTTGAGCAGGATGACGGGGGCGCGGCGGTCCTGCAGAATCGCCGCCTGCATCACGTCTTGGCATATCAGCAGACACTCCGAGGAGAGACAGACGTCGTCGCGGACGGGCTTGAGGCCGCTGACGGTGGCGCCGTAGGAAGGCGTGAAGGCGTGGCGGAAGCGCACGGCGGGGTGCCGCGCGACGTAGTACGTGCTGTCGTCACGTACGCGTATTTCGCTCATGGGCTGCGCCGTAGCACCCGCTTGACCGCCGTCCGCTTCAACGTTCTTCTCTTGAAGATCTGCAATCAGCGAAGCGAGGGAGGAGGTACCCCCGAGAGCGGTGACGTTGCCGGAGGTAAGGGCGAGCGTCAGCCACTCAAAGGCACTCCTCGTCGTGGAAGCGGTGAGCCCATTTGAGGCGTGCTCGCCGTGCTGCTGCTCCGTCAGCACCGCTTGTAGCAACGCGGTGAAGGAGCTCGTGTTGGCGTACACCACCGGACTGTAAAACGGATGGCCCGTGAGCTCGGCGATCTCAGCACGTGTGCTGTTCCACGCCGCCCGTGTGGACTGCAAGCGCCGGGTCCACACACGTGTGAGGTACGCCGCCATGCCCGTGATGTTCATGGCAACGCCGGCGCTGCCAAGCAAGTCGTACACGGCACCGGAGGGCCGCATCACCACGAGGGGGGCATCTTCACGCACTGAGATAAAGGAGGGCACCGCCTCGCCGCTTTCTACGCCACCCTGCGGCTGTGTTGCAGCGCTGTCATTCCTATTAATATTAATCGTATCGTTTTTGATCTCGTCGTTGATGCCGTTGACGCGGTGCGGAAGAAGCTGCCACCGCCGCTGCGCGCGAAGACGCGTCTCTCGAGCTGGAAATCCCAGACGGTGCGCTGGCGTGGGTGGAAGGAAAAAGCGACCCCGGATGGCCGCTACGCCGTTCCAGCAGCACTTCACCGGCACCGCCGACATCTCTGGCGAGAAGGCCACGGATGCGTCGGCGTGCATCGAGGTGGCACGTTCCGGCTTGCCCAGGTCGTGGTTCAAAATACGGTAGAAGGCTTCCTGCGTGGCGTGATCGTCCGAGTACGGCATCTGCGCCTCAAAGGGGTTGCCCAGGCGATCTCGCGTGACCCACGTGTCGTAGAAGGTGTAGTAGAAGTCCATCCCACACGCCATGTCGAACGTCGTCCCTCGTGTTGTCGTCTCTGAGCTTCCGGCTTTCGGTTGCTGCAGTCGTGGAGGAGAATCGGTGCGGCCGGCGTTGGCCGTCGCCGACGGATCTGCCGTTGCAGGTGTGGTGGGGTTCGACGTCGAAGCAGAGCTGACCCAACCGTGCGGCCGAACTTTTGAGCTCATTAGCGTCTCGGCCCTGCTCTCCAACAGCGTTGTGATGTCCTGCGAACGGAAGAAGATGTCATTAAAGAACAGCACCACAAGTCCGTCGCTACTGGCTGTTGTATTGGGGTCGTGCCTTTTGCTGCCGTTATCTGCTGGTGCGTCTGCATCGTCTCCGTCATCAGCGCGCCATGCGGAGTGAAACACACGCATGCCGTTGTCGTAAAGCGGCTTGAGCGCCTCGTTGCGGATGCACGCCATCCACTCAATCCGCTCATGAAAGGGACGGCGCTCCACGTAGCCCAGGCAGGACCCCTCCGTCGTCGCGTACACCGTGTGAACACCAATCGCATGCAGGCGTGGGATTAAAATCGACTCGATCAGCTCGGCAGTTCGGTCAGGGGAGACGTTCGCGTACACGGACACCACCACGGAGGTGGCCAGGTCGAAAATAGGTTTCACGTCGTCCTCAAGAAAAGTGATGAGGGCGTCGGTGAGGTCGGGAATAATACCTTCGCTTTTCCACAGGTTTAACGCAATGTAGAAGTGATCCCAGCCGTGGGTGGGCGCGTGCGGGGCGGTGCGATGCGATGCGGTGTACCGCAGCTTTCCTTTGCCGATGCGCACCAACGTGGTGGGCGGTGTCACGGCCCCGTCCGCGTCCGTCGGCACTTTATCCCCCTTGTCGTCCTGCGTGCGTTGAGCGGCCGCTTCGCCGACGTCGAGACCAGTGTAAGGTACAAAAGGATATGGAACAAGACGCGCCTCGTCCGTTGCCAAAGAGACTGCCTGGCGCCGTGCCACCGTAGTCCCATTGTGTGCTGTCGGAACGACGGGATCAGCCATATTCGTCTCCTCGTTGTTGCCAGTACGCCGCGCCGCCACCGCCGTGCTTCTGCCGTAGTACAGCGTGCGGCTCGCGTAGCGTACCTCCACAAACCGAGGCACGCCGTCTTCCGTCGCGCCAGGGGCGTCCCTCCGACTCGCCTCACCCATCAAGAAGGAAGGCCAAAGAGCGGAAAGCAGCGGCGGCGGCGGTTCCCTTCGTGTTCTCCACGATTTGCTGTGGCGCTGCTGCACCGCCGTCGCGCGTGCGGCCACCCGCTCCTGCTCGATTTGCGCCTGCATCACCCGCGACATTTGCGCTGCCGCGCTGCCCGGTCTGCGCCACAGCTGCAGCTCCTCAAAGAAGTCATCCGACGTCAACGTGCGGTTGTCCCGCACGTCGGCCAGCTGCGGGGGTGTCGTGCGCTGCAGGAATTCGCTCGCAAATGCATCCGTCACGTAGGGGTACTCGCGCCGGTCCAGCGTCAGCGGGACACGGCGCCAGTAAGACGGGGAGTGGAGGAGGGTGCGCAGCGACACGCCGCCCGCGCGCTGCTCACGTGCGTCATCGGCGTACGCGCCGTCACTGCGGTCGAGCGTATTGTCGACAAAAACGCCAATCAACAGCAGAACCCCAAAGAGGAGGAGCACAGACGCGTGTCGGAGTGCACGCCCGTACGGCATAGCAACCTACGCGTCACGGCGAATCGCTGCTAACAACGAGAACAACAAACGGAGCGGTTTTGATGTCAGAAGTACATGAAAAAAGAAGATGTATTCCGTTGAGCTTCCCCTCCCTCCCCCTTTTTGACGGAGAGAGATTCTTTACGGAGCGTGAGGTGCACCAACACGCACGAGCGGCAAAACCAAGCACAATTCAAGACAACGCACGTCCAGTGTTGGGCAAACGGTGGAAAGGGAAAAAACAACAACCTGAATGGAGGACACACGCAAAGGTGCGTGCGAGTTCGATGAAGGAATTGTAGCAGCAACCGCCAAGAAAAACAACAAATAAACCCGGAGAAAGAAAAACAGGAGAGAAAGTACGTGTGCAGCAACAAAAAGGCATGTGCGGGGAGCGTACTGTGTAGTCAAGAGATCTCCGTTGACCCCGAGGCAATCAAGGAAGAACCGCGGAAGAAGACATCACGCGTTGCATAGCAGCATCGGTGCTGCTTTCAATGATCAACTGCTGCTCTGTTCCTTCATTGTCGTTTCAGAAACGTCTGCGGGTTTTTCCAGCAATGGCGCTTCTAGTATTCTTTGTATTTTGGTTTGCACGTTGCCTTCACCACCGTACAGGGCTCTATGGATACCCTTTTTTGTGTCCCTCTGGGCAAGTCTAACGGTGACGCGAGAACGGCGAATAACACTTCCACTACCAGCGACGACGGCCCTCATCTGCGCAATAGAGGTGCTTCGGGGAGCGTCTCTCTCTCTCTCTCTCACACACACACCTGAGGAGCAACTACAAATTTCCCCTGTGCTTTCTTTTGTTTCTTTGCGTTAAAGTACGACGGAAGCAGTCAGCGAGCCTTCCACGTCGCCGCGTTCCGTGTGACTCGGGTGTAGTCTGACGTCGCCCTCCCCCGTCCAACCAACGGTTTCCGTCGCGGCAATGATGCGGGGTGTCAGCAGCACAACGGCGCGCGCCGCTGCATCGCCGCGGGCCACCGCCGCGTACACAGACGTTGCCGCGACGGACTGCGTGGACGTCGCCGTGTCCGTGCTGGAGGGCAGCGCCGCCACGTAGAGGTCCGGCGCCCGCTGCAGAAACGCGCGCTGCTCAGCGGTGTAGACGCGCTGCGCCTCCTCTCGCGCGCGGGACGACAACGCGTCCAACTCCGAACGCAGCTGCGCAACGCGCTCCGTCAAGTTTGCCCGCTGCTCCTTCGAAAACTCCGGTGTTTGCTCGTCATTCGCCTCCAGACGGAACGGATTCCCGCCCACGTTGCGCGTCGCTGCTGCTGCCACCACCGCCTCCTCCTCTGCGGGCGTCAGCGAGCGGTGGGGGTGATGGAGAAGGTGTGCGTTGTGGAGGCGCAGCATCGCGCCGCGCATACCGCTCGCGGACAGCAGCGCCGGCGTAGATGGCGACGACGCAGCGAGGGTACAAAGCGTACGCGCTGACGACTCGCCGTGGCGGAGAACGTATAGCTTTCCTCCGCGCGCGCCGAGCACCACGAGCAGCTGGCTTGCAACGACCCCGCCGCCTTCCCGCACGACCTCGAGTACCTCGCCGGGTACAAAGCCAAAGACCTCCGCGCACAGAGAGGGGTGCGTGGAGAAGTAGGCGACCTCTGACGCAGCGGTGAAAAACGGAGCGTCGCGCAGGATGTCGCCTGGCTGCAGGGCGGCGGCACTCCCGGCCGAGGAGCTCGCAGACGTCACTGCCGCTTCTTCGCTGCTACTGCCGTCGGCGTGGTGGAGCGGAGGTGCGGCTGCGCCACGGTACCGTCGTTGTCGCAGTAGATTTAGCTTTGCCACGGCATCGCCCACATTGCGCGCCATACGCGACAGCAAAGAGACGTCTTGGCGGTGCGCGTGGGCCACTGTGCCGTACGGCAGGGGGGAACGCGCGTGCGCCTTGGCCGGAGCACGAAAGGACTTCATTCGACAAGGCTGCCCCTTGGGCGTTCGCTCTCTCTCTCGGTGTGTATGTGTGTGGGAGTGTGTGTGTACGACTTAGAGAAAAGATATGGGAGCGGGAGAACCGCAGGGGAGAAGGTAGGTGACGGAGTATGGGACTCGCATGAGGGCAGTTTACACGTATGCGTGTAGAGGAACACGTGCGTGATAGCGGGCACGTGTGTGCCGCGCCGCCTGCGGGAAGTGCCGCTGCTGGTAGGGATATACGTTGTCGTTTGAGCAGGGACGACTGCATCCCCCCCGCTTGCAGGCCGATACTAAACGACCAACAATACGAGGCAGAAGATAAAAATAATATAATCCTTCACCCGCCGATAAAACAAAGGAAAGGAGTGGCAGGTACGCTGACACCACACGTTAAGCGACGTCTTGTTTTCCGTTTCCCTTCTCATATATATATTTCAGCTACGCTGCTTTGCGCTCCTTCGTCAGGCGCCGCCGCCGCTGTGCGTGTGAGCAGCGTCTGTCGTAAACCCAGTAGCCCAACGCACAGGCCACGAACGTGACGGCTTGAGCAAGGACGACGGGGTGCCGCAGCCAGTACAACAACACCCACAGATCGTTGACGTGCCTTTCACGTGGCGTACCTGTGCGGCGCATACTTGCTGCTGTACTCCGCTTGTGGAAAAACAAGTCGCGTGGCGCCTCCTTATCATGCCAGCGCGAGTCGAAAGTTTGGTGGTTCTCACACTCATGCACGTATGCGTCCCAATTGCCGTGATAGCGGACTGACAGAGCACGAAGCCCTTCTTCTTCCGCTGCATCCTGCGCTGCTACGTCAAGTTCGACCAACATCTGCGATGTCGTGGGTGTGTCTACCAGCACAAGTGAGGGGAAGTCGGCTTTGCGGACCTCTGCTTGAGTCGTGAGGTCCGTTTCGTTTCCAGTATTGCACAAACCGTCGTCATCGCCCCGCGCAGCCAACACCGTCGCCGCCCACAGCCGCGTCACGGCCGCGCCGATGCTGGCACGTCCGGGCGCGGTGTGCAGCAGATCATCATCATCATCATCGTTATCCTCTTCACTGCTTTCGTCATCGCGGTACGTTAAACGCGCTCTTTGCCCTTCTGCACAGGCGCGTGAGTGGTGGCTTCTTGCTCCCACCTCTTCCAACCACTGCGACAGCGGGGCAACGATCATGGTGCTCGTCTTGCCTGGCGAGGTGGGTCGAGGTCCGGTACGCGCCTCACAGCGCAGCGCTGCCTCCGCACGCCACCAGCGTGGATCACCGGTCAGCGTCCAGTAGAGCAACTCCTTCATCACCTCGACACAGGCGGAGCTCTGCACGGATTCCTTCTGCACGAAGCGGCGCCCAGCTGTGGAGTCGAAGAGGCGCTGCAGCGCGTCTGCGTCGATAGGCGCGGTAGGCAGGGAGTGGTTTTGTTGTGTGCTGAGGAGCTGGTCCAACTCGTGCAAGGCGGACTGCACGTGGTGATCGTCAGCGGAAAGGCAGTTGGAGTCGGTAAAGATGGCGACGCGGCCTGGCGTGGCTGATCGCTGCGGCCCAGACGCCGTTGGACACTGCGGCTGCTGAGTCCCCGGCGGCACCGTCCAGAATCCCATAATTCCATGCGCAAGAGATGCATCGTGTGGTGGAGTTGGATGCCACATGCCGCCGTTCTCGCGAACGACAGACTCATGCGGCCCTTCGAGACCGTCGAGGCCTTCACGTGCTGTATTCTCCCACGTGTCCTCGTAGGTCGTCGTTTCTTCGTCGTCGTCGTCGGCGGGGGCCGCTGCTGCAGCGTGAGAGGCGCCAGCGGTGGCGACGGCCCGTTTGCGGAGGCGCTGCGTTGACGACGACCACGCGGGCGTAAGACCGCACACGACGGCTTCACCTGCTGCCGCCCCAGTGATGCGGCCCGCAGATGCAGAAGCAGCAGCAGCAGCCCTTTCGTCCCACGCCTTCGTCGACTGCGTCCAGCGTAACACACCCGCACCGTTGAGCTGGCCGAGCGAGCGAAACCCGCCTTCGCGGCTGCCTTTCATGGCGTTGTCGCGAGAGTTTGGGTGACCGGCAGACACTACCAAGACGCCATCGACCACGACGTCCTCGCTCATATGAAAGGGTGCCGCGAACCTTCCTTGCGGAAGATCGCTTACGCCACCACGCTGCGCACCGGTGCCGTTGAATTCCGCAAGTAGAGAGGGAGCAGCAGAGGCGAGATCGTCCAACCAGCGATTCCACGACGGCACGTGGCAGCTTCCACGTAATCCACGACCGGAGCGCGCTGCAGCTGCAGACACGGCAGTCGTGTCGCTGGCACTACGGTTGTTGCTTCGCCAGGCTCGTAGCGTGTTGTCACCGCTGCTCTTCACATGTTTCGCCGAAAGCGTTGGCGACTCCGTTGCATTGTGCGGCCGCTTCTCTCCTGCAGTTGCCCCTGTAGCTTCTTCCATGCCTCGATGGTTGTCTTCGCTCCCCTCGCGTGCCCACCGCAGCGCCGCCGCCACCTCCGGACTGAACCAATCCGTCACCAGCACCACACGCAGCCCATCCTTCCCCGAATCCGGGCGAACTGCCGCGCGAAGTAAGTGGCGCATCGCCCGCGTTAACGGACGCTCTGGGTCAACGAGGATGATGGTGCCCGCCTCTGAAAGGGCGATGACGGCAGCCGCGTCAGCTGCTGCTCTGCAGGTTACGCCACTGGGTGTGTTCAGTGCTCCGGCCGTACTATATGCAGCTGAGGAAGCGACGCCTTCGTCAGAGCGGTCACAAAGCGTCGGAGAAGTGGCGACGTGCAGCAGCGGGAAGAAGCTCACGGCAAGGCGCAGGCTGTGGCGCAGGTAGACGTACAACAACGCGAGGTTGGTGTGGGGGTGGTCGCCGCCCATCTCCGCGTACGACCGCCGCGATGCTGGACCGCCGTCGCCGTCGCTTCCCGCAAGCGGAGATGTCGCTTCGTGTGGGTCGTCGCCGGCGATGAAGACGTCGGAGGCGGCGGCGGTTGGGTTGAACCAGTCGAGGCTCGTGTCGAGGAGCACTCGCCGGGTACGCGGTGGCGGCGCACGGATGCGGATGACCACTGGAATCACGAGTAGCGAAGACGATGACGAGTGTAGAGCACCACCACCACGATTGCTACGACTACCGCGGCTGTGGATACGCAATGCACCTTCCACAGTCACTGAAGAGAAGGCATGGAAGAGAGGGACGCACCCTATACCGCTTGTTGTCTCGTTTGCAGGACTGTCGTCGCGGTTTGCGTGCCCTCTCTCACCGGAATCTTCGCCCCCACTGCGGCGCATGTTGGGTGCTCTTTTTACCTCCTCAACCACGTTGGGGGCGTGTGCGCAGTAGCGCAGTCGTGTGTGTGCCGAGGAAGGGACGGAGAGAGCGACGGACAGGGTGAACGACGTGGCTGGCAGCGGAAAGCTTCGTGTGGGCAGCGGCGGCGCCACCACCGCCCTCAACTCCACGGCAGATCGCACCAGATGCTGCTCCAACATGCGTTGGACGACAACGTCGGGCTGCGAAGCTCCGCGGCTGCCGTCGCTTACACGCCACACAACAGCGTCTTTTGCTCCATGTAGGTATCGCGTGGGACGACCGCGTGAGGGATGCCCCGTTACCTGTGTAAGCTCAAACCGGGCTTCGTAGCTGCCGTGCAGACCGTTGTCGTCGCTACGATGCTGCTTGTGCCGCAGCGGCGGGCTTCGCTTCTCTGCTGCGGTGGAGTTCCTTCCGGTTCGACACGTTGTTGTCAGAAACGGGCAGAGATACACGGAAAAGTTGAAGAGCAGCGGCGCGGCGCTCGGGTAGACGGCCATGTCTGAGTATGGCCACCAATACAAACTCGAGGACTCCTTTTGCTCGCTTGTCACCGTCGTTGAGGGAGTCCGTGCATCGACTTCCGACTCGCGCATCCACCCGCTACCCACGCGTAGAGAGGCAGGGACCGCAAACGCTTCACATCGGTTTGTTTCTGGCACGTGTAGCGCAGCAGCAGAGACGCGAACGCGCTGCAGGACGCGGCGTGGCTGCACCGCACCCATGCCCTGCGACAGCACACTCCACTTCGTTCGTTGCAGGTAGCCGGCGTACAGCCGTGTCAGCGGCAGCCCGGCCAGTTCGGTGTGCGGCGCCGCATGAGTGTGGCCACTACGGTGCGCGTGGGAGGAGAAGCATCGATGACGCCCGGACGTCGTGTTCGATGACGACATCGCGGCCGTTTCGCCTACAAGGGTGGAAAGTGCGTTGGTTCGCTGATGGGCAGGGGAGAGGGGCTTCGCGGTGCTCAGGAGCAGCTGCCGCACCCGCAGTGAGGTTTGAAGACGATGGATCCAATATGAATTGCTTCTGCCGCTGTTGCTGTCACAAGAGAAGGCCGCGGGTGAGTCCAGCCGCCGACTCTCCGCTTCCCACCGTACCGCTTCGAGGGCGACAGCGGCGACCCCGGCAACGATCGGCGCGGCAATGCTTGTGCCGGAGATGGACCGCAACCGCAACCGTGAACAAGAAGTAAAAGAAGAGGGAGGAGCAGAAGAGGAAACGTTCTTCGACGGGGCCGACACCCCTTCCACGGTCCAGACGTGTTGGCCGAGCGCAACAAGCTCCGGCTTGACCCGCCCCGCACCAAACGGTAGCTCCCATGTGGTGGGTCCACGGCCTGCGAAACCCGCAACAGACGCTTCAACGGTCCCTGCAGCTTTGCCTGCGCGACTTGAAAAGAGCTGCGGGGGATCAGCGGCGGGTGCGCCGTGGCTTGTCAGCTTTACTGCCCCCACGGCGAGCACGCCAGGCATATCCGCCGGGCTGCGCACACCGCCAAAGTGGTAGGGATCGTTGCCGGCGGCCGCCACCACCAGCACGCCGTAGTCGTGCATAAGCTGGTAAATCCGCTTCTGCGTAGCGACGTTGCCGTAGTAGTCTTCACCGCCGTACGAAAGACTCACGATGTCGACGGGGGCACGAACGGACGGCCGAGCGTAACTTTCTGCCGCAGCTTCGTCTTCGTCCTCTTCGCCTGTCGCACTGTGCAACAGGCGTGCCTGACGGTATGCCTCGGCTTCACGGAGGAGAACATCCAGCGCGCTCGTGACATACCGCTCTCTCGTCTCACCGTCTCGGTCAAACACGCGAAAGACGCGGACGCTAGCGCGCGGCGCCATGCCGATGTAATGCTGCGGTGAGAAGGAGGTGCTTTGCTTCGCTGGGCGTGTGCCATCCGCCCATTCAGGCCGCCTGTCGCGCGCACGAGGAGAGGGGGGCGATAGGGGGTGGAGGAGGTGCCCCGCCAGCACACTGAGACTGCGCGTCCCGTGTCCGCAACCGTCATCCTCGCACGCGACCCCCGGCACGAAACTCGCGCACGTGACGTCGTTCCGACTCCATTCGGCGACGTGAGCGCACAGGCCTGTGTCCAACAGCGCCACCTGCACCCCATCACCAGTGAAGCACCCACCGCTGCCGCTGCCATCGACGTCGACGTTGTCAGGGGGAAAGAAGAGAAAGGGAGAGGCGAGCGGTGGACGGACACAGCTGGCGTTGAAAGGGCCAGCATTGTAGGAGAGGTAGTAGTCGCGCGGGTGCGTCCCACCGCGGCGCGACGGCGTACGGCCAAACGTAGCGGACTTGGGCGAGTGCGCCGCGTCGGCAACGCTGTCGCAGCAACACACCAACGTAACGAGAAGGACGACCACGCGGGCAGTGAGGACAACACCGCGATGCATGACCGCTCGCGCACAAGAGGTGTTTTGCGCGTAAAACAGGAGCGGGCGAGTCGTTGTGTATGTGTATGTGTATGTGTGTCTGTGTGTGTGGCGATGCAGGTGAGACAAGTCCCCCCCCCCTCCCAAGAAAGGAAATATATCTCCTTACGACATGTACCTCCGCGGCAGTCGTTTGTGTTTCAGATAGCATCCACGTCAACAACGACGACAACAGCAAGGAAAGGAGAGAAGCCCTTAAAGAGTAGAACAGCGGCAGAACAGCTGTACCGAGCAGCGCACTGTAACACATGCGATAGAAGACGACGTCGCTGCTCATCTGTCAGCGTGCACCGCGGGAAACCGTCTCGAAGTATCGGCATACGATTAGCATCCGAAATAATAATAATAAAAGCGCTGCATTAGTAACGATAATAGTAATACAGCCATGATGCAGTCCACACAGGCACGACCGGATTCTTTTTATCCGTGCGACGCACATGGTCACACACAACGGAACAGGTAAGGAAACAGGAAAAACAAACACAGCGGCTCGTTACCGAGCCTACAGCGCAGAGTAATCCAAGTAGCTCAAGTGCTCCAGGGAGGCTTCATGACGTCGCAGCAGCGCCTCCCCCGCCGCCACCACCGCATCGGCGTCGTGCACCCGCCTCTCTACTGCCCTTGCCAGAACAGTATCCGTTGCGGGCGTGGGCAGCTCCACAACTCCATTACCACCGTTGTTGTATTTATGGGAGGACATAGCTGCGCCCGGATCAGCAGAACCAACGGCTGTTCCACCACCATCAACACCCCAACACAGCAAGTCACGCAGGGAGTTCGCTTCTACCACGACCCCGGCGGTGTTGCCGGAGAAGATTGCTTCGAAAGAGTACAGCGCGGCGGCGCGAAGCAGATGATGCCGGTGCTGCTCGTCCTGATCTCCCTCCTCGTCTGAGAAGGAAGACGCACTCGCAGACGACGACGAGGAAGCCGCGGAGGACGACGGGGTGGTGTAGGAGGACAGGGGACGCAGTGCTATCCAATCGACGTTGGAATCCACAGCGCCGGTGACGGCCTTGGGCGCAGACAACAGTGGCTGCCTACCCACCCCTGTTGCTGTGACGGTGGCGGTGGCGCCGCTGCCATCCGCCGCGTCGAGTTGCTCGAAGAAGCGGATCGTCTCGGGATCATCCACGTCATCGTCGTCATCCTCCAGTGAAGTGTCACTCCTGCTGCTGCTGCTGCTGTTGCTATTGCTGCCGCTATTCCTATTGTCCATGCTGTCCACGCGAATCCCACCCCGCGCAGCCCACTCGTTTTCACGCGTCTGCGCCGTCGCCTTCACAATACGCCACGGATGATGACGATGATGATGATGGCGGTGACGGTGGTGGTGTCGCGGGCGCAGCTGACGTCGCTGACACACCTCCCCATGCGGACAGTGCCGGCAGTACTCCCCGTAGCAGTGCGGGAGGCGCTCTAAGAAGTACGAGGACAGTATTAAGCAGTGGGTGTAGGGGTCCTGGTAACAGGTACGACCGCGCAGTCCGGCGAGACGGTTCAGCTCGTGCGCCTTGGCGTAATAGGGAAGGCTCAGCACTCCCTGCGCCGCCGCAGGTGGGAGCTCCGCAAGAGTGAAGGGTCGCGTCAACGTGTAGCCGGCGAGTAACGGATTCGAGTTGTTTGCGTGGCCTGATAACGCATCGGGGTGAAGGGCAGAAAGCCGCTGAGTCGACGCAGACGGCACCACCGCTGCCTCACCATCGTCTGCTACGTCCTTCCCACTTCTTGATTTGAGCTGTGGGACGTGAGGGTTGCCGTCCGACACCGGCGCAACAGCAGACGTGCCGGTCCGCGGCGCCACCGGTGCCGCGCGGAGGAGCCCGCCGCTGCGACTCGTCATGAAGTCCACCGTGGTGGTGGTGGACGCGGCGGCGGTGGCAGCGTACAGCTGCGCCGGTCGACCTCTCCGGCTGATTCCCTGCCCTTGAACGTTCGCTCGCGGACCTCCTTCTTGACCTTCTTTCTTCTGTTCTCGCGGCTCGTTGATGTGAACGGCGTTGTCAGCATCCGCGGACCCGCTTTCCCCCGCATCGTCTTCATAGTCCTCATCGATGTCGCTCTCCTCATTCTCCGACAGCGACAGCTCGCCCTCGCCGTCCTCGCCGACGACCGCGAGACTGACAGAGCTGCTACTGCTGCTACTCACGTCGCTCGCGTGGTCGGAGTGGCGATGGTGACGGCGTGTGCGGTGCGGTAACGCGGTGGCGTGATCCGCCCCTTCGCCGAGGTCGCCTGCACCGCTGCCCGTCTGACCGTGAGGGGGAGGGACATCAGCAACAGCAGCAGCGGAGCTTTGCGTCGCGGCGGTCACACGAGACGCGGGTGCTCGATGCAGGCGGATGCGCGGACCGCGACGGATGGGAACCGCAACTGCAGACAGCGCGTCACCATCTTCGCTTTTCCTTAGACCTACGACGGCTGCAGAGGTGGTGTCTGGTGCAACTTCGATGTGCTCCACACCAATCATGCAGTCCAAGGACGTCACCATCGGTAGAGGCCGGCGTTGCGGGGCATCGCTGCGGCTCACCTCGTCTGCTGCTGCTGCTGCTGCTGCTGCGTGTGTCTGTTCCATTTCTGGATGAACCACCTCTGCGTTGGACACACAGTTCGCAGCACCGTCGTCGCTGGTGTTCTTCGTAATCGCAGCACCAGTGACCTTCGCAGTGGTGGCTGCGGCGGCGGTGTCGGCGTTGCGCCGCACGAAGGTGACGGTGGCCCCCTTCAAAGCTCCATGGTCGCTGGTGTTCTCGGTACGTACGCTCGGCCTATCGAGTGCGGTGTCGTCATCCGCTGACGCATCGTAGCCGTCGCCGTGCCCATGGCGCTTCGCACGATGCCGCTTCGGTGTGTTGCACAGCAGCTGCTGCACAAAGTTGAATCCCACCGATGCTTCCTTTCGTGATCGACTGCGACTGCGACTCTGCTGTTGCGGCAACAGCAACGACGTCCTATATTCGGCTGCCGCCGCCGCAGCGATTTGCGTCGTCGACAAGGGCACGTTGCGACTCACAGAAGATCGTGGAAGCCCATCGAGGGAGCGGTGAGGACAGTGGCGCTCCCGCTGGTGATGGCAGCCCATGAGCAGGTGCAGACGGCGACGCCAGGCCACCGCCGCATGGTCTTCCTCCTCCTTCCTGCCCTGTGCAGTCACCATCCGCGTCGGATCCGTTGACTCGTACAAGTGGATGTAGAGATCCACCAGCTCCTCGCGTTGCTGCAGTGCCGCAGCGGTGGCGATGATGTCGTTCGAGAGGGGATCTTGATACGTAGGGCAGCCCAGCCGCGTGGCCTCCGCGCAGAGCCACTCCTGCAGGGCGTAGGGTGGGTGGTGGGCGTAAAGGTCGGCGAGCCGGTGGGCGACGGCCTCGGCGGAGAGGCGCGCCACGCGGAGAGTGCTGGCTGTGGCTGCTGTGGGAGAGCCCACAGAGAGGGCAGAGGCAGTCACGGGCGACCCAGGCGCGTTTGCAATAGCGCGCACAGGTCGTGGGGAGAGGTTTTGCGCGGCAGCCTCGATGTGCTGGCCGAGAGGCGACAATACAGTGATTGTACGGCCATTGTGACGGGTGGGACTGCTCACATCCCCCGCTGAGGACATCGCCGGAGCAGAGGCGGGAACCGGTGAGGCAGGCGGGGCAGCAGGCAGGGCGGCGTTCTCACCTGCTGCAGCACGAGGGGTGAAGGCTGAGGCGGTAGGGAACGGCTGTGGTTCGCCGTCGTGGGCAGCCGTGTTGGGGGAGTACGCTGGCACCGCGGAAGTCAGCGTGCGACGTCCGTCCACGTCTTCCTCGCTGAGGAGGCCGGTCCGCACCAAGGTGGCGAGGGACAGCGGAGGGCTGCGCAGGAGGCGAAAGAGGCAAAGGGCAACTTCCTCCATGGTGGCGGCGGCGCTGTGCGCCACACGAGGAGCATCGACGCTGCGGTCAGCCATCGTGTTTTTCCCCGTTCCCTTTTTTTTAGGGAATGTGAATACGTTTAACAGGCAGTCGCGGTACACCGAAAGGAAAAAATGAGCCAAAAACAGTCACCACAAAACCACTAAAAGCAATACGAGATGAAAGGCCGCTGCGACACCCAACGCGTTCGAGTTCCGACGTCTGCCGCCAACGCTCATTCGTTGGGTGACATCAACGAAAACCGCGAGAGGGGGAGCGAAGAGAATAGAAGAAAAAAACAGGCAGCCTTCGAAAAAGGGGCTCCTCGACGCGGTCAGCCGCCGACAGAACCAAACCAAATGCAAATGACTATTGAATAATATTATTATTATTATTAATAATAATAATAATAATAACCCGCCAGACGGTGTGACGTACCAAACTACTGGGTGACGAGGGGAGTAGGGGGAGCGCAAAGCGGGAGCGGGAGGGGGGGGGGGAGGGGAAACCAGATCGAGGAGGATGCATGATGCTCGTGAGCCGGCTCAACGCAACAAGAGCGGAGGGAGCTGCCACTGTCCAAGAGATTCGCGGAGGAGGCTGTTGTTGCTCTTGCGCGGCACCGTTTCACTCGTGCACACCACAAGCGGTTGCCGGCTCGCTTAAGAAAAAAAAAACCCCGGGCTATTGTCAAGCGAGAGAAAGCGAAATCTTCACCCTGCGAGACGGCCTCTGGACACGAGCCAGAAAAGTGTATAATAATAATACTATTCTTTTCCTTTTCCTTTCATGCAGGAGCGTAAAACATGAACATGAGCGCCGCTGGCAAAGGCAAGCAAAATACTGATCGGCCGTCTTTATGCTTGACCAACGCGGGGGTTCTGAAAACGCGTCCGCTGACATTCATCTCGTCAGACGAAAAAGGAAAGAAAAAGAGACCTACCGGATGCATAGAATACATAATGCAATGACACCGCCAACACACGAAACACAAGCACGGACAAAAACAGAAGGAGAAAAGTAATGTACATCTCACGGATCATCACCTCAGCAAAAAAAAAAACAACATCACGCCGGACATCGCGTGCACGCCGCCTGCGGAAACCCAGAAGCCCAGCAATGCGTTCACAAGAAAGTCGAGATCATCGGCGGCGACTGCGCGTTGCTCGTCAACAGCTGCATCGCCAGCCACCGCAGCGGGTCCTCGGGCTTCTGCCGCGCCAACTCCGTCAGCGCCGGCACCAGCGCCTGCTTCAGGTTCGCCTGCACGTACTCGCGCGAGACGGCGGACGATGGCACGTCCTCGGCTAACATGCGGGGGAAGAGCAGCGCCACCGACCGCGTCGCCCCTGCCGCCGTCTGCGAGATCCAAAACGGCAGCTCGCGACGCTGCGTGTGGTGCTCCTCGAGGAACGTCTCCAGCACCTCCGCGTCCTCGCCGCACAGCTGCGTTGTCACAAAGGACTGAAGCAGCGCGTGGCAGTTCGTGCGGGCGAGAACGAAGAGGTACGCCGTGCCCACGAGGTCCTCCGGCGCGGAGAGCAGCGAGGCGGGGAGGACGGGTGCGGGCTTTTGTGTTTCGCCTTCCGCGCCGTCGGCCTCGGTGGAGGAGGGCTGCTGCTGCTGCTGCTGCAGTGGCGACGGTGCGTCCATGCAGATACACAACTTCGAGGTCACTTCGTAGTTGAGCAGGCGAAACTCCTCCCGCACGACGATGAAGCCAGCGTCGTACAGCTTGTACTTGAGGTACTGCACAAATTCGCGCTCCCGGGCGAAGGCGGGTGCGACGATGAGAAGGGCCTTGCTCACGGTGCCAGCGAGCGGGTAGCCGTTGGGGCTGCTGACTGTGTCGGGCGACGGCGCCGTCATGTGGAGGCAAAGACGAGTCTTATATATATATATATATATATTTTTCTTCCCTTGTGTTTCGTTATTGTTTCGGCTCAGTACGACGACTGCTGTAGCAAAGGTGAAGCGAAGTACGCGGATAGTGGAAGAGCAATGGAGAACCGGGGAGAGAGAAAGAGAAAGAACAGCGTAAATTGAAGAGAAGTAAGAAAAAGAGCAAAAAGCCCCCCAAAATGCGAGCAGAGAAGAAATCGCGTTAACGAAGCGCGGCGCGTCGAACTTCTGGGATGCGTGCCGGTCGAGATACGGCCGACGAGATCCACATTCCCTTCCGGCTGTTATCTGCGCGCCATCGGGACGGAGGGGGCGGGAAAAAGACCCCCCCCCCAACGAGGAGAGGGCTCTCTCTAGTCTGCAGCTCAATTCGCCTCTTCCCCTCAAAAAAGCAAAAAACAGAAACTCCGAAGAACAACCCACAAGAACGAAAGAGTTCCTTCACCGCGTAGCGCATCGCGTCTTCTCTTCTTTGGTTTTCTGAATGTACGCTAGTTAACTGAACACGCAGACACACCCACACCCTCACTCGACACTCACGCACACATACACACAGAAACACACACACATACATATACACCAACGACGACGAACAACAACAACAAAACATAGGAGAAAACATTAAGGATCGTGTGTTGATTTCACTTCATCAGTTACGGTTTCTTTATTCTTCGTGTGTAAGATAAAAGAAAGCGGAAATGATAAACTAAAGAAAAATCTGAGTTGAAGGCACGTTCAGCGTCAGGGCTGGCGGTGCTCTGCTGCGAACGCACTAGGCGTAATTATATATATATATATATATTATATATAGATGTCTTTTCCTTTTTCGGGTTTGTTTTGATGGGAAACGCAGACGAGGGGGTCGCAAAGGAAGCCAGAATTCTCCAGCTCTTGTCCTTCGCGGCCCATTCACGCTTCGATTCTTTTTCTTCCTTTTGTTGGTTGCTTAAGAAGTAGTTCGAAGGGAAGAAAACAACGTCAGCAACGACAACTTCACTTAAGTAGACGTACTGGAGTGTAACACAACGCGCCAGCTGCGACACTGCTCAGGAAGGAGAGAAGAGGAAGAAAAATAAAGAAAAAGTAAAACAAAAAAATGACGCATGCACAACAATGCCGTTATGTTGCTGCGGTTAAAACCATTTTGCTCTTAATGATTACGGCAAGCCAGAAAGTAATAATACTAAGAAAAGAAACACACCAAGGACAAAAAAAAGGAAGGTAAAAGACATCCACAGCGTTGACGAAAGGGGGAGCAAAGACAAAGCCGCGGGAAAGCTTCGCCGTTTATTTTCTTCTTTCATTCTTCGTCGTTGTTGTGTTGTACAACACATCCCCCCCCCCCAACAACGAGCAAACAAAGCTGTTTTAGAAGCTGAACATGGTTTCCGCCGTGTAACCAAGCTTCTCCAGATTCGGCTTGATGGCCATCGTCACCATCGGCGGGGGGCCGCACATGAGCGCCATCACCCGCTTCAACCCGGCGTTCTGCGGGACGGAGGCGTCGCCAAACTTGTCAGGCACCGGCAGGTGTTTGCGGAACATCTCCTCCGACACGTAGCCCTTGTCATAGCGCCACCCCGGGCTCGCCTCGCGATCCACCGTGTACCACACATGGAAACGGTCATCGTCCTTCATGTCCTCGTCGAGCTCCTTGCGCAGCAGGATATCGCTCTCGGTCTGGTTGCCATACACGAGAAACACCTTCGTGCGGTCCTCCTTGTTCTTCTTGATGGCGCGAATGATTTGGAGAATAGGGGTGATGCCCGTGCCACCGGCGATGGCCGCATAGGCGTCCACCGTCTCCGTGGTCGGGCCGTGCCCGGGCTTGTGCAGGTGCGCAGTGCCGTTGCCGACGTAGGTGAACTTGCCCTGCGGACCGCGCATCTGCATCTTATCGCCGATCTTCATACCGTACAGGTGCTGCGACAGCCGCCCTCCGTGTGGAAAGCGGGGGTTGACGTTGGCGAAGTACACCTTAATCATGAAGTCGACGTGCCCCTTGTCGTCGTCGCTGGAGATGGGCGTGTAGGAATGGGTGACCGTCTCGGTCTTGCCGGCCGTCGTGCAGTTCGCCCGGAGCACGATGTGCTGACCGATCGGCAGGCCCAGCGTCTGCTCGGGGCTGTCGAGGGCGAAGCGGAAGATGTGGGTGTCGTGGCTCACCTCCGTCTTCTTGATCAGCTGGAACTCCTTGAACGTCGCGGGGTCGAGCGCGACCTTGGCCTTCTTGGTGTACAGGTAGGCGAAGAGGATGCCGACCGCCACGGCAATCAGGATGAAAATCTGAATCATTCTTGAGCCTTCCTGGTCTCGGCGAACACGGCGTTGCGAGGAGGAGAACAGGGAGAGAAAAAACAGCTAAAGGGGAACGAGAAGTGGGAGGGGGTGGAGAGAGAGAGAGAGAAAATAATGGTAAAAAGAAGAAGCGAGAAAGGTGCGGTACACACAGCAGCAGGGAACGACAACGACTGAGCCTGTTGGGACACCTCGCGAAAACACAAAAGATAAAATAAGAGTGAAAGAGTTTAAAAAAAAGAGAAACTTAGGATTTGATGAAAAGGAATGAGTGACACTGCGTGTGTGGTGGTGAACAGCCGCCAATATACAACAACAACAACAACATGCAAACAGAAGTGATATACGCACATTGGGGATGAGGAGGGAGGTGGGCGCGCGGAAATGGTGTGGCGGAACGCAACAAGAGAAAGAAGAGGGAGAAAAGGAAAACGAAACGTAGTGTGTGCGTCAGGGTAACCATAATAGGAGTAATAATATATATATATATATATATATACTTTTGCGTGCGTGTTCCTGCATTGTCATCGTTGTCCTCCGCACAACGAGCAAGAAGCGGACGATCGCGCGGCCGCCGTCATGGTGCTTAAGGAAAAGGCATAATCACCAAAAAAAAGCATCAATGCGGCGGTGAGAACTCCACAGCTGATGCTTGCGCGCCAGTGATGTTTCTCTTCATCCCCTTCCCTCCTTTCTTAACCCTTCGCCCGGATCGTCTCATGAAACGAAGGATGGAGAAACAAAAGACAGGCATCACACGCACGTTGACGCACAGCTTGCCGGTTGCATTCATTCCGGATGCTACCGCCTCTCCGTTGCCTTCCAGTTTTCTTCTTCTCGAATTATCTGTTTTATTGCATTTCCATTTTAAATAATAGTTCTACGCTTCGATCTCTGGAGGTGCCGCCAGATGAACAAGGGAGATGACACTATGTGACAATGGTGGTACATAAACGCACATGTCAACGAAAATAAGAAGCCGAAAATAAGAAAACCAAAACGAGGCTGTCATAAAGTGATCTACTTTCCAGAAGAAACAAGAAGAGGAAGAAAGACAAACAAAAGCTTATCATAATGCTTATCCCCCTCGGTTTTTCTTTCTTGGGGGAGGAGGGGTTAGTAATGATGATAAAACAAAAAGCGAACCGTTCGCCTCAGCGAGACAGTTAATGCCCACACACACCGAGTTACCCACACAGACCTGTTCACACAGCTTAACTCGTGCGAATGCGTGTCAGGCGAGAGAACCACCGGTTTCAGCAGCAACAGAAAACAATGCAAAACAAACAAAAAACAAAGAATTGAACTAGAGTGAGAGAAAAAAAAAGATAAAACAAAAACAAAGCAGCTTGTTAACGGTGAGCTAAAACAAGAACAACGACGGAACAAAACCACAAGGTAAGTAGTAAAAGACAACAGGCAAAAACCCAAAAGAAAAAGAAGAAAAAAAAAGTGCTGAAGTCTACGACGCACCTGCGTGCAACTCGTTCAAAGCTGTTTATGCGGCTGTTGATGTATTTTTCCTTTTCTTTTTTTTCCTGAGCATATTCCATCTACTTGTATGATAATAATAATAATCATAAAGTACGCGTAGAGTGTAGCAAATAGAAAGGGGGAGGGGGAAGAAAGCAAGAAGAGAAACAAACCAAATCAAAGAGAAGATGAGTAGCTGATCACGCTGAAACCGAATCTACAAAATACGAGAAGAAAAAAAAAGAGAACATAAACGATAATAATGAAAAAATAACAACAGTGTAAACAGATCTACAGAGTTACCGTGTGCTATACATTGCCTGCTTGAGTGAAAGTGGTGAGGTGGCGGGAGAGAGAGAGCGACCACGCACTGCACGGTGCACAACCTCGCGACACGATCGCCGAGCGGAGGAACAGAGAGAGAGAGAGAGAGAGAGAGAAGAAAGAAAGAAAATAAAAGAAGATGAAGGCAAGAAAAAGGAGCGGCTCACGAGGGCCGAAAAAGCTATTAGAAACGATAATGGAAAAAAAAACAAAAAAAAAACAATAGATGTGTGCATCGCGTAGAGGAAAGCACGTAGTAAAAAGCAAAACAAATTTAAAAAGCTCACAGAGACATCGCGGATACACAAACAGTGGAAGAAACCAAACAAAAACATGTGTAATCCACTTTGAAATTCTCCAGTCAGCAACCCCCCAAAAAGAAAGTAGGAAAAGGCACCGAATACAGAAACCCAGTTCCCGAGTCAAAAAAAACACACACACACACACACATACACGCGCATTCAAGTAAAAACAAAAAAACTGTTTATATAAAGAAGAAAGAAACTCCGAAAACGCCAAAGGGGGGCACAACACGGAAACTCTCACGGACTCTTCGGAGACGTTAAAACAACACAACCACCACCACAGCCACAACAGAGAGAAAGAGAGAGAGAGAGAGAGAAAGAAAAGAAAAGAGATCATCCATACAAACAAAAAGAAAAGGCAGACCCAAAACATGAAAAGATACATCTTCTGTTGTCGCAAAAACTCAAGAAAAAACCAAGAAAAAAAAATAGTTAAGAATAAAAACAAAAAACAAAACAAAACACTGAGAAGCATTAAGAAACGCTGAGCTTAAAGAAAAAAAAAGGGGGTAAAAACAGTATTTACACTTGTGAGACCCACGGAAAGGGAGAATATCTCTCTTTAGCTTCGAAGCACACACACACACACACAAAAAAAAAGAAAAACGACCAGAAAACGCGTAGGAGCAGCAGCACAAGCAAAAGCAACAACAACACGATACGCGACAACACGGTATGATGCGACTGTCATACAGGGAAAAACATCGGTCCCATCAACGGTGTGTGAGATCGCCGCTGTAAAAGCGCCGCATTCCAGCATCCATGTTTGCTGTTGAGCCTTTCGAATTCGTGTGGTTATGATGATGATTATTATTGTTATTGTTGTTATTATTATTTCATTACTTATAATTTGTGTGTGGCTGCGTGCTTACAAACCTAAGTCCTCCTCTGGAAAGAGCGCACGTATGCCGGAGTCTACCTCGGCCCTGAGCTGGCTGTGCGCCTTCAGCGAGTCCTCGAGAGAGTTCTTGTCCTGTGACGCGACCAGCTCTGCCGTCTCCGTGGCCGCCGTGGCCGCCGGCGCCCCCTGCGAGGGCGAGAGACGCGGTGCATTACGCGAGTGAGCCGCCTTGAAGTTGCGCCAGCTGGCTAGTGTGCAGGGAACCGGTTGCTTCGTGGCGGGCTGGGTGGTGGAGATGGCGCGTAGGGCGCGGGCCTGCTCCCGCCACGTAACCAATCCAGGTGGGATAATGGAAACACGACGCCGAGGGGCGACGGCCATCGGTGCGAGAGCAGCGCTGCCGGGGCGCGGCGCATCTTTGTCGGTGGAAGTGACAGCTGCTGATGCTACCGCAACCGCTGGCGCTGCTGCTGCTGCTGTGGTGGTGGTCGTCGTCGTGCCCGGCGTGACAAGGATCGATTTTTTCCTCGCATGTCCCGCGAGGTTCTTCGGTGCATCGTTGCTCATATTGTAGTCGTTTTCCTCCACAATCGTTGTTGGCGTCGCCGGTGGAGGCGGGGGCGCAGGAGGAGGGATAACGGGGTCGTCGAAGAAGCGGAAGGATGCGGCGGTGTGGTAGCCGTTGAGATCCACTCCGTCTGCGTGGTAGTCTTCCACGACCTCTTGTGACTGCAGCTGCGGTGTCTGCGTGTCAGTGGGGGTCTCTGACTTCTCAGACGCTAGCGACCCGCGCTGGCTCCAGCGGAAGCCCTTAAACGAGGCCCGGCCCTCCGTGCCCCCATCCTCACCGAAGAGGCCGAAGACGGAGTTGTCGAGCCTCAGCTCACCCTCCAGCATCGTGCCCGCCGTCGAGTCCATCTCATCCGCGTCGTCGTCATCGTCAAACGGGAGCTCCTCCAACTCCCCCATCTCGACCGCGCCGTAGTTGTTGTGATCGATGAAAACGATAATGCCGTCGCGGCGGCGCATAAAGGCACCACCAACGCGTCCGGCAGCAGCAGCAGCAGCAGCAACAAGAGCGGGCGCGTTCCTCGGGCTGCTGGCCGTCAACCCGTCGACCGCCTCGTTCATCAGGCCAGGGCTGAGACCTAAACCAAGCTTTTCCCCGAGCTCCCACGACTCCTCAATCGCGTCGTCCTGGCCGACAAGGAAGGCGTACAGCGAGGCGCGGAGACGTCGCACAAGCAGCTCACGGAAGCACCGCTTCATCGCCTCCTGTTGCGCTTGCGTGAGGCTCGACCAGGCAAGCTGGAAGTCCTCCTCCTCGAGCACCACTGCCTCCTTCGCGATGTCGCGAGACTCATCAGCGCTGCTGCCACCACCGCCACCGCCGTGTCGCTGCATCCACGGGAAGCCGGCGCCGAGCACGTTGGCGCGGTAGGAGCCCATCAGTAGCGCCTCGAAATAGTTCGGGATGACTAGTGTGTTCAAGGTGGAGCGGCCCTGCGGCAGAAGCTGCAGCGTCATGTCGATTGCAGCTCGGTTCACCGGCGGCGACGGCGGCGCGGCCGTCGGGACAGCCAACGGCGCCGCTTCCGAGTCGCTCTTCATGCTTGTAATACTCTTGTCCGCGCTCGCTGCGGCGGTAGCCAGCACGGTGCTGCGGCGGCTCTCCGTCACCTCCGGCATGGCGGCGAAGGTGTGGGGAATGTGCAGGCAGATTCGTTCTTGATACGGGGCCTTGATGCGCAGCGTATGGCCTGTAATGAAGCGCAGCAGGAGGCGCTTCTCCGAGATGGAGAACTCCTCCTCGAGCACCTTCTTGATGCACTTGCGGACGAAAACGCGATAGGTGACGAGTGGTGCGTTCATGTTCGTGAGCAGGAGGAAGGACGCGCGGAACGAGAAGTCGACGTCGACGTGGTCGTACGGACCGCACAGCACCTCCCGCAGCGTGCGGGCGCAGCACTGGGAGAACAGCGTCGTTTCAATTAGCGGTGTCTGGCGGAGGCCTTGCAGCACCGCGGACCAGAACTTACGGGCCACCGCGTCGCTGCCGGTCTCCCCGCTCCACGCCATCGATGCGAGGGCGTCCTTCAGCTGCGCCGTCATTTGCTGATACTGCCGCCGCGACACGGAGAGGCTGCCAGAGCAGTGGAGGAGGTCCTCCGAGGTCGACTTGCTCCCCGACAGCGGAGACGGCAAAGCTTTCCGCATTGCCTCCAGGAGGTGGGTGCACAGCTCTGCTTTCGTGTAGTCGGGGCTCTGCAGCGAGAAGTCGGCCGGATCGAGGTGCACTTCCTCCTCGAGCGACTCCTCAAGATCCACGGCGAGGCTTAAAATTCGAAACGCCAGCGGCGGCAGCGGGATAGTGAAGGTGACATCGTTGCCGATGGACTGACCCATCAGCCAACCCAGCAGCATCGGCATTGCATTCTCCGTGCGTACACTAGCATTGACGGTCACTAAGGAGGAGGAGCGGTTCAGCACCGCTGCGGGGTGCAGCTCGATTTCGGCCGGCGACGGCTGCGGGGAGGTGTTGTCGGACGACATGCAATGCAGATTTGTCCACGCACAGACTTTGTCGCCGTCGCGCACCAGCACCGAGGCCTGCCGGCGGTGGTGCAGCATGTCCGTAATGACCGGCGCCTCCGCTGCGGCGTCCTCGAGGTAGGCGAGACCCAAAGACTGCAGTGACATGACGCTGTGCCGGCGATGGGCGTTCCCCCTGCTGCCGTTGGTGGGAACAGAGCTGCTCCGGCGCTGGGCGGACACCGGCGAGACCGTCGTGGTGGGCGACACAGTCGTGGTGTGTGACGCCATTGCTTGGTCGGCTGCCGCGGAGGCAGCGGTGGCGCGACGGGCCACGTAGGCGGCGATGTAGTTGGGTGCGCTGAGCACGACGAGGCACTGAAAGGACGACGAGACGGTGCGCAGGACCGTTACGACGGCGTGGCGCTGCGGAGCGAGCGGGAGCAGCCCCGCTGCCGTGTCACCGCCGTCAGCCTCCGCGCCGGTGCTCCCGGGTGCTTCGGCGCGCGGCCTGCCCGTCGGGTCGCTCCAGCGAAGCGTGATCTCGTCCCCAGGGTGGATCGGGCAGGGTATGTTGAACGACGGATCGACTTCGTTGGCGTTGGCGTCCGTCCCGGTGGACAACTGTGATATGCGCGCTGTCCGGCTGCTACGGTGCGCTGCTGCGGTGACGGTGGCAGCCCGTCGCCACGTAACGACGACCACCAGCTTGTCCTTGTACTCCTTCAGCTTCTCTAGCGTGGCAGGGGAGTGGTCCACCAGCTTGTCCGTGGGGAACATCGCAATGCCACCCGGCAGGGGCAGCACCTGCGTCGCCTTGGATAAGTTGATGGACGGGCAGAATGGCTGCGTTACGAGGCGGGCGGTAAGGTCGAAGAGGTCCTGCCGCAGCTCCGTCGCAACCATCGGGTTCAGTTGGGATTGGTCAAACTTGGAGTCGCTGCGCAGGCCGTACAACATCTGCGGCGCCGTCGAGCCGGCCTTCTTGGCGGTCACCACAAAAATAGGAATAATGCGGTGCGAGACGTTGACGGCGGCGAGGCGGCTCACCGAGTGCTGCTCCTTTGTCGCGTCGGTCGAGGCGCGAGACAGCGTGCCGTCTTCACTGGCCGCGTGCTGCGTGCTGCCGAGTTCCATCAAGGGTACCTGCAACACGCTCTCCCGTGGCGTGTTGGCCGGCAGTGCTGGCGTGCCGGCGCCGTTGGCGGCAGCTCGCACGTCGCTGCTGGTGCGCACCACCTCCGTCACGAAACCTGCCGTCGACTGCAGCACGTCCTCGCGCTGTATCGGCCCAATGAACAGCGGGCTCATGCACGACGTTCTCGCGTATATCTGCAGCAGTTCGCGCTTCGCCTCGGAGTTGACGGCGTACATGGGGAACAGCGGCAGCCACTTCTTCATCTCGGTCGGGCAGGAGGACCCGAAGGGCAGCAAGCCGGCCGTTTGGAAGAGGACGCGCCACATGCGACTCACGGCGTGGGCCATGCGGGCAGAATCGTGCGTGGTCGGCGGCTGTGTGTTGAATGGATCCCTCGACAGCACCGCGCCCAGCACGACCAGCATCGAGGCGGAGCGCACCTGCAGCGCGGTGGCCAGAGCCACGTCGTCCGTCATGAGCGTGCTGATATCCTCGTCTGCGTTGTAGTTGCTGTTCGTGAGGCGGTCAATACTGCTTGTTTGCGAGCGATGGGAGGCGCTCATGGCCTCCCCTCCACCCCCTACCCTGTGATGGCGATCGCAGGTGAGGGACGCGTTGTGGGCGTCGTTCGGCAGGGAGCAGCTCATCTCCAGGCGGTGCCCGTTGGCGTTTATCTTGGGCAGGGCCGAGGCCGACTGCGTGCTGGAGAGGCCGGCGGCGCCCATCGACGGGTACCGTTCTCCCTCTCGCCGCTTCCGCTCCTCCTTGAGCGCCTCGGCCATGAGCCGCCGATCGTCCGCGCGGATGCTTTCCAGTCCACCAGCGAACATGAACAGCAGCTTCAGAATAGCGGACAAGGCAACGGTGAGCATCGGTGGCCGACCGCCCTCCTCCTCGCGAATGATAAACGAGCTCACGACGAACACGTTGGGGTACTGCTTGCGCAGCGCCGGAAAGGCCTCGTTGCACATGATGTCGAAGCCTTTGCAGTACTCCGTCGCGTACATTTCCAGTATGTCGACGATGTCGTCCGTTCTCGTGATGCCAGCCTCGAAGAGCTCGCGCCAGCGCTGGATGAAGGCGAGCACCACGCCGAACACAAAGGAGGCCAGTATCTGCGAGGCGAGGTTCGACAGCTGGCTGATCCCCAGCAGCATCGCCTCCGGCGTCTGAAAGCTGCGATGACCCTCCAACAGCTTCACCCGATCAGCCATTGAGACAAAGAACTCCTTGCGACGTCGCGAGTACACGCCGCAGCCGATGTAGTCGGCCAGAATAGGCTCCGTCGGCAGCAGGTAGTTGTTGTTGATGCGCGAGCCGATGCCGAGTGGCATTGCATTCGCAAAGGCGGTGAGGGCCTTCAGCAGGACATCTTTCGTGTCCTCGAAGAGCCGGCGGCCGTCTTCACCGACGACGTTGATGGCGTCTTCGCGCGCCTGCTGCGAACGAATCTCCTCTGCGCTCGGCGGCGGCGGCACCACCATCTCCGCGGTCACCCACCCCCCTTGACCGTTCCCGGAGGCCGCGACGGACGCCTTGTGCGATCCTCTCCCTCTGTCGCGTCCCGCGAGGTGCTGGTCCAGCAACCGTTGTAGGCGCTGCCCCTGCTGCGGGTTTGGGGTCGGCACGCCATACCGGTACGCGACCGCCATGTTAAGGATGAGCGTGTAGATGCAGTAGCGGAAGGCCGGGTAGGGGCTCAGCACCTGCAACTTCTTCGACAGCCCGCGCATCTTCTTCGTCATCGATTGCAAAAACACGTCCAGTATCTCGTCGTGGCTCGTGATGATGCTCAGATCGTCGAGCGACAACGGACGCACAGGCTCCGCCTCGAAAGGCATCGACACGGACGCTGAAAACGCGAATTTTGAGGCCGGCGCAGACGGTAGCAACTGCTGCTGCTGCCACGCTGCTGCTGCTGCCGCCGTCGCGTTGGTGTTCGTCCTGGTGTGATTGGGCGTGGCACTCGACGGCGACAGGATGGTCGCGTGCAGCGACGCACCCATGCTTGCAAAGTCAGAGGGCGTCGCCGGTTCGATTACCGCGGCATCGGCGGGTGACGTTACCGGCGTCGACGTGTCGTCCCTCGTTGACGCGCTCTGCTTGTCGTCGGCGCTGACGCCGTCGAGGCGGAGGCTCTCGTTGAAGACGGTGGTGCTGTTGCTCCGGACGTTCTCCACGTTCGTCACGTTGGTCAGGTTCGTCACGTGGGAGACGCACGTTACGTGCGACTTGTAGGAGGTGGCGGACTGGTGCTTCTGCAGCATGGCCAGCGGCCCGGCCAGCAGCGTCGCAGGCGACACGCTGCCAATCGAGCGGAAGCGGGCACGGTTCTGCACCGTCAGTGCGTCACGTATCACCGGCCACGGCAGCGTCGACACCTCCGCCGCGGCAATCTTGCCGAGGAGCACGCCGGCGCTGTGGACGTGCTCCGTGCCCTCCCCCAGCGATGTCACGGGTGTATTGGGGGAGATGTGCGAGCTGCCCAAGCCGGCTTGCCCCTTTACCGCGTTGACGCGCTGCATCGCTTGCTCGTTCTCGAAGAGGAGCAGGCTTGAAAGCCCCATGATCGTCTCCCCCACAAACACGTAGTCGTCAAACGACAGAAAGCCGGAGGCCAGCACTTCCAGCTCCCCAGGCGGCACCGTTGCGGCTTCTTCGGTGGCGCGGGCCACCATGTCCACATACTGCGCCTCGCGACGCTGATGCGCCTCCGCGGCGGAGGCGGCGGTGGCGTTGATGAAGTCCAACTCGGCTTTCGAGCACGCCGCTTGCGGCAGCATCGAGACAAGGTCACTTATGGAGTTCTTACTCATCGCATTCGCACCAGCACCGGCCGCTGCGTGCTGCTGCGACCGCCCATTCTTGTGCTTCGAATTCAGCGGCGGCGAGTGGGGGAGTCGAAAGAGTCGGAGGGTGTGAATGTTATTGTACTCCGGTGCGCTGGAGCTGGTGAGGATGTTCGGCTCATAGGCCGAGCTGGCAGAGGGAACGGTGGGATGCAGAAACGTGTTCCGTGGAGTGGTGTTCGCGGATTTGGCGTTGTACAACGGGAAGGTCGCGGCGCAGGGGTCGTCGCCGATGTTCATCGTCATATTGTTGTTGTCACTGCTGCTCCCCTGCCCCGAGACCGTGGGGCTGTGCACGTTGCCCTGGCCCATCTTGATGGTAGTAGCCCTGCAGAAAAATAGAATAAAAATTAGAAAGGCGATCTTCGTGCCCTTTACAGAACCAGAATCAAGGAGACGAAGGACGAGATAAGAGAGAAAAAAAAATCAGAAGGCGTTACGCGTGAAAGAAGACAACGGGAAAGGAAAAGAAAAGGTGCTCTACGCCCACCACGATGGAGAGAAGAAAGCAGAAGACAAGGGAACAAAGAAAAGGAGAATAGATAATAACAGAAAGCGAAGTAGCAAACGAAAATGAAAGGAGCGAAGACACACGGAAGAGATACGTACAAAAGTCCTCCCGGTTCGCCCAACTCTTTCTTATCTGGCCGATGCCGTCGTCGTGGTGTGCTTGCTTGCTTTTTTGTCCTCTGTATCTGGCGGAACGCACAGTGCAAGCCAAGAAGAAGAAGAAAAAATAGTAACAATAGTAATAAAAAAGAAAGGAGCAACGACCCCGACGATAACAGTAAGACACGCACAGACACAAACACTCAGAGAAAAAAAAAAAGAGTTCCAGAGGAGGAAGAAATGAAAAATAAGAGAGAAAGAACGAGCGAGAACAACAACAACACGAAGAATCGTGTGTGTGTGTATATATGTGTGCCAGTTCGACGGGTATTCACGAACGTCTGCCGCACGCGGTGAAAAGAAGAAGAAAAAAAAAGCCGACGAGACGAGAGATACAAAGGAAAAAGGGAAAGAAAACACTAGAGAAGAAAGAAAGAAAGAAAACTAAACACAAAGAAGGCACTTACTACACTATATATATATATATATATATATATATATAATACGAACCGTACG